TTTTAGATGGAGTAGATATTCGTACTATTGGATTAAATACTCTTAGAAGTAGTATTAACATAATTCCTTAGGCACCATTTTTGTTTTCAGGAAACGTCCGTAAAAATATTGATCCTTTAAATGAATATTAGGATGCTGAAGTTTGGGAAGCTTTATAATTAGCAGAATTAAAAGAAACAGTTTCATAACTAAAAGATGGATTAAATACTGATATGTCAAATGCATAAAGTGTATTTTCAACAGGTTAAAAATAACTTATTTGCTTAGCTAGAGCGATACTTAAAAATAGTAAAATTCTAGTTTTAGATGAAGCCACAGCTAATGTTGATATGAAAACCGACGAAATTATATAAAATGCAATTAAAAAATAATTTATAGGTTGTACTATTTTTAGTATTGCTCATAGAATTAATACTATTGCTGATTATGATAAGATTTTGGTTATGGATCAAGGGAAAGTTGCTGAGTTTGATGCACCATTTTTGCTTTTAGCTAACTCTATTGATGATGATAAAATTTCTAAAAACAGTATATTTGCATAAATGGTTAAAAACACAGGTGAAAAAAACTCTGAAATTATCTTTGAAATTGCTAAATAGAAATTTATAAGTGGAAATATAAAAGAATATATTTGATAATTAATATTTTTTCTAAAATATTATTTTAAAATTTAAAAAATTTAATTTTTTTTTAAATAAAACAAAATTAAATTTCATAACATTATGTTTTAAAATACTGATTTTTTAAAAAATTATATTCAATTTGTTCTATTTATTTAATATTTTTTAAATAAATTAAAAATTTATTTAAAAAAAAAAATATTTTCAAACATAATCAAAAAATTTTTATTGAATGTTAACATTTTCAAGTTTTATTTAATAATAAAAATAATATAATTAAATATTGTTTTTTAAAACTGTTATCATTAAATAAAATTTAATGAATTATAATTAAATATTTTTAAAAATAAAAATAATATAAACATTAAAAATTATTTAATATTATATATATATATTGCATAAATTTTAAAAACTTATTAAATTAGTTATAAAAATTGCAATATTTTTAGTAAAAACAATATTTTATTCATTTAAATTATTATTATCTAAATTAATAATCAGTTAAAGAAAATTTACTTTGATAAAAAAATATATATCAATAGAATAGAGAAAAATATTCTAAAATTATAGTCAAATTCATATTTAAGAGCATCAAGAATAAAAAAAACAGAAAAATAACATTATATATTTTATAGCAATAAAGGAATTTTTCATTAAAATTCCCAATAATCTTTTAATTAATTTAATAAAAGTTTGTTTATTAGTTAATTTGTGAATAATAACAAAAATTTTATTGAATTAAAATAAAATTATTATTCTTTTAAAAACTTTATTAAAACTTTTATAAAAAAAACTATTAAATAATTATATTAAAAAAAAAAATTAAAAGTATTTTAAATAAATATATATTAAAACATTATCTAATTAATTAATAAATAAAAATAAAAAAAAATTAATTAAAAAACATAAATAAAAAATAAAATCTTATTAAAAATTTAAAAAATAAAATTTCTAAATATTTTGCATCGAGAAAGAAAATTAAAGAAAAAAAGTAAATACATTTAAAAATATAATTTTAGTTTTATTAATAAATTATAAAGAAAGAAAAAATGTTTATTAAAAAGTTCTGTTTACTTAGAAAAATAAAAAAATAAAAAACAAAATAATAATTAAATGAATCTATTATAAAAATATTGAAATAAAATATAAATTAAATAAAGATTTAATTAATATATTAAATTATTTAATAATATTAAAAAAAATATTATGAAATTTAGAAAATAAAAGGTTTATATAAAAGATAAAAATTATTAAAATTTCTATTATTTTCCTTAAAAATATTATATTTTAATTAATTTAGAACAAATTTTATTTAATAAAAAATTTAAATATATTTGACTTTTAATATCAAAAAGAAATATATATTTAAAAGTTTTTAATAATTCTAGAATAATCTATAAAATTATTATTTACAATATAATTATAAATTTAAATAATTATTAAAAAAAGTAATATAAATATAAATACAAAATTTAAATACAAAAGAATATATAATCTAAAATTAATATAAATTAAAATATAAAAAATAATAAATATATTATAATTAATAATAAATAATACATAAAAAAAATACATAAAAAATAATAATAAATAATAAATAATAAATAAAAAATAATAAATATACATATATATACATATATTTATATATATAATTATATATATAAACTAAATAAATATATAATTTATTATTAAATTTTTTTTTTTATTTGTGTATTAAATAAATATTATATATATAATATACTAAAGAAGTTTTTTTCTTGAGTCTTATCATACTTTCTAAGTTCTTTTTCATTTTTATATTTGTTAATATTTGGAAATTGAAACACTTGTAGGTGCTATTTTTATATAATAAAATAATATATTATAAAAGATAAATAACCTTTTGACGTAAACTGCTTTTGAACTGCTAGTATTTCTTTTTATTGTTAATCTTCTATTTCTTTTTTAATGTTATTATATTTTAAAAGTATCCTTTTAATAAATAAGATATTTTATAAAATAAAATATAAATTTGTTATACTTTTCAAGCTCAATATTTCTAGCCTTTTGTAATTCATCTTTTGCTTAAAATATTCTTTATTTTAATGCATTTTATTCTTAATTTTGTTTTTATTTAAAAATATTCATTTGATTTATTAATTTATTAGTTCTTTGTAAATTAAAGTTTTTATTTACTTCTTTTTGCAGTTAAATTCTTTATTATTTTATTTTATGTGCATCAATAAATCTTTAATATATTAATTAAAAATATTTAATATATATATAAAAAGAAATAATATATACAAGCTCTATTTTACTAAACGTTCTTCCATTTTAATTAGGTTTAATACTTCTGAAGAGTCTTTAGGAATAGAAGGCATAACTGTTTCGAATTCTTCTTAAGCTTTTTAATATTCCAAAGCTTATTTTTGAATAAGTTCATTTTCAATATTTTTTGCTTCTATATCATATTCTTACATTTTTTAATCCCAAAAATTGTTAAATCCATTAAACTAATCTAAATGTTGTTTTTCAATTTTAATTTTTCATTTATATGTTGTTATTTTAGATCATCTAGCTATTTATTTTATAATCGTTATTTCATTTCTTTTATTTTGTTCTTACAATTTTCAGCTTCTATATATTAATTTTATTTTATGCAAGCTTATAAATGAGTCTATAGATTTTCAATATTTATTTCTAACTCTTAAATACTAAATTAATTATATAAATCATCTTCTTAAATTTGCACTATTTTTTTTATTTTTAAAATTTATTAAATAATTTTTACAACTTTTATTGTTATTCATATTTATATATATAGTATATATATTATTTATTAAAAAATAAAACTTTAAAATATTAAATAAATATTATAAATAATACTATGCTGTTAATTTTAATAAATTTCATTGATAATACTTATATTAATTATTACAAAAACCTAATATATTATTATATTTATTTCTAATACAAAAATTAATATTTAATTCTTTTTTATTTATTATAAAATAAATAAAAATAAAAATAAAAAAAACAAAGCAAATAGAAACATTTTTTATTTCTATATATTAAATACTTAAAATTTTTATTTTAAAAATAAGTAATTAATATATGTTTATATATATATTAATATATTACAAAATTAATATATAAGTATAAACTTTTAAAGTAAAATGAAAGTATAAAAGTAACTACAAATAATTTAAAAAAATAAATTATTGTATTAAAAAAATTATTTAATATTTATTTAAAAAAAAAAATCTCAACTCCTATTATTTTCAACTACAATTTAATTTTAATTATTATTATCTCCTTCTTCATTTTCTTCATAAATATTTTTAGCCTAAAAATATATATTTTAATTGATTAAAAAAAAAAAAATACCATTTACCAAACCTAAAGAATATTACTATCTTCAACAGACGCAACAAAATAATTTTCATTTAAATTCCAACTAAAATCTAAGACTTTATTTCTATGACCTCCATGAATAAAAAGTAATTCGGGTGGTCCATCTTATAAGTCTTCATTAGAGATTTTTTATCCACATCTTAAAATATCCCAAATCATTACTCTTCTATCAACCGAACAAGATGCGAAAATTCCACTATTAAAAGGACTCCATTAACATTTTAATACCGAATCATTATGTCCTTCAAATGTATGTAATCTTTTAGAAGTATTTCTCATATCCCAAAATCCAACAGTTTGATCTTCAGAAGAAGTAATAAATAAGAAATCGTTAAATTAATTAAAGTCAATAGAATATATTTCACCTGCATGAGCTTATGTGCAATTAGTAGGATTTATACATCCTGCATTATTTTTTTATCTTAAATCCCATCTTTAAATAAATTAATTTATTTTTTAAATAAATAAAAATAAAATACAAAGCTATTGTTTTATCATTACTACAAGAAGCAAATAATTCTTCATTCAAAAAATGCCAGGCAACATCATCAATTTAATTTTTATGAAAATCTATTTATATTAAGGCTTCTTTATTTTCTTTTTCAACATCCCATACTATTATTTTTTTATCGTATCCTCCAGATAATAGAAGGCCCTTTTTTTAAAAAAAAATATTGGGTTAAAAATTAAAAAATTATTTACTTATTTTATTGGGTTCCAACTTAAACCAAATCCTTCTTAAGAATGTCCATATAAAATTAATAAAGGACTTACTTACTCATTATTTACTTATGTAGAGTCAAAAATATGAACCTTTCCTGAAGTAAGCTTTGATGCTATTATATTAGGTTTTTAAGGCATATATCTAGCTCTATTTGATTCTCCTTCATGAAGGATTTTAGTTTCGATTTCAATTTTGTTTTACCCTGATGCTAAACCCATTTATCCGATTTCAGACGCATCTAATTAATATTCTGTTATATCTATTGGAGTATTTTCTAATGGAAGTTTTACTTTACCTATTATTAAGTATTCTTTATCTTAATCTGAAGTATGTGTTGTTATTAATAATTTATGTATTGAAAAATTTCCTTCATCATCACTTTTAATTTTAATTTAATATTTTTTTTTAAAAAAAAACTATTTTGTTAATTCTTACATTTAATTATCTGGAAACCATTATATTGACATGGAAGGCCATTCTAACTCGTGTGTAAGTAAATTATCATATAAAAATGGTGTATTCCTTTTCCATATTTTATATTCTTCATTTATTTATTAATTATCATCTATTTCTACTCGTTATTCTTTAATTTTATTGATTTTATTCTTAAATATATTTTTATTTTTTACCTTCTTGCATGTTTTAATTTTTTTTTTTTTAAAGATTTTTTTTTTATAATTTTTTTTTAAATAGAAAAAAAATATTAATAAATTTATAAAAAAATTCTCTTAATATTATTTTTTATTTTCTAATAATTTTTTAAATTTTTATACTTTTTTTCTTTCTTAAAAGTAAAAAAATAAAATACTCATAGATAATAAAAATTAATAAATCTATTTTCCTAATAAAACTCTGATTATAAATAAATAAATATATTTTAAAATAAATAAAATATCAATCTTCAACAACAAATCCACTTAAACTAGATTATTCGTTATCTTCTAAACTTGATTCACCCGAACTTAATTTTATTTTATATTTCTTAGGCTAACCGACTGCTTTTTTATTAGTTTAACCCTTTTATATTCCTTTTTTACTTTTTAAACTTTTTCCTTAACTTTTTTTTAATACTACCAATAAATCACTTTTTTCATCTTCTTTTTAATTTTAATTGCTTTCACCATTTTCTTCCTCACCTTCGTCTTCAGCATCTTCAAGAATTACATCATCAAGATTTTTATCAAATTTAACTTCTTTTTCTGATTTAGTTTTATTAATTTGTTTTTTTTTCCTATAGCTTCCAATTTATTACTAGAATCTGTAAACATTTTATTATAATTTTTCGTTACTGCTGTTTTTACATTAGTATCAATAAGAGCATAAAATTCTCCTTTTGGAAAGGTCAATTCATTGAAATGTTCTTTCAAGAATTCTGGTTTAATTCCATAATAATGCATAACTTCTAAACACTCATCAACCTTTTTGTTTATTAAAAGTTTTTAAATGATCATCCCTAATCCCTCAATGTAACTATTTTTGAATCCCAATCTGCTTGATATTGAAATTTTAGATCCTAAAGCAATTTTAAGCTCTTTAAAAAGTCTAAGAGATTTTTTTTAGGACATAAACTTGCCCAACCATTCTGGAAATTTAGGAAAAATAGGTTTATTTTCACAGACAAGTTCGCAAGGATAAATACATGATAAAAATGCAAAATTAGGAAGTAATTACCAATTTTGATTTGACCTTATTTAATTTGATAAAATATCGCTTTCAGCTAATAAAAGTGATGATTTGGTTAAATTTTCTAATTCCTGAATTTTAAATTCGCTCTTTTTTTCAATTGAATTTAAATAATTTTCATGAATTAGTAAAGGAATTAATTCATAATCAATAAAAAAGAGTTCTATTTTTTCCCTTAAACTAAACTTCTCAAATTAAAATCTTTATATAAGTTTTGTTGCTGCTTCAAAATTACTCAACATAACGGTTTAATCTTTTAGTCCTCCCTTTTATTTTCCCCAAAATTATAAATAGTTTAATATTTATCGAAGGTCTCCTTATAATTAAACACTTATATTTTCCAAAAACTAAATCTTAATGTCATTTAAATCTTCTTTTTTACATATTTATAAAACATGTTTAGCCACATCTTAACTTTAGACATTAAAAAATTTCACATCATAGCAACTATTTGCTAAAGATCTTATTTTGGGATGCATTCGATCATTGCAAATACAAAAAATAGGAGACTTACTTTCTTTAATTAATTTTATTATGGCTTAAATTCCTCCTCTATCTCCTCCAGACATTCCATCGATTTCATCCATTAAAACTGCAACTTTTTTCATTTTTCCTGAAAAGCTTAATACTTGAGTATTACTTTTTAATTCATCAAATAACTATTCTACTTTTTTCTTATTTCGGACATCTGAGGCATTCCATTCTAATAACTCATAACCCATAAATGCAGTTATTAACCTTATCGATGTTGTTTTGCCTACTCCAGGAGGTCCACTTAATAAACAAGCTCTCGCTGAAGGATTTGGAGGAGGTACAGATGATTTATTATACATTTAATAAGGTTTTTTTGTTTGGTTTTAGGTAGGCTTTTTATGTAAAACTGTATCTTCCCAATTTTTTAACCATTCCATAATACTTAGAATACTTTTTTAATTTCCAATAATTTACTCAACACTTTCTGGGGCATATTTTTCTGTCCATAGAAGCGATGATTTTTATGCCTTTTATTGAATATTTTTATTTATTTTTTCAAGCTCTTTGTCTTAGCTTTTATAATTTTTGTATATCTCATTACTTGAAGGTTATCCACTTAACTCTTCTAATGATTTCCCCACTTTTTGTTTTAAAAAACCACTGAATTCATCTTAATTTTATATCTTAATATGCTTCATTAATGCGTTTTTGTATTTTTAACCTTATTCAGGAGGTCTTCCATCTTCTAATATATGCCCATGTACTAAAATTGAAGTTTTTCCGCTTACTTGTTTTGTACATTTGGCTCCTAAACTAGTAATTATTTTTTCGATTGATTCTCTTGATATACCCATTAATTCTCCTGTAAAAACTATTGTATATCCTTTAAGCTTATCTTAATTATCTTATTCTTTAATTTCTTCCCATATTTTATTTTAAGCATCTTTTTATTTTTAATGTTCTTCTTATTTTTTTTATTTTTATGATTCTTTTTGCATTTTTATATCTTATTTTTCTTCTTACATTTTTTATTATTAGGGTTTTAATTATTTTTCAGGTTTATTTTTTTCTTCTATATAAAATTTTTAAGATGATCTTTTTAATTCATTTTTTTGGGTATCTTACGGATTTTTTTAATTTTTTTTATTTGGTTTTTCTGCTCTAAATTATTCAATATTATAAATATCGATTTTCTCAGGGCTTTTTTTTTATTTATTAACATTTTTTCGAAATTTTGTAATTCAGATATATCATTTTCAGAGTCTGTTAATTTTTCGGTTTTATCTTGAGAATTTTGGATATATTGGTTATAATTTGAAGGCGGCTTTAATAAATATTATTGTTAAATTTCATTTAACTATTACTATTCTACTCTTTTTGAAAGAGTTTAAATAGGAAGTTTTTATGATATTATTTGCTCTTAATTTTTTTTTTAAGATTAATGCTTTTCTGGAGTTTGTTTTTGCTTTTGTTACTGTTCATTTATATTTTATTATTTAGATTAAGCTTTTTTTATATTTTTATATTTATTATATTTTTTATTTAATTACATTTAGATGATGCTCTTTTATCTTCTTATTAAGCTTCGTGTTTTTATGATTATTATGTTTACTATTATTTTTAGAATTAATTTTGGAAATATTTAGTAATTTAATTTTGGTTTTATTTCATCAAATTTCTTCTTATTCTTTTATTTTTTTAATTTCAATAAAAATAAAATATAGTTTTTATAAATAGCATTTTTTTTTAAATTAAGGCGCTTAAATAAAAAAATATATAATCATATTATATAAGAAACAAAAATTAAATTATATAATAAGCATATTAAATAAAATATAAATCATATTAAACTAAGAAAATATAAAATATATTTTATATTATAACTTCAAACACTTAATTTTTTATAATTTACAAGTCAATAATATTTAATTTATTTTTCCATATTTTATAGTATATATATTAGTAAATACTTTTTTATCAAAAAATTAAATGTATAAAAATACAGTTTATTATGATTATCTATATTTTAATAAAATTATATTTAAAAAAAATATCTTTATATAAAAATATAAATAAAACTAAATATAAATAAATATAAAATTAAAAAATGTTAAAAGGAGCTGTCGATGCACTTGATTCTAAACAAACAACTTTATTCAAAAATTTAGTGGTATATAATAAATTTATATTATGAATAAACATAAATATACTATATGTTAAAAAAAAAGAAATTATATGAAACAAAACAATACAAAAAAGGATTAAAATAAGCTGAAAAGTTACTAGAGCAAAAGCCTAATCATAGTGGTATATAAAAATTATAATAATTATATAAATTATTTAATTATATTTGAAAATTAGAATCTCTCGCTATGAAAGCTATATTTTTATATAACACAGGAAAAAAGTAAGAAGGTTTTGATTTATCTAAAAAAGTAAACTTTAATATATTAACATGATATCATAACTCGTAATTAATAATTAATTAAAGGCAGTTTCATTAAATTTTAAAAGCGATATAGCTTGGCATATTTATGGTATAATTCATAGATAAAATCGAAATTATCCTGAAGCAATAAAATGTTATAAATAAGCATTAACAACCGCCCCTGATAATGTCTAAATTCTTAAAGATTTAGCTTTGCTATAAATTTAAATTAGAGATATTGATGGTCTATGTGAAACTCGTAAAAAGATTTTACTTAATAAGGACTCTTTAGTAATAAATTGGGTTGGATATGCTATAGCTTTACACTTTGTATTTTTTATTTTTAAAATATTTATATTATTTTCTTTGACAAAATAAAATATAGAAAGGAGAATATGAATAAACACTTTAAATTATAGATTCAATAAATACAATTACTAAAAATAACCCTTTAAAAGGAATGGAAAAATCCGAAGTAAAAATATTCTTATTTATACAATTGAATACTTTTTTTTATTTTTTTATAAATAAAGTTTTTAATCTATCATTCCTAAGTAATTGGAGATAGTGGCGATTATAATAGATAACTGAAATTTTTAGAAGAAAACAAAAATGATATTTTAGATAAAGTTAAATATAATGAATTAATGGTTGAGATTTATTAAAAATTGAACTAATTAGATTAAGCAGAATTATTCGTTTAGTAAAATTATTAATTTAAATAATAAAATATTTTTTTTAAATAAAAGTGCACTTATTGATGATAATCCTTTCAATAAAGATAATTATAAGTTGTTACAAGTAGTAAAATAATTACCAAAAAACCCAGAAAATGATAATTAAAGAGAAACTATTTTATAATTATATGAATAATTATATTTAAAATACAAAGTAAAATATAAAAAATAATATTAAAAAAAAAAAAAAAATTAAAAATAAGGTTAATATTATAAAATATATAGCCTTAGATTATGTTAAAGAAGAAAACTTTAAAACCAAAATAACAGAGTATATTATTCCTTATTTTAGAAAAGGGATGACATCTTTATTTTCTGAAATAAAACATTTTTACAAATACACAAATAAATCTAAGATAATAGAATAAGTATTATAAGAAAATCTTTTGTAATTGGAAACTAGCAGTAAGTTTTGTAACTCAGAAGAAGTCGAAACTCCATGTTGTCTTTTATGGTGTTATATGCTTTTGGCTTAACACTTTGACAAAGTCTAATAGTATGAAAAGGCTTAAGAATTTGTTAACAAAGCAATTAATCATACTCCTACTTTAATTGAGCTTTATTTAGTAAAAGCAAAAATACACAAGCATTTATTTTAATATTAATTAGCTTTTGAATAAACAGAAAAAGTAATTAAATAATAAAAATTATTTTTAAACTATAAAAACTAACAAAAAAGTCAAGAAATATGGATTTAGCTGATAGATATTTAAATAATAAATCTATTAAATATGCATTAAGATGTGGGTTTACAAAAAAAGCTGAATATCTATTAAAGCTCTTTCTTAAAGATATAAATGAAAGTAATCCTTATGAACTTTAATCTTTATGGTATGAAGTTGCACAAGGTGAAATATTTTTGAAAAAGAGGGAATACCCGAAAGCATTGAGAATGTTTAAATTTGTTTTTAAAGCTTTTTAAGATGTATATGAAGATTAATTTGATTTTCATGTTTATTGCTTGAGAAAGTATAATCTTACAACTTATATCAATTTAATTAAATATGAAAACGATGTTTATAATCATAAGCATTTTATTAACGCTAATTCTTTACTTGTCTAATCTTTAATGCATTATACAGATATTAGAGAATAAGAAGTATTTTTTAATTAGTATTATTTTTATTAATATTTTATAAAAATATAGATTAAAAAAAACAAGAAGAAGAATAAAGAATTAAAAATATGAGTTAAGCTGAAAAAAAGAAATGGAAAAAGTAATAATAATAGATTGAAGAAAATAAAGTAAAAGAAATTGTTGAAGAATTTAAAATAAAACTAGATTTAAATGGCGAAGAATTTTAAAATATCGCTCCTTTAAAAGAAGCTAATATTTCAGCTAAGATCTTAGTTCATTTAAACATACAAAATAGCAAATTAGCTTTCTAAAATTTCTCTATATTGGTCGATTTTTATATTTAAACAGGTATTAAATATATAATATACTAATTTAACTAATATCTTTTTTAAAAAAATATAGAAAGAACACTTCTTTTAATAACATCGTTTATTAAACTTTAAAACAGCTAATATTGTGAATATAGAATACATACTTTTAAATTAAAAACCGCATAATACTGTAATATTATATTTTTTAATTAAAAAATTACTTATATTATAATAAAGTGATTAACTTTTTGAAAAAGGAAAACATAAATTCTATTGTTAAATAGTATACTAGCTAAACCTTAATTAATTTAATAAATGAATAAAATCTAGAATAATTTAATCAAAATTTCTTTTTAAATAAAAATGATAATCAATAAAATCATTTAAAAAATATTGAAAGTATATTTTATTAATTTTTATTTATTTAATATTTACAATTAAGGTTTTAAATGTGATATTATATTATAAAAAAATAATAATACATAGTTAATTGAATATCTTGAATAATCTCTTTTAAATAATAATTTAAATTTGAACGATTCTATATTAAGCTTTGATTTGCTTTGTAAATACTAATAAAATAGTCTTAACAATAAAATTTATGTAATTTATATAAAAATATAAAAATAATTAATTATATATATAAATTATTTTTATTTAATTATTTTAGGAAAATTTATCTCATAAGTTTCCTTAATAAGCATATTATTTTTCAAAAGAAAGATATATAGAAACAGATAATTGAAAAAATTCATTATTTATTTTTTTTAAATAAAAAAAAAAGTTAAAATAAAAAATATTTATATTCAAAAAACGATAAAAATTTTATTTATTCTTTAAAATTATTTAATAATTTATAATATTTAAAAAAGAATTTTTTTATTAAATAATCAATACTAAAGTAAAAGATATTTATTTAAAAAAAAAATATAACTCATAAATATAAATAAAAATGATTACTAAAACTTATTAAAAAATCATAAATAATGAAAAAAAAAAATTATTAAAATAAAAAAAATTTAAAAAAAAAAATAATTAAAAAAATAATATAAATAAATAATTTAAATTTTTAAAATCTCGAATTTCATTTATTTTTATATTTAGTGTTTAAACATATATCAAATTAATAATAAATGTATATTATTATATTTTAATATATTCATATTTATTATCATTTTCAAAAATATATATATTATATAAAAATTTAAAATCATTTTTTTTTTCAATTATTATCTTAATCGGTTCTGTTTTAACCCTAAATATTAATTAATAAATTTTTAATTTATATTTTATTTTTATAAAAAATGAAAGTTTAAATTTAAAAAAAGATGAAATTTATTAAATTTATATTTTTAAAATAACAAAGTAAATAAATAATATACCTTTTTACAAATGTAGATATAATGTACATTAGGAGAATCTTTATCTTCACTAGTTAATTAAATAGAGGTGCTAATAGTAGGTTTATGGACTTATTCAACTGATATAATCCATCCGTATTTTTATTTATCTAAATATAACAATCTATGATCAGGCTATCCATAAGAAATACAAATATAAATACCATTTGGTTTCAAAATTTGACTTATGTTTGTTAATGCTTTCATTGCATTTGTAACAGTATTTTCACCGCAAATAACTGAATCTAGAGTTCCTTTGTCAATTACTATATCAAAAGAGCTATTAGGCAAATCCATAATTTTTACATCCATCATAATGTATTTAAAAGTACTTGGTTTATCTTTATATTTTTCCTGCATTTGTTTTGTTACTACTTGTGAAATATCTATATTTGTAATATAAGTATATCCTTCATCGAATAATTCTTCACTTAAACGCGAATTACCAGCTCCTACATTTAAAATTCGAGATTCTGCCGTCAAATAAGGAACTATAAATTATTTTATTCCTTAAAACCTTTAATACCAATCAAACGGTTCAGGATCTCTTTTTATTTTTAATAATATATTAATTTTATTTTTTAATTGTTTACCTTGTATATCTTTCTTCCCAGTAATCTGCCTTTCCATATTAACTCATTTTTTCCTTTTTTTTCTTTTTATTTATAAAGTAAATATTAATTATTAATTTACCTTTTTAAAAAAATATAATTTTAAATAATATTTAAAATTAGTAAAATAACATTTTTTTTCCTTTTTCTATTTTTAATTTTTTCATTAAATAAATAAAAAATATGACAATTATTTTAAAATAAAAAAAATTGTGTATATTGTTGTAAAAAATAGATATATAAATTGCTTTTATTTTTAATTCTTTTATCAATGTTTTTTTAAAAAAAAACTTAACCAAAAAAAAAAAGGCTGTAATTTGTTTTTTGATGCATATTTTTTTTTTGGATTGAGTTCTTAAAAAAAAAAAATATAGAAAAATAAAAAGACTACAAAGCAATTAATATATTTAAAAATCTTTATAAAAATAAAAAAATTATATAAAATATTTTATAAATTTACATTCTAATCAAAAATATATTTCTTTTATTTTGTTTTAATGTTTATATAATATTTTTTTATTTAATTTGTTGTATTTTTATTTATTATTATAAAAATAAAAATATTAATGATAAAAATTAACTTTTAATTTTAGAAAATTGCATATATTAAAAAATTAAAATATTTTTGTTATTTTTACGTTTAATAATATATAAAGATTATTTATTCTCATTCAAATTACATAAAACAAAAAATACATAAAGTATTGAATAAAATGCTTAATGATAATTTCTTTTTTTCTAGAAACTTTTTAAATATAATTAAATAAGAATAAGGTTATAAAATAAATAAAAATATAAAATCAATAAATTCAAAATTGAAAAAAAAAAAAAAAACTAAAACTTATATAAATATTTATAAAGAAACTTTTTATATTGAAATAAGAAATGGAGTTTATGAAGGCCAATTATATTAAAATAAAAGATAAGGTAAAGGAATATTTATATGGGATGATTCATCAGTTTATGTAGGTATTATAAAATAAAAAAGTATAATATAGTTTTTATTAATAATACGAAGGAGAATGGTTTAATGATTTATGTCATGGCGAAGGCATATTGTTCTTAAAAAATGGTTGTACTTTATATGGATAATTCGATTATGGAAATTTAAATGGCAAAACAATTATAAAATTTGCAAATAATAATATGATTTTTGGTATTTTTCGTTAAAATTAATTGAAAGGAATTTCTTTTTTTTATAACTAAAATAATTAAGAATGGAAAATGTATGATTTCAAATCAATTTCGCTTTTTAAAGTTTTAGATATTTAATAATTTGATGAATAAACTAATTTTATTATAAATACTTAAATTCCGACTCCTTTATTTTCCCAATTTTTAAGAACTGATATAGAACTTTTCAATTTAGATAATTAAATTAACAGATTATTATAGAAATTTGATATGGTTATTATTTTAAAAACTAAACTAAAATAAAAAATTATTAATAAATATAACAAAATAGAATGAAAAATAAATTTGTTTTACATTACTAGATGAAAAATTAAAATATTTAGGATTTTGTATAAATGGAACTCCTTATGGTTTAGGAATAATTTTATAAGATAATCTAATTAAAAATTTAGGTTATTTTAAGGTTATATAATAAATATATATAGACTTTACTTATATGAATTTTATTTATTTTTAAAAAAGAATTCTTTAATGCATGGATTAGGTAGAGTTTATAGTGAAAACGGACTTATATATGATGGATAATTCGAAAATGGACATTTAAATGGAAAAGGTTATTTATATAATAGTACAAATGACATATTTTATGAAGGATTTTTCTATGAGAATGAATGTAATAAATTAACATAAAAGACTTTGGGTTTTAACTAATAAAATATATATTAATGGAAATTGTAAGAACATAAATAAAGTATTTGCTTTCAAAATAAAATAATTGTCTTATAGATTTCTTAAATATTATGCGGAGAATTAAATTATATATAAAATAATAACTAAATAGATAAAATATTTGATATAAACAATAATTCGTTTTCTTGTTCTAAAATATTTTTTAATGATGATAATCCTTTTAATTAATTTATACAATAAAGTATTTAACATTATTAAAATGCAAAATTTAATTTTTTTTGTGATTTAAATAGTAATTAATTTCATAACTTTATTGAAAATAATATAAGTAAAAGCCAAAATTTGCTTTCTGAAATAAATTATTCTGAAATTATTGCTAAGTAACCTAAATTAATAGAAACAAATGAAATTCTACAAAGCACTTTAGAAAGCTCTAGATGTAAGAAAAGTATAATTTTTAATTCAAATATAGTTAAAGGAAACTAAATAAAATCAAAATCAAACCAATATTCCAATTTTAAAAACTTATGTAATAAATAATAGTAATAATAAAATATAAACTTATAAAAAATCAGTGATAAAAGCAATATGTAAGTATTACAAAAATATTAATTCTAAAATTAAGATTTTAATTAATTAAATAATAATCAACTTGAAACTGAAATTTAAAAAAAAATATAAAATGATAATAATAATTCAAATTAATAACGATAATTTAAAAGTAAAGTTTTTAGAAAAGATTAAAAAAGTAATAATACATTTAAAGAAAAACTTTAAGAAGTCTATATAAAATTACCAAGTTCGTTTGTATAATGAATAATAATATATATTTAATTATAATTATATATTTATGATTAATTAAAAACTTAAATGGAAAAAATATAAAAATTGTTATATAAATATAAATATAAAAATAAATAAATATTATATGTTAAATACCTTTAATTAATAATTAAATTTATATATATATATATATTAAATTAAAATACATTTTATATACTTTCAATTAAAATGTATTTGTATGTCTTCATATTTGTTTTTTTCATTTATTTTTTTAAAAATTAAATAATTATTTTAACTTATATTTTAAATTAATTATCTTAAAATATTTACACGGAAAAAAAATATTAATTTAAATATTAAAAGTATTATAAATTTAATTGTGCAGAATATATTTACTATTTTTACTATTTATAGATTTTAAATTAAAAAAATTAATAAATGTTAAATTTTTATTTATATTCTATTAATAAATAAAATATTAATATGTTTCTATTATTTATATATTATAAATGTATTAAATATAATTATTATGAATAATACTTTGTATTTATTATATTTAAATTATATTACTTTATTTGATATTTTTATTTTTATTTGTTTTTTAAAATTATATTGATTAAGAAAAAACAAAAATTTATATTAAAAATTATTGATTTTTATAAAAATAAGAAAAATATTATCTTTAAATATTCAGTGTTTTTATTTTAATTTTTTCTGTAGTTTTTGTTAAATACTCAATTACAAAAAAAAGGTTGTTAAAATGGATAACAATTTTTTTACTGAGTTTCAAAAAAAAATAACATAAAAAATTAAAATCAAGTAATATATATACTAAAAATAATTATGTAATTTTAATTAATATAAATAAATGATATAATGATTCACTAAATATAATAAAAAAAAATATTTTTTTGTTTCTCAAATATATTGGTAATAAATATAAATAAATGCAGTAAATTTTATTAAAAGAATAAATCAAAAAAACATGAAATTTTATAATAATTTTAAATTATATTTTCCATTTATAATTAAAAATATTTAAAATAGAATATAATTAAAATTAAGATTAAAAAAGAAAATAATTTAATTTAAATTAATGGAAGAGAACCTAAAATTATATAATAAAAAAATAATCCAATTCTTATAGCCTTATATTTAATAATTTTTTTAAGTTTAATAATTTTTTTATATAATAATTGTAATTAATTTAATTTATTTATTAATTTTGACTTTTTATAAAAACAATTTTTCGAAATAACAATAACATAGATAAATATTGTTAATCAAAATATTTGTTAATAAATTTAAATCAAATTCAAACGTTTATTAAAAATCATTAAAAAATATTTATTATTCTTTAATACATATAAAAATTTATAAACATTATTTTAAATCTATATAAATTATATTTATTTATACTATAAAACAATATAAATTATAATGTCATTTATTTTTATTTTCATATATTATTTTTTTACTTTTTTTTATATGTTTTTTATAAACATAATCAAACGAAAAAAAAACGAAAAATAATTGATCATGTCGAGATAATGTTATTATTTTCTAATTCCTTATTATTAATAATAATTAGAAAATATTTACTAAAAATTCACCTGCGAATAATTATTTAATTTATTGTATAAATATTTTTTTTATTTTTATTTTCAGAAATAAATAAACTATATATTTTTTTATTCTTGAAACAATTTAAACTTTATTTTATTTATTTTATAAGTTTGTATAAATAATTATTAAATAAAACAAATTTACGTATTTTATTTTAAAAATCTAATATTAATATACTAAAAACCTTTTTTTTTATTATTTTAGTGAATTTTTTGCATTTTAAAAAACTCTAAATAGAATACTAATAAAAAATATAAAAAGAAATAAAACAACCTACTTTTAATATATTATTTTTATAATAAAAATAATTTTCTAAAATTACATCATAATTAAAATGGGAAACAATTGTGCATGCTTTAATAATAATAAAGAAACAGAAATTAAAACAGAAATATTAAAGGAAAGTAATGAGTAATTTTAAAAAAGCATATAAAGGATAGATGCTAGCAAAGCTTCATAGAAAAATTGACAAGAAAATGAGGGCGAATAAAATACTATATAATAATAATAAAGTCAAAAGTATAAATAACCATAATAAAAAATTGATTAATAATCATAATCGAATTCATTAGACCCATCTTAACCGCCTAATAGCAAAACAAATACTAAATAAAGTATCAAATTATCCCCTATAATATTAGAAAAGGGAATAACGTATGAAGGAGAATGGCTAAATGGCATGAAAGATGGTTATGGTGTTTAAAAATGGGCAAACGGCTCAATATATACAGGATATTGGAAAGAAAATAAAAGTTAAGGCTAAGGAAAGCTTATCCATGCTTCTGGAGATATATATGATGGGGAATGGCTCAATGATAAAGCGAACGGGTCTGGTATTTATTATCATGTAAATGGGGCAAAGTATGAAGGCGAATGGAAAGATGATAAATAACATGGTTATGGAGTAGAAATTTGGCCTGACGGGGCTAGATATGAAGGTAATTACATAAATGGATTAAAAGAAGGTAAAGGGCAATTAGTTTTTTCAGATAAAAGTTAGTATAATGGAGAATTTAAGAATAATATTATTGAAGGCTATGGAATTTATAAATGGTCTGACGGAAGATAATATGAAGGATAATGGTAATAAAATAAAATGCATGGTTAAGGAAAAATTATTTGGAAGGATGGAAAAAGCTACGAAGGTGGATATTAAGATGACAAAAAACATGGAGAAGGAATATTTACTTGGAGTTGTGGAAAAAAATATATAGGAAGTTGGAAATAAGGGAAATAACATGGATTAGGAATATAGATATCTAAAGACTAAGAAAAAAAAGCTGGAATTTGGGAAAACGGAAAAAGAATCAAGTGGCTCGAAGAATCAGAAATTTAATAATATAAGGCCGAAGGAAAATTAAGTTACTATTAAGATTGAATTTATTTTTTATTACTTATAATTTAATGGAATAAAAATAATAAAAAATTAATTTTTAAAGGAAATTAATTTTTATTTTGTACATATTTATATCTTAAATATAATTCTTTTATAGATTTTTTATTGCTTTTTTTAAATATTTTTTTTGATTTCATATTTTAAATAATTTTTTTTAAGTATATTATATAATTTTTTTTTTTTATTGTTAAAAATATTTATTTTTGTTAATTTAAAATTAATTATTAATAAAAATAAGTTTTATTAAAATTATTATAATTTAATTTGGTTTTTTATTTTAATAATGTCAATCCATTATTCTAAAAATATTATAGTTATTATAAATTATTCTTTTTTTGAAATGAACGAAATTTCAATTTAAAATATATATAAAAAATTAACTGTAATCACTATTTTTTTAATTACTATTTCATAATAATCAAAAATTAATTTAAAAGGAAATATAATAATATAAAAAATAAATTTTAATAATATTTGAATTTCCTATAAAAAATTTAACATAGAATTTGGACATGCTAAAGGAATTTCATCCTAAAAATACTCAAAATTTATAAACAGATTATGCATTTACTTATATTTTTATACAAAAGCTATTTTTTTTTTATTCATATTTTAAATTTATAATTTATATATCATATTTAATTATATAAATTAGAATTAATTATTATTGTTTTATCATTAATTATATAAAATTGATTTATTTTTAAATTTTTGAATCTATTTTTAAGTAGTCTCTAAAAAATTTTGAGAAATTATTTAAATCTTATTTTTTAAATATATTTAAATTAAAATTGAAAATAATATTTTTTTTTTAATTTTTGTAGTTAATATCTTATTTTTTTAATATGTATATTTTTATACATTTATTATTTTTCTCTTTAAATAATAATAATATATTTTTATTTTTATGTCATATTCATTTTGATTTACTATTTTATTTTTAAATTTAAAAATTTTAAATACTTATTTTTTTTAAAAAAAACTCAACTAAAAATATAAAAAAGTTCATTATCTGTTTATATTATTTGATAATGTTATTAAAAAATAAAATAATATATAAAAAAGTAATTTTCTATTTGTTCAAGATTTTATAAAACGTTATAATTATATAAATAGTTTATAACAATTTAATGAATGTATATATATATATTATTTTATTTTATTTATTTTACAGTTATTAAATTATTTATTTCGTAAAATATAAAATAAAAACTGTTAATTAAATTATAAATAATAAAATAAACTAAAAAACGCAATTGATTATTTAACTATAGTTTTATTTTAAAATTAAACTATTTGCAATTATTTCTTCAGCAAGCAAAACATTTACTTTTCTTAAATTTATTCTAATAATTTAAATTCATAATTATTATTATTTTAAATAATAATTTATTTTTTTAAATTAAATATAAATTATAAAATATTTAAATAACGATTATTATAATTTTTATATTTAAATTTATAAATTTTTTTATTTTAATAAAAAAAATATAAACAATAGATTTTTTATTATTAAAATTACTGTTATATATTAATTGTTTATCATATATTTTTTATATTATTAACTTTTAAAAATCTGTTTATATTATTTCTAACATTTTTTAAAATATATTTATTTTTCTATTATTATTTTATAATAAATTTAATTTATATTAATTTATATTTATAACTAAAATTTAAATTCATAATATAAAAAATGGATACTTTATTAATAAAATTTGAAATTTAATAAACTTTTTATTTAAATTTTCATATATAAAATTTTGATAGAAATAAATAATTAAGTTCAATAAATTTTTCTTGATTATAAATAATTGTGATAATATTTAAATTATATTTTTTAGCAATTTAATCTTTTTATATAATAAAATTATAATTTTCTTTTTTTAAAAACTATATATAATATTGAAGCAATCTTTTTTTTAAATTAAATTAAAATATGTTTTTTGATATTAATATATATAAGAAATACAGAATTTTACTATTTTAAAAATATATTTTTTGATAAATAATTTATTATTTATATATATTTTTTTTAAATATATATATATATGTATATACATTTTTATAATTTATATATATTAATAGAAAAGTAATTTTTGTAAATTAATTTTTAAATTATTAAAAAATAGCAACTAACACATAATAACTTTTAAAAAATGGACGGATTTACAGTAGAAAGATATTAAAAAGTTGAAAAAATAGGAGAAGGAACATATGGAGAAGTATATAAAGCAAAAGACTTATAAAATTAAGAATTAGTAGCTTTAAAGAAAATAAAATTGGAAAACGAAGATGAAGGAGTACCATCAACAGCATTAAGAGAAATATCAATTTTGAAAGAGCTTTAATAGCATCCAAATATAGTTAAGTAAATAAAAAATAAAAATAATTAAAATAAATTAAATATAAAAGCATGAATGAAGTTATTTATTAACCTCATGAAAAGAAATTAATTTTAGTTTTCGAGTATGTAGATTAAGACTTGAAAAAATTCTTAGATTAATATAGAAAAGACAAGACTTTAAGACTCGCTACATATTAAATAAAAGTAAAAAAAATTAAGAAAATATTATATATATTTATATATAAAGTTAATTATGTATCAAATATTAAATGGGCTAAATTTCTGTCATAGTCGTAGAATTATCCATCGAGATTTAAAACCTCAAAATGTTCTTATTGATAAAAAAGGAAATATAAAAATTGCTGATTTTGGTTTGGCTAGAGCTTTCGGAGTTCCTATTAAAACATTAACTCATGAAGTTGAAACTTTATGGTATAGAGCTCCTGAAATTCTTTTGGGATAAAAAGCTTATTCATTAGGAGTTGATATTTGGTCTTTAGGATGCATATTCCATGAATTAGTTGAAAAAAAAGCACTTTTTATGGGAGATTCGGAAATTGATTAGATTTTTAAAATTTTTTAATACCACGGAACTCCTAATGAAAATAATTGGCCTGGGTTGAGAGAATGTCCCTATTTCAAATCTACTTATCCAAGATTTAAAAAGGCTGAAGAAGGAGTTTATTTTAAAAACTTTGATAAATTAGGATAAAACTTAATTGAAAAAATGATTGAATTAGATCCAGCTTAAAGAATTTCAGTTAAAGAAGCTCTCAGACATCCTTATTTTGATGAACTAAAAAAAGAGGATATTATGAAATATAATTTTGTTTAAAATTAAATATTTTGATTGACTTTTTTTTTTTTTTAATCATTTATTTTTGTTTGCTTTAATTTTATTTTATCATTATATTATTTTTTATTTACATGGCTTGGTTATTTATTTTTTAATCTTTTCTTTTTTTTTTTTTTAATAAGATATAAGATAATATCTTATTTTAATTTGAATTAATAAAAATATTTTAAATTTAAAATATCTAATTTAACTTAAATCATATACCTATTAAATATATAAATTTTAGAGAAATATTATATAAATAAAAATATGAAATATTACATAAATAAAAATAATGATAAGATATATTTTTTACTCAATTTTTTTTTTTTCAAAATATAAAAATTTAAATTAAAATTAATTTTACATAAAATAATTATAATAAATCAATAAGATTTCAAATTATTATTAGAAGAAAAAAAATACATATATATTTTATTAATATATATTAAAACTAAAAAAATAATTTTATAACTTTTTATTAAATATAAAAAAAATTGTTTTTTTTGTTTTTATGGTATTTTTATTAATTAAATCAATCTCTAAATAATTCTTCATCACAATCACTTTGATTAAAGTTTTAGTTAAAATCATTTTCTTATTATTAATTAACGCTTTATTATTAATTTTCACTTTCTTATTATTAATTTTCACTTTCTTAATTATCTACCTATTAATAACTATTAAACTATTTTTCTACTTTAATTTCTTATTTTTGAGAATTCTAATCGGTATGTTTTTCTAAATCTTATACAGATTCTATCTCTGGATAAAATAAAAAATCAATATTAATAATTAAAATATAAAATACATTAATTTAACTCGTTATGACTTAATTCTTTTTAAATTTCATCAAACAAACTTTATTTTTTAAAAAATATTAATAAAAAATAAAAAATTACTTTTCCTATAACTAATCTTCTAATCTATAAGAATTTTAATTTTTTTAATCAAGCTCTTAACTATTATCAATCATATCTTTTTATTAAATTTCTTTAACCAAATTAAGTAAAGTACTTATTGAAGCACCTGTTTTTTTCGACAATAACCAAGCTACTTAGTATTTATTTCTTTTTTTAGGATCGTAGAATTTGTTAAAAAAACTCATTATAGCTAATTATTCTTCTTTTGTGTATTTACATGGTTTTTTGTTTTTAAATATTCTATCAAAATCAAAATTAAATTATTGTATTTTTCGAATTTTTTTATAAGTATTTTTTTATATATTTATAGTTTAAATATTTTAATTTTCAAATTTATTGTCTTTTTTTTAATCCTAATAAGCAAATTCTTATTAAAATTCTTCACTTTTCTAGTTTTCTTCTTTTTTTATTATGAAAAAAAAAAAAAAATTATTCTAAATAAAAATATTTATTACCATTATTAGATTAAGACTCATAATGATCAGAAACACTTATTTTTAGTTTGATTAATTTAAATAATGCTGTTATATCCTATATTAATGTATTTTCTAAATTTTCAGCAAATACTAATAGATCGTTTGATGAACTTTCTAATGATGGACATTCTAACTAATTTGCATAATCAACTAAAGTATAACATATGGAATTTTATAAGGTTTTAAGGCATTAGAAAAATTCGCTTTTTTGCATTTTTTTTAATTAATAAAATATTATTTCTTATATATATATATATATATATATATATATATAAATAATAAATTTTATATGTTTTTATAAAGTTGGAGATTTATATTACAGTTTATTACACTCTTTTAATTTTCCAATTTTCCAATTTTTTAATTATTAATATATATTAAATTTCAAAAATAATAATTTATATTATTATAAATATAAAAATTTTAATATTCTAAATAAAAATTATACATTAACAAAATATTAAATTATTTTATAAAAAAAAATATATTAGTATTATATTAAATTACTAAATATAATATCAATAGTTAATAAAAAGTAAAAACATGCATATAAAATATGAATAAATATATAAATTAAATAAGCAAATATTTATTTAAATAAAAAATAAATAATAATAATAAAAAAAATCATATGGTCTAATGGTCTTATATTTAAAAATAAAAATAATAAATATAAATAATTATATTTGCCAAAATCTAAAAAATAAATTTATCATTATTTATTTTAAAAGTTAGGTTAACCATTAGAAGCTAATAATCTTTACCAATCTCTATCTTCAGGTTTAATACATCTATTAGTGCCAAAATTAATAATTTATTCAAGAGGAATATAAGCTATTCTATTATTAATATGTCCAACAGTAAACCCAGTATATCCAGCCATTGATCCATGTACTGCATTTTAAGCCAATTACCTTTAATATAAAACAAAAATTAAAAAAAAATATGTATATTTAGATATATATATATATATATTATATATATATATATATTATATATATATATATATATATATATATTTATACTTATATATATATATAATATTTTTTTTTTTTTATTTACATGCACATTTTTCTATCTAGTGAATTAGCTGGTACTGTTCTTATCATATAAGTAGGATTAATATATTTTAGAGTAATATCAAGTTATCTTTATTTTCCATATTCAACAATTTCTTTTTGCAAATAAGATCCAATGTCACTTAATTTAACATTTCCTGAAGCATCTCTTTCACCTGATTTTTCAATTTTTCCGTCTAAAACAGCATCCCCTGCGCCTTCTGCTACTACAACTAAACAAACTCTTTTTTTTAATAGTCTTTAATATACATATTCTAAAACACCATTTTTTCCATACAAATTAAACTTAAATTCAGGTACAAGACACACATGCACATCTCTGGAAGCATTAGTAGCTTCCATTGCAATGAATCCTGCTGATCTGCCCATAAGTCTAACTAATCCTACTCCATATTCTACACAATGAGCTTCTACATATGCTGATTAAATAGCCTTTACAGCTTCTTCTACTGAAGTTTCAAATCCAAACGATTTATCAATAATAGGAATATCATTATCTATAGTTTTAGGGATACCTACTATTGTTATGTTTAGTTTTTTAGCCATAATTTCTTAAAAGAGGATATTGATTCCTCTATGAGTGCCATCTCCTCCCAAACAATATACTTAATTGATACCTCTCTTAATTAAATTTTCAACCATTTTATCTTTATCAAATCCTCCTCTTGATGTTCCTAAAATAGTACCTCCTTCTCTTTATATATTTTTTACTCTTTCTACTGTCAAAAGTTCCCATTCGTATTAATAAAAACCTCTATAGCCATATTTAATTCCATATATTTCCTTAACACCATAATTATAGTATAAACACATAAACAATTCTCTAATCACTACATTTAAACCTGGACATAACCCTCCGCATGTAACAATTGCAGCTTTTACGTGTTTTGGATCAAAATAATTGTGTTTTCTTGGACCTGCTCGGAGATAACGTTTAGAATTCTCAATTGTATTCGTGTTATTTATAACAGCTTCAGCTTTTTTATTTTTTAAAAAAAATATTTATTTATTTTTACATAAAACGTATGAGCCACTATATGTAAATGCATTTTCAGGTAAAAAGCCCCCTCCTCCGAAAAATTCTCTATAATTGTTTTTGCCAAATAATGGACTTTAGTAACATGGAATCGAATCTTCTTAAGCCTTTTTAATTAATTTTTTAATTTTTTAATTTATTATTCTTACCACATCCATAATTAAATTATGGACTTTTAAAATATTACAGGTTCTACTTTGTAAAAATTTTAATTCATCCATTAAAGTATTGCTAGAATTCATTATTTCTTTAGGAATTAATAATGTTATTATCGACTATTTTTATGGATTAATATTTTTTTATAAAAAATAGAACGAGGTATATAAAGTTAATATTTTATTTAGGAAAAATATAATATATTTTTTAAATTTTTTATTTTAATAATACTTAAAATGTTTTGAGCTATCTTTATGTTATAATTTTTAGTATGTTTGGATACCTAGCGATTCAAAGATTTTTTTTTATTTTTATAACAATTTTATTTATTTAATAATAAAGAGGTAATTAGACTTGAACCAACAGCTAAGCCGAGTACATAGTATCTACTTTCTATTTAAAAAAATATGTTTGTTCAATATTTTTAGTATTTTTTATTTCAATTTTTGTTTATTTTATATATAGTTATCTTTTATATATGTATACCTTGAATGTTTTTTACTATATCCATTTATTATTATTTATTTTATTAATTAATATATTTAATTTTATTTTATTTAATTGATTTTATTTAATTAGAAATATATTAATAAATGCAATTAATACATATATATAAATAAGTAATTAATTTTTATATCTTTCCAAATTTATATTCTAATAAATTAATTAATTAATATAATATAAACAAAACTAATATTTATATATATAATATTATTTTATATAATAATTGATTTTATATGTTAATGTATTTATTATAAAAATGAAAGTAATTAAATAAAAATAATAACATCATTTTCTAATTTATAAATATAAAATATATGATAAGTATTAAAAAATTATATATAAAATAAAATAAAAAAGCAAATATAATGTTGAAAACTTTGTTTATAATATTAAAAAAAATAAAGTATAATATATTAATAATTTTAAATTTAATTTATTTAAAATATTAAATATTAAAAAAAATGATTAAAATAATAGGTTTAATAGTTTTGAAAAAATTTTAAATAAGTACTAATTTAAATTATACAAAAAAAATTTTTCTAAGGTATAATTTTATTTTAATTTTAATATTTAGTTTTTTATAATTTAATTATTTTAGGTTTAATAACATCATATATATTATACTTAATCTTTTTTATTTATTATTATTGAAAATAAGTTAATTAATCTAATGATTTTTTAATGTTACAAAAATTTAATTTTTATTTATTATTATTTATTTTAATAATGTCTTTATCATTCAAACTTTTAGGTGTTTACACTTGATTATTAAAAAAAATAGTTTTGAATATTTTTTTTTAATAATTTTCTTATAAAAAATAGGATATGCTAATATTAATAAAAGTAAAAAATAAGTATATTTAAAAAGTTTTTAAATTTTATATTTAATATTTATATCTTATATAAAAAATAATATTATTAATAATAAATTTATTGTTTGTTTATTAACATTAATATTATTATTTTAATATAAAAATATTTATTTAAATATAGATTATTATACAAACTAAATTTAAAATAATATTTTAATAATAAAAATGATACGTAAATATATACCTAAGTATCTAGTTCTTCAAATAATTTAATTTATAATTATTTTTAAATCAATCTTATATTTATTATTTTTTTTTTTTTTTTTTAATTTAAGTATATTTTTTTTATAAAAAATAATATTTAAAAAGAAAAGTATTATAAAGTAAATATTAAAAATAAATTATATACTTTAAACTTTTTCTTGTTGTAAAATTTTATTTTTATGATTTATAATGTATAAATCAAAGTTTTTTAAAGTAAAAAAATATTTTTTTTTAAAGAGTTTTTATAAATATTTTTTTTTTTTGTTAAATATTTATATTGAAAAAAAAAGTTTTTTTTTTATAACTTAATAAAATTAAATAATAATTACTATTATTAATTTACAATAATAATAATATAAAATATATATTATTTTTTCATATTGTTTTTTTATATATTGCAATTTATTTTATAAATATTAATCTAAATAAAAAAGCTAATGATAATTGTTTTTTTATGTTAATTGGCTTATAATTTAAATTACTGAAAAAATAAACTTTTAAAGCAATTAGTAATAAATTATTATAAAAAAATGATAAAACAAGTTAAAAAATATATGAAAAGCATTTTATTGATTATATATTTTATAAAATGCAAACCATATATTAGAATAATAGTCATATTACTTAATTTTTAAGAAAGTATTTTAAAATGTTTTTATTATTATTAAAAATATATATATAAATAATATTACATATAATTTTATATTTTAATTTAGTCTTATAATTTTATATTAGTTTTAATTAAATCTATTATTACCTTAATTTTAATAAAATAATATTTTAAAGGCGAGAAATTTTTACTTTTAATTACAATATTTATAATTAATTTTATTTTATATTTTAAAATAATAGTCCATTATTTAGTATAAAAATTATTGTTCTTAATTTATATTTTTTTTGTTAATAATAAATTTATTATAAATATTTAATATATTATTTAATTTTTTTAATCATATTTATCTTTTTATTTTAAATTTATTATCTTAAGTATTAAATGTTACTTCCAGAAAAAAATTACAATTATGTTTTTATTGACAATTTTTTAGATTAGCTTATCAATAAATAATTTTTTAAAATATTTTGTAGTTTAATAATTAATTAAATAATATAAATTTTCAGTTGGTATTCTATTATGTAAAAACAAAATAATTTATATATATTTATATGTAATATATTTTCTAAATCATATTCCATTAATAGTTTGTATTATGAAATATGGATATTAAGATTTATAATTTATTTTTATTTTAATTTTATAATTTCAGTTTATATTTAACTAAATATTAACAAGATAATTTGAGTTTAGATTTTTTTTTTTAATTGAAATTCAAAAACTTCAATTAGTTTTAAAAAGAAGAAAAAAATATTAAATATATAATTAAATAGCAACAAAAAGAATATAAATTTAATTTTTTTTAAATAAAAATTATAATAAATATGATCATTTTTATAAAATAAATAAATGATTTAATTAAAAAAAAAAAAAATATATTTATACAATTTTTTTTTCTCAAATAAATTTATTTTTAAATTTAATATAATTTATGGAATTTTTAATAAAATTAATTAAAAAGAAAATGTTTTTTAAAAAAATGGAAATACTTCTATTTCAATTTTAAAGTTTTAGTATTAAGAATTATATTTTTTTTATTACTATTTTAATTATATACATATATATATGTTATATTATCTTGCTAATTATATAAAAAATCTAACAGTTTATATAATTTGATTAATATTAATTTAAAATAAAAATATTATTTGTAAAATACATTAAAATAGTTATTTATTTTTTATTTTTAAATAAATACATACATTATCAAATACAAAAAAAAATAATATCATAATAATATTCAAAAAAAATAAAATAAAAATAAAAACAAAATAGAAATGTACAGTTCACCATACTAAAATAATTTTAATTAAGGAAGTTAAATTTATTAAAATAATAAAATTCCTTATTAATCATAATATCCTGTAAGTTAACAAGTTGGAAGTTATGCTGGCTCATACGGAGGTGGTCCTGCAATGGGAGGATCTCGTATAAACTAAGGATTATGTAAATATAAATGTTTTTTTTTTTAAAAAAAAATGAAATAAAAAGATAATTAGGATTATTATCATAGGGTGGAACCTTAAGTTCGTTCAAATTTAATAGCTGGTGCAGAAATATCAGAAATAGAAATGATATTGGAAGCAGAAAGAAGAAAATATAAAGAAACAAGAGAAAAAATTGAAGACGATTTAAATAATGAAAGAAAGTTAAGGGTTGAATTTGAGAATAAATTGATGCGTTTAAAAGTATATTATTATAAAAAAAATTTCATATATATTTATATATCAATATTTTTCTCTTATTTTTTTTTTTTTAATTTTTTTTTTTTTTTAATAAAAATTATTATAAAAATTAATATAAAGGATGAATCAATGAAAAGAGAGATGTTTGTTAGTGAATTAGAGTATAAAGTAAATACTTTAGGTCAAGAAAACGAGTCAATAATAAGTGAAAATCGTTCATTAAAAGATGAATTATAAAGAATGTAGGAGGTATATAATCATAAGATAAGAGAATTGGAAGAAAATGTACAATATTTATAAAGAGGAGAAGTTTAAATGGAAGAAAAATTCAAAATGGAAGTTGATAGAATAAGAAAAGACGGAGAAAGTGCTTTAGATAATTTAAATAGGTAATGGGAGTTTAGATATAAGAGCTTAGAAGAAAAATGTAAGAATTTACTTTAGTTAAAAAACGAAATGGAAAACGAAATTAATAATTTAAATAAAGCAATAATGAAAATTAAAATTGCTTCAGAAGAAGAATTAAGATAAAGATGTGTTTAAATTTAAGAAGAAGAATATCGTAAATTTTCAGCTAATTTAAGGTTTTTTATGAAAAAAAAATATTAATAAAATTTAATAATATATTATTTAATAAATAATAAAATTATTTTTTTATTATAATAAAAAAAGAACTGTAGAATAAAAATTAAGACTTTCAGAAGAATAAAAAGATTAACTTAGCAGAAAAATACATTAACTAGTTTAAGAGTTATAAGAAAAAGATAGACTCTTAAATGATAAATTTATGGAAAGTAATAAAGAAATAAATGATAAAAATACAGAAATAAATGATTTAAAGAATTTCATAGCTTAAATGGAAATTGAAAGAGATAAATTATTTAAAGAACTTTAAGCAAAAGAATCTCATTTAAGTATACTTTAAGCTGAATACTTGGAATTCCAAAATCAATCTTGTCTTTTTAAAAAAAATCAAGATGCATAATTAGAAGGAATGTAAGCTGAATTTACACGTGAACGTAGAAGATTAGAAGATATAAGAGATCAATAAGCTAGAAAAATATAAGAATTAGAATCTGTTATTAGATAAATTGAAAACGAAATGGATAAATGTAAATAAGAATATTAGAATTTAACATAAATGCTATAAAATAATATTAATAGAACTATTTCCTAAACTGTAACTGAAAATCATACTTATAAAGTTCCTAATACTAATGTAGGACCAAAGTTTGATTATAAATATAAATGAAAATAATATTAGAAAAAAAAAAAGAAAAACCTAATATATATAATTATTAATTATTTTTATTCTTTTTTTTATATTATTTTTAAGAAATATTATCTTTATACTTACAATAATATTTATAATATATTTATGTATTTTAATTCGATATATCAATTAAAATTTCTATAATTTCCTGAATAATTATTATCTCGTCTTCTTTTATCTTCTGAATTATTAAAAGCTAAATAAACAGATCCTGAAAGTAGAAGACATTTTTAATTCAAATCATATTTTTCGCAAAACCCAACTCTGTAAGTATCCAAAACACACTAACATAAATAAGGTCTTTCCTTAATAAGTATACTTTTATTATAATCTTTATCTTTTACATCGTAATGTATTTTTCTACAGTCTTTACAACAAAAGCAACCTAGAATATTTCCTACTTAGAAAGTTATATGCTTTATTTCTAATTCGTTTATGTATGCAGATTGTATTTTTAAATCCTAAAAATAATTCTCTATTATAGTCCCTATTAAAACTCCTTTCCCATTTTCATTTATATATATATTTCCTATACATGGAGAACATAAATTTCTTATTTTTTCTATATAAATAAATGATTAACTACCGTTTTCTTCAGTATCATTATATGCTTTACTTATTATTATTTCTAGTTCAATACCAGTTTATGATAAACCACTACACGGTATGTATTTTCCTTATGCAAATAGAAACGGAGTAGATTTTTTTGAATCATTTTCTTATAAGTTTCCTTATTAATCCCCTGAATATATTTTTAATATATTGTTCGTATTCCATGAAAAGTTATTCACAAATTCGAATGCTTATTCAATAAATAAACCATTAATATTTGATAATAAATCAGTATTTTTATTTAATTTGTTTAAAGATACTAGCTATTGGTTTTAAATAGTTTAGTTTTTTTAATAATTTTTATTATTATTTTATTAGCGTTTTTCATCTTTATTCTATATATCCATTATTTATTTATTTTTAAAATATAAACCTCTGGATATTATTTTTTATTTGTTAAGATTTAAATTATAAACTAAACTATAAAACATTCATTCAATAATTTAATTTCAAATTTTTGAGAATTTATTATTAACATTTTTTTTATTTTTTCAAAATTATAAAATATTCGAGGCCTTTTAAAAATAAATTAAAAAAAACAAAAACAAATACAACTATACCTCCCAATAGAATATATATATTGAGTGAATAAAAGAAAAAAAAAATATTGATTTAGGCATATATAATTTATTTCAACATTTTATTGTATTTACCGCCTAAATTATTTAATTATTAAAAAATAAAAACTTAAATAAAAAAAATAAAAAAAAAATACAAACAAAGCAAATATTAAACAATTAAAAATTGCTAAAATGAAGAGATAAAAAAGTAATTCTAAAAAATAACAACTTATAATTACACGAAGTTAAAGTAAAAAAAAGACTATACCAAAATCAAAAGAAAAATCATAAACAAAAAGAAAATAAACTAAATAAAAATAAGAAGAAAAGTATTTAATAACTCTCAATTAGAATAAAAAAAAAGCAAATATCAAAAAGAATTAAATAAAAAGAAAGAATAAATTTTGGTGGATATATCTTAGATTGAGAATAATCGTTAAAATTTAAAAAACCGGATAAGTAATTCAAAACAAAAAACCATTATAAAACAAGAAGAAGTTGAAGATCCTAAAAAAATTCCGACTAAAAGAAGAAATAGTGCACATAAAACTTAACCAAAAAAGGAAAAGAAATAAGATATATAAGAAAATAATATGTAAGTAGAAGTATAACCTTAATAATAAAAAGTCAAATAAATGAAAAAAAACAGATAATCAATAAAATAAAAACAGTTAGAAAAACATAAAAATATGATTCATATTAAGCCTTTAGAAGATAATTTTGATTTAGCAATATAAATGCTTTAAGAATATTCTCTACCAGAATAAATACCCTGTAGAGATTATGAAAAAAAATAAATTTAAGAATTTATAGATTAAGGACTATAGAATAATGGATAAACAAATTGCTTATGTATTATTTTGTTTTAATTAATTATTATTTTATTTTATTTAAAAAAAAAAAGATATTTCAGGTGTCCCTGGGATTGGGAAAACAGCTTCCTTCTTAGAAGTAATAAGAAATATTTAAAAAAAAGAAGAATTTTTATTTATTCATATAAATGCAATGAACCTAAGTAATCCAGAACATGTTTATTAATTGATTTTATAACATATTATTGGTGAATATATAGGATAATTGAATATAACATAAACATCTTCATTTTCAATATTAAGTATAACTTTATTTTAATATTCGATAATAAAATAATATAAAAAAAGATGAAGTTTTAACAAAAGGAAAATTTCCTTAAAAATATAAATAATTAAATTAATACATAAATCATAAAAATATGTAATTTTTATTTTGTTAAAAATAAATAAATAAGTTATTTTTTTTTTGTTTATAATCAAAGTGTAATTCTTTTAGATGAATTGGATTTTCTAGTAACCTAAGATTAAGAAGTCTTATATAATTTAATGGAATGGCCACATCATAAATAATCAAAGCTTACCATTATTGGGATAGCAAATACGATGAATCTTCCAGAAACTTTATAAAACAAAATAAAAAGTAGAATGGGAGCTCTAAGGCTAATATTCAATTAATATACATAAAGCTAAATATAAAAAATAATAAAATATAGACTGGAGAACGTAAAAAATGTATTTGAAGATAGTGCAATATAATTTGCAACGACGAAAATAGCATAAAGTTCTACTGATTTAAGAAAGCTTTTAAAAATATTAAGGAAATCAATTGAAATATGTTTAAAAGAAAATTAATAAAAAAAACTAACATTCTTATTCAAATTTAACATATAAATAAAGCTTATTAATTATAATATAATTCTGTTTAAGAGAAAATATTTTAATCTTTTCCCTTTTAATTTAAGGTTATCATTATCTCTATTGCTTTAGAAAATAAAAAAAGAGATACTAATATCAGTTATTTATCCTAGGTTTTTATTTTTGTTTATATTTATATTTATTAATTTTGTTAACTAGATTTATGAGAGATATTTATTTATGTTAAATAATTTGGGGGAATAAAAATAATTAAGCTTAAGTTAGGTTAATTCTGTTCTTAATTAATTAGCAAGTTTAAAAATTTTATAAATAAAAGAAAAGCTATGGACTTAGAAAGAAATAATAAACTGTAATTTAGATCCTAATAAATTCCAAATTAGTAATTTTGTTGATAAATGTATTACTTCGTAATTTGAAGTTGATAATGTAACCAATTACCTTAGAGATGACGATGTTTATAAAAATTTTTAATTTTAATTTTGATTAAAATAAGATAAAAATTAATTTATTTAAAAAAATAAGAATTAAATAGTTTATCGATTTTAAAATATAAATAAAAAATGTTTAAACATATAAATTATTAAAAAGAAAAAAAAGTTATATTTAAAATAATAAAATATAAATTATTTCTTTTGTTTCATATTTCTAATAAATTCATCAATTAATTTTAAAAAATATCGAAATTTTATAAGTTTAATTTTTTATAAGTTTATTAAAAAGATCCTAAACAGATTAAATTGAAAATTATTTAAGATAGTAAATTTAATTTTCTTTAATTTAAAATATTAATTTTACATTAATTAAAGATAACATTATTAATTTAATCTATTATTTCTTATTCATTTTAATTTGTTTATTTTTTATTTTCATCATAGTATCTATTTATATTTAAAGCAATATTTTTAATACTTACAATCAAATTATCTTCAAAAAGTGAAGAAAAGTTATTTAAAACAATATTATTTTATATTACATTCTCACACAGTTATTTAATAATAATAAATATTTATAAAAATGAATTATTAAGTTATAAAATATCAAATATTTCTAATATTTTTTCACTAACTAAAACATAATTTTATAAATATATTTATGATAATTTTTCGTATTAAAATACAAATTAAAAATGATTAAATTTTGTTTACAAAAAATTAATTAGAAAATCTTAAAAACTTTAATCTTTAAAAAAGCAAAACCAACTAAAGTTAATATGTTTACAATTTAAAATTAAATTAAAGCATTTATAATATTAGAAAATAATTTTAACTTATTAATTTTCTTTTAAATATTTTGCTATATGATTTAAATAAATAAAGAAAGATTTAAAATAAATATAGCTGATTCCATTTTTTTATATAATTTCGTATCTATCGTTCTAATCATCAAGAAAATTTTAAATGAAAATCATTTAAGCTTTTATTAATTCTTCACTTTAATTGTTAAATTAAAAAATTTAATCAATTTTTGGTTATAACTTTTTCAAAAAAACATAAAAAAAATGCTTATTTTTTAATTATTTTAAAATTCCGATTGCATCATATATGAAAAATACTAAATTTTCTATATATTTATCATTTGTTTATTAAATAGTTTATAATAGTTAATTTATTGTAATTTCTATTTTATAAAAATAATTTTATGTTTCATCTGATAAGTTTAATATTGTTAATAATTCATATCCTATTGTTCTATGTTTTATATGAAATTTATTTTTCGAATTATAATTGCTTATTACTTAGCTTAATTCTTATGTAAAAATTATTTTTTTAAACTCTTATATGTGATAACATTGAGATAATTTCTAAACTAGAAAATTAATTATACTTAAAGTATATTAACATTATTGCTTTTTATCTTTTGGATGTTCAAATATTTAATTAAATTTTGTTAAAAACATTAAGATTATTTATTCAAAGTTTTCTTTAATTTATAAATTTTGTATAAACTAAATTATTTATTAATTTTTTAAATATATTATACTTATATATTAATTATTATTATTTTACTTTATTTTAATCACAAATTCTATCAAATAACATTTTATCATAATTATATTAAGATTAAGTTGTTACTAAAGTTTTTTATAAAAACAATTCAATAAAATAAAGAAGTGAGAATTCCAAGTTTTAATCAAAGTCTTAAATTTTATTATAATTAATAATTTAGATTATCATTTAAATTTGTAGTATTACAGTTTTTTAATCGTTTTCTTAAACTTATATTAAAATTTATTTATCAAAAGCTATAAAAGTTGAAAGATAGATTAATATTGTTAATAAATTTTATTAATCATTAAAACTATTCATATTTTAAAAAATTTTAATTATTAAATTAATAACAAGTAAATTATTTTAAACATTTTCAAAAATAATTTTATAAAAATAAATTTTCATTTATTTAGTGAATTATTTATAGTTTATTAATTTTGATCCATTAAAAAAACTTTTACTTTTATTAATTAATAGATTTTAAAATTGAATTAAAAACTTTCAAGTAAAATGTTATAAATTTATATTTTTATTTATTAATAAACCTTATCTTTATAATCTAATATGTATCTTTAATATACTAAATTTGGTTTTTTATATTAACTATCAAATGTTTTTGTCCAAAAAGTAAATAAATTAGATATTTAATCATTATTAATCTTTATTTAGTTTTTTTTTTTAAAAAAAAAAAATAAAAAAATTACATTGAAATATAATGAATTAAAAACTTAATTTGTAAAATTTTATACATTTGTAAAAAACAGAAGGGAATTTTCATCAAATTTAATTAATTTTTTTATACCAAAATTTTAAATCATAATATTTAAAATGTCATTTATAAAATTTATTCGATTTGAGTTGCAATTTTAAATTATATAATTAATATTTTCAATAAATGTAAATACAAATTATATTTTCTATTCTTTTTCTAAGATTTCAGTAATTTTGCATTAACATATGCTTAAATAACATCCTAATAACTTAAATAATATATTAAATAAAAAAAGAAACTTTTTTAACAAAAAAATTATTAACTTTATCTTATAAATCAGTATCTACTAGTATGTAATATTTGAATAATTTTTGAAGAAAATTTTTATTTAAAAAGCCTTATATTATTTATTAAGGAAACTTTTTATAAATAAATTAAATTAAAAATACAATAGATAAAAATTACTATTGTTAATTCACTTTCTTGATCTTTTTCAAATTCAGTATATTAAATATTATATTTAAATTATAAAATATATAATAGAAGATCTATAAATGAGTTTATTTATTGATTTTAACTCATCAGATTTTCAAAACATTGAAATAACCAATTAGAAATTAAAATCAGATAATTATTTTGAAATGACAATAATAATTATTTATATTTTATATATCCAATATTATTAGAGTATTATTATATGTTTTAAATTAAGAAACCAAAAATATATGCTTTGTAAATATTATTTCTTATTTATAATATTATTTCTTATATTATGTTTTCCTATTATTATATCTATATAAATTTCTAAATAAGCATCGCTATTAAATTACAAATTGATTTAATTATATATAATTTTAAATCTTATTAATTTTAAATTATTTATATGCAAGTTTCTAATAAATTATATGATTGCGTAAACCTATTTTATTGCTAATATATTTTTGTAAGTACTTCAATTAATATAAATAATGAATAATTAGAATCTATTTATTTTATAAATTAAATTATTTAATATATATTTTCTTCTTTTTATGCGAATTAATTTAATTATTCATAATAAAAACTTTCATTCTATAAAAAATTTTAATAAATATTTAAATTATTTTATATTTTTATTATAACTATTTTCTTAGAAATATTTTCCAAACATATTTTGAGTTCTTCGAATTCCATTTTTTTAATTTTGTATATATTTAAAAATTGAAGAAATATATATTATATATATATATTTTTTTATATTTTTTTAAATAAAAAACAAAAAATTAAAATAAAAAATTAAAAATTCATACATCTTAATTATATATATTATATGTTTAAAAGTATTATTTATAATCCAAATAAATAAAAAAATAATCATTTCGTTTTCTCTATAACTGCACTAACAGTAACTACACTTCTTCTTTTGTTATTTTTATTATCATTTTATGATCCAGTTTAAAGTTTTTTCCATTTAACCAAATTTAATTAAACTAGCTTTTCTGCTATTGCAATTGCAAGTGGAATAAAATCTCCTTTTGCCTAAAATTCAATTATTTCTCCAGTTTATAAAAAATCTTATGATTCCTTTAAATATTGTGCATAATTTAATTAATCTATTAAAATTAGTTTATAAAAACTCATATTTATTATTGAATATTTAATTTTAATTTTGTTTATAAATTTTTAATTTTTTATAAAAAAAGATTTATAAAAACTTTTAAATTATAAAAAAAAAAAGTAAAAGTAATTAAATTAAATTAAATTATAAAAATCATATTTTAAATTAAAAAAAATGATTCCTCCGAGGTTTGAACTCGGGACCTTCAGTGTGTTAGACTAACGTGATAACCACTACACTAAGGAATCAGTTACAATATTTCATATTTTTAATAATTCTTAATTGTAAGGATAAAAAGGATAAATAACATTAATATACACTAAATTTTGAATTATACAATTAATTTTAAATAAAAAAATAATTTTATTAATATAATATATTTTAATTTTTAAATATTATATTTAATTATTTTTTAAGTTAATTTTTTATTAAATACATTTATTATATTATGATATTTTATATATATTATAAAAACAAACTTATTAAAAAATAACTTGTTATTATAAATTTATTAAAAGAATAATTTGTTTAAATAATAACAATAATAAAAAAAATATAATTTAAATTATTATATTCGTTTGTTTACATTATAAAAATAGTTTTATAGGAGAAAACATATTTATTTTATTTTAATAAAACAAATATTAAATTAAAAATAAATATTAATTCGTTAGTTATAAAAAAAGGTAATAATTAATGGAAAAATCAGATTACTAATCTATGCTATCTATACAATGTATAATTATATATATATATATATATATATATATATATATATAAATATATATATATATATATATATATATATACAAAATATACAAAATAAATTAATTAATAAACAAAAAAAGTTTAATTCTTTTTATATATTATTTTTTATAATTAGCTGAATAGTATAATTAATCTATAGCTTTGAATATATAAAATCAACAAAATTAAATAGATAAATTTTTATTAAAGCTTAGTAATAAAATTATGAATAAATTAAACATTATTTACATAATATAAAAAAAGTAAAAAAAAGTAGTTATTAACATCAGTTGATTTTGAAATTGCATAAAATTTACAAAAAAAAGATAGTTGTTAAATTTGCTTATTAACTTACAATACTATAAGATTAATATTTTAAAAAAATTGGTAAAAAAATAATAATAAATATATATATATATATATATATATATATATATATATATATATATATATATATATATTAATATAGTAAAAAATGTGGAAAATCTATATGTGATGAATGCTCATAAAAAAAATTAATGATAAAAGAGTTTGTGATATTTGTTTTTTAGAATTTAATGATGCTAGAGTTTTTTTTAAAAAAAATTAAATATATTATACAAAGCAATAATATTTTAATAGAATTAATAAATCCGAAATAGTTAATTTGAACTAATGTAACTTTAGATTTAAAATATTTAGAAAGATTTAGTTTAAACTATTACATAAATTGAAGAATAAAACAAAGAAATAACTTAAATTTAATAAAAAGTTATTTTTTTTTTCTTTATTTAAATATTTTTTTTAAAGAAACTTTAAAATCATCAAGAATAATAAAAGAATTTATATGATTTATAATTATATTTGAAAATTATTACTGAATAATTATAATAATTAAATAATGAATATAATTAGTTATAAAGTTAAAGTTCATAATTTAAAAAAAATTCATAAGAAGATGAAAATGAAATTAAAGTATTAGAAAATGACATTGATGAATATAAAAAAAACATTAAAAATATATAATAAAAAATTTAAGAATAAAAGGAAAGAATAAAACAAATATAAGATAGAATTAATACTAATAAAGAAATTCTCTAATCTGTAATATTGTTAAAATAATATATTGTTGTTGATATTGTTTTTTTTATTTTTTCTAAAATATTTTTTAAAAAACTCAATCTACCAAAAAAATTAAAAAAAAAAGAGAGAGAAAAAATAATTAGATAATCTCCTTTTTTTTATTAATAGAGTATTTTAAAAATAATAAACAGAAAAAATTAAAAAACAAGTCAAATATTTTTATAATTTTATATTTAATAATTTTAATTTTCATAGAGGATATTAGAATTATAGGATAATAATAGTTTATTTTTATCTTCAAATCAATAATCAATTAAGGATTTAAATACAGTGGATGGATCAAAAAGAGACTATAATGTCAATAATTAAAATAAAAATAAAAGAAATTGAATACATAATTATATTTATTTAATTTTATATTTTATTATAATACAATTAAAAAAACATAATTTTAATATATCAAAAAAATAAAAAATAATAAGATATTTTTTTTTTTAATAATTATTAATTTTAATTTTGTCTAAAATTTATATTAATTTTTCTATTTGATATTATAATAATATTCATTTAATAATATTTAACATTTAAATAAGATATAATATGCAAAAAAAAATATTTAATAAATTATAAAGATATATTGTTATCATCTATTATTATTTATTTAGTAAATTTTAATATATTTATATAAATAATACTTAAAAATATTCATAAATTTTTATAATATGAATTTATTAACATATTATTATATTATTATTCAATAAATATTATTGTTAAGAATAACATTATTAATGATTAATTAATTCTCATAAATTTTATAATTATAGATTTTCTTTAAAATTATATTAAAATATATATTTAAAAACAATTTTTTTAGTTTTTTTTTATTTAATTTTTTAATAAATATATATTTATAAAATATCATATATTACTTATTATTAAAAATATATTATTTTAAAAAAAAAAAAACATATAAATTATTTAATTTTAGTATTTTTTTTATATTTATTAGCAAATAAATATTCAATTTAAAATTAAAGTAATTTTAATATTTAAATTTATTTATTTTATTTTATATTATTTTTAATATCTATATAAAATAATTATAATAAATTAATATTTTTCAGCTGTTATCAGTATAATTTTTATATGCAAACGTTGATTATTTATTTCTGATATTGAAATTATTAGAGATTTCTTTAGAATGTGTTAAACCCATATAATTTTCCATATCATATGTTTTTTCTCTTTTAGAATCTTATAAGCTATTATATCTTTCTCTAATTTATTATTCTTAATTTAAAATATTGTTAAGTTATTATTCAATTAATTATTTATTTTATAAAAAGTGTGTTTTTTTTAGTTATTTTCTGTATAAGTATTAATATATTTGTTTTAGAAAAATTCATTTCTATTTTATTACGATTCTAACTTTTATTATTTGACTTTTTCTGCTTATATTTTTTTTATTCATCATTATTTTCTTTTATGGATTGAATTTATTTAGAATTTTTGTAACTTTCCTAGTTTCTGGCTTCGACATCATTTTTTTTGTTTGAATAAAGTTACTCTTTTGATTATTATATGTTTTATTTAATTTAATTTTTTAATTATTAAGTAGATTAGCTTATTATTTCATTTTAAATTTTGTTTTATTCTTTCATTTTTAATAACTATTTTTTATAGTTTTTTTTTATAATTTTTTTTTTTTTACATCTTAATAATGTTAATATTTTTATTATCTTATTCTTTCTAAATATTATTTCTTCATTTCTAAAGATTATTACTTTGCTAAAGTTAATTCTTCTTGTTTTAGAAGTAGCTATACTCTTTTTTAAGCCTATTCAAATTGTGACTATGCTTCTAATTAAGCTTATTTAGCTACCCAAGGTGATGCGTCTTCTTTATTTGCTCTCTATTATATACTTTATTTGTTTAATTCTATTTATTCTACTTTTTTTAAAGCTTAAGAATTAGGAGATTCATATTTGTTTTTTCCATTGAGTTAAGGCAATTTTGTTTGCAAATCTTAAATATTTATTTTTTGTTATTTAAAGTTTATTGGTAACATTTATTATTTTTTTTATAATATTTTTTTTTATATTTTTTATAATATAATACAAAATAAATTCTATAATAATAAATTGCGTTTATATATTATTTTTCATTTAATTATTAATATATTTAAAATAAAATTAACCAATTAATTTTTTTCTTACAATAATATGAAATCAAAATAAAATATTTTTTATAATATCTGTCTATATTATATAATTATTTTTTATAATTTATTTAAATATAAATAATTTTTTTACTAATTAATTAAACTAAGTAATAATATTTAAAGTATTTTTATTTATTTAATATAATTTTAATCCTTTTTGTTAATATATAATATAAAATAGTATTTTAATGTATTTCTTTTTAGATTTTAAATTTGATATTATTAATATATGTTATTAATATCTTTTGAATTTAAGTATTTAAAAATATAAGCGGACAGTTTATATTATATTAAATATGATTTTGTTTACTATTTATAAAAACTATATAAATTTTAAAAAATTTAATATAAAGATTTATTAAAAAAATAAATTAAATATATATAATTTCTTTTTTTTTTTTAACAAAATTAAAAATGTTATATAATATTAATTTAATATTTTATTAAATTTAAAATTTTATTTAATTAAAATACTAAAATATAATAAATAATTTCTTGTAATATAAATATAAAAATACTTATTTACAAATTAAAATAAGTAAAGCAATAATTAAAAATAGTTATAAAAAATATAAATATAATAATAATTTATATTAATTTATTTTAAATATTTATTTATATTTTTATAGAGCATTTAAAACTATCAAAAAAAAATATATAAAAAAAATTAAATTATGTAAATGAGTATTATTTCAATTAACAATCAATAATTATTACATCCTATAGAAAATTAACAAAACTAATAAAATTCTTAAGAAAATCTTCATTAAAATATATCAAATGATTAAATAGAAAAAATCGAAAATGAAAATTAGGAAAATAAGTAAAAAATTTAAATTGATGATAAATATTAGGTAATGTTATAATAAAAAAATGACAATATAAAAAATCTTAAGGAAGATATTTAAAAAACAAATTAAGTCGTAAAAAAGCTCAATGATGGTAAAAAAGTGCAAAGCTAATCAAAAAATAATTAAAAGAATTAATAATAAATTTATTAATTTCATTTTAAAAAGCAAAAGAAAAAAAATTAAAAAAAACAAATATAATAATAAAAATAATTATAATAATAATTATAAGGATAAGTATAAAATCAACAAATTTAATAATTATCCACATTATAATAATAATAAAAATTAAAATAATAAAGTATTTAGAATAATGATTAAAAAATACAAAATAACTTTATTATTAAAACTTATTAATAATAACATGTTTCTTTATAAAATAAGGAAACATAAGAAAACTTACCCCCTATAAGATAAAACCCTGTTGTTCCTATATAGTATTTAAATTCACTTAATATGAATTTAAGTACAAGTGTTCCTAAATTAAATAATTCTAATGAAATTACTATTGAAGGATAAAGTATTTTTAAATAATAAATTCTTAAAAGTTATGAAGTTTTATAAAAAACATATGAAGATAAAACAAAAGCAAACGAAAATCAATTAAATAATGTAATTATATTATTTTATATTAAATAAAAGAATCTAATTTCAATTATATTAACTTTTTCAATAAATTTTTAATATTATTATTTTAAAAAAAAACCAATATAGTAATAAGTAAAACTCTTAGTAAATAACCCATTATTTAAAATAAAAAAATCTAATTTATTGAAAATTCAAAATTAGAATTAAAATTAATATAAAGTAAAAAAATAACAAAATTAACTATTTTCAATAAAACAAAAAAAGTACTATATAGGTTCTGGTAATAATTCATAAATAATAAGAAGGATAATGTAAAAAAGAAAAGGATGGGTAGAAATACAATATGGATCGACGATGTTTGTGAATTTAAAATGGTAGTAAAGCAGCAGAGGATATTAATATAATCGTTTAGTTTTAAACAATAATTATAAATAATTAGTCAACCATTTCGAATTTCATCAAGAAATAACTGAGAAGCATAATTTAATTAAAAACTTAACATCTTATTGCCAATAATAAGGTTTAAATGTATTTGATATAACCCCTATAACATTTATTTTAGATGCAAATGATGATAAAATAGAATAAAATATGCAAGAATTTTTTCATTTTTATGAAAAGAATATGCCTTATTAAATAAAGAAGAAAATGACTTAAAAGCTATTAAGTGAAATTAAAAAAAAGATTAAAAATTATTTTAATTTTTCAAATAACGAGAAAAAAATGTCTAATAATAATTCATAAAAAACTAAATACAAAATTAACCCATCATATATATTAGATTACAACTCACCCTATATGTGGCTTCTTAAGCCAACTTTTCTTAATAGAGGAAGGGGAATTAATATTTTTACTGATCTAATTAGTCTTGAAAAATATATTGGTTAGTATATTAATGGAACAGAAGAAAAAATTCTTGTAAAGAAATAAAATCTAGAAGAAATAAAATTAGATATAAATAAAAAAGAAGATAACGAAAAAAATGAAAATGTTGTTGATAATTAAGAAAAATTAAAAATTGATGAAAAAGTTAAAAATTATGAATATGTTTAAAATAATACAGAAAAAAATATATAAAAATAAAAGAATGAATATAGTTCGAAAAAAGAAGACAAATAAAATTAATAATAAAATGACGAAAAAAACGTAATCTTAGAAAATAACTAATAGTTAATTAAAGATTAAGACCATTAATAAAAATAAGATAAATAGTAAATCTAAATAATATAGAAAAATTCTTAAAGTTAAGTATTAACAAGAGCTTAGACAGTAAAAATATAATTAAATTATGTTAAATAATTTTAAAAATAATTTTTTTAAAATTTAGTAAAATGAAGTAAATAGAAAGTCATAAATAAAATCATAAAAAAAATATAATAAGTAAAAATAATAATCATAAATAAATAAAGAACAAATAATAAATAATAATTAAAATAACAACAAATAAAACCTTTTTAATAATGAAGTTACAAGTAGCAATCAAATAGTTAATCAAGAATAAAAAAATAATCTAAAAGAAAATTCAAGTTAAAGTAACAATATTGAATAGCTATAGTAATATCAATAATAATTGTAATAGTAATAGTAATAATAATAATAATAATAATAATAATAATAATAATAAAATAATATTTTAATTAATTATAAAAAATAAATTATCCAAAAATAAGAAACTCCACCTTAATAAAAGGAACAAAAAATAGCAAATAATAGTAGTGGTATAATATTAAAAGTACATAGCTTTGTTATTTAGAAATATATAGAAAAACCTTTTTTGATAAATAAAAGAAAATTCGACTTTCGAATTTGGAGCCTATTAACTTAAGATTTAGATTTATATTTTTTTAAGTAAATAAAAAATAAATAAAATTTTTAAAATAAAATAGAGAAGGATACATAAGGACTTCTTCAGAAGAATTTTAATTAGATGCAAATAGTGCAAGTAATTAATTTATACACTTAACAAATAATGCAATATAATAACACGCTTAAAATTATGGTTAATTCGAAAGTGGAAATTAAATGTCGTTTTAGGAATTTGAGGATATTACAAATAAAAATATTGAAGGTAAAAAAATAAACTTTAATTAAGACATTTTAAAAAGAATGAAGGAAATAGTTTTTATAACTTTCGATTCTATTAAGAAAAAAGTTGATATTTTTAATCGTAAATTTTGTTTTGAAATATTTGGTTTTGATTTCATTTTAGATGCTAATTTACATTTGTGGTTAATTGAAGTTAATACTAATCCCTGTCTTGAGTAAAGTTCTGTTCTTTTGAAAAAAATAATGCCAAGAATGATTGGTTTTTTAATTTTTTGTTATTTATTTTTATTTTTTAAATAAAAGATGATGCTTTTAAACTCACTGTTGATTAACTTTTTCCTAAAAATAATTAAGTTATTTAAAATCTAAACTAAAAAAATGAAATACATAATGTTGAGAATAAAAATTATATTGATTTTTAAAGAAAACAAAAGCATAACAATTCTAAAATAATCATTGATTCTTCTTCAAATCTTTTTGTTGTTGAATAATAATAATAGGAAGTTATAGAGGAGTATTTTCCTGTTGAAGGTTATAGTGATAATGAAAATATGTGGTAATTTATTTTAAAATAAGTATTTTAATAATATTTTTTTATTTAAGGGAAAAACTTGCAAATTTAAAGGAAGAAACTAAAAAATGAAATAAATATTAAATATATTTTTAATAAAAAAAAATAATAAATATAAAAAAAAATTTTGGAATAAAAATAAAAAATGAGATACTTTGGAATTTGCTATGAAAAAATAAGCATTTTTATTGTATTTTTACTTATTTTAAAATTAAAATAATTTTTTATTTTTATTTTATATTTTTCATATGTTTTTTTTTATATTAATTTATTAATCAAAGTATGAAATAAAGAATAATTTTTATAAATATGAAAATTATCATTTTAAGATTAAAATATAAATAAAAAAAATAATACACTTATATATATATATAATTTTATATTTAAATATTCAAATAATCAAATTTCTTTAGATGAAAAAAATAAACAACTATTTAATATAATAATCTAAATAAATAACATTTTATTTATTTTTAACTAAATATAAGAGAAAATTTTATTTTATTTTTTTCAGATTAATATAAACTAACCTAATTCAACATCCAGAAGAATAAGGCGCAAAACTACATTATAAAAAAGCAGTTTAATCAAAGAATTTGATAAAAATAAGTGAAAAAATAGCTGACAGTTTAATCAAAATATTCAAAGAAGGTCCTGAAGTGTCTTTCAAAGGGTCTCCAACAGTATCACCAATAACTGCGGCTTTATGTTCATGAGAACCTTTATTCCTAATTTCACCTTAAGAGTTTAAGAATTGACCACTTTCAATATATTTTTTTGCATTATCCCAAGCTCCTCCTGAATTAGCACTTGAAATAGCCATAGAAACACCAGAAACAAGAATTCCAGGTAAAATACCAGCGACAGCAGATGGACCGAAAAGTAAACCAGTAAAGAAGGGGAATCCTTTTTTTATTTATATCAAAAATATATATGTATAAATTAAATATAATGAAAAATACCTATAACAATAGCAGCAGGAGCAAACATCTAATTAATAGAAGAATCAGTTGCAATTTTGATGCAGTTTTTATAATCTGGTAGAACCTATCCAGTAATAATAAGAGGATTTGCTTCTAATTAATTTCTGACCTCTTAAACTATTTAAAGAGCTGCTTTGCCAACTGATTTAATAGTAAGTGCTGAAAAGGCAAAAGGCAACATTGCACCAACAATAAGTCCTGCAAAAGTTAAACCATTACTAATATCTACACCTAAAGTTAAAGGATATTTATTTTCTGGATGCTTAGCTCTACTAATAAAAGCTCCGTATAAAGATAAAGCAACTAAAGCAGCCGAACAAATAGCAAAACCTTTTCCTACTGCAGCAGTTGTATTTCCCGCAGCATCCAAAGCATCAGTTCTTGCTCTTACATTCTCACCCATATGACACATTTCAGCAATACCTCCTGCATTATCACTTACAGGACCATAGGCATCAATAGCTAAGCTTATTGACATAGTTGAAAGCATACCAAGAGCTCCTAAAGATAAGCCAAACATTCCTAAGAGACTATGACATGTAAAAACTGTAGCAGCGAGTAATAAAACAGGAATAAATGTAGACCAATGTCCCAAACTAATCCATAAATAATGTTAGTGGCAGCACCAGTTTCGCAAGATCTAGCAACTTCTTTTACAGGTTAGAAAGAATAAGAAGTATAATAACCAGTTACAATTCCAATAAAAAGACCGGCCCAAAGTCCTGTAACAGTACACCAGAAAGCATGAGAGGGTGATCTTTCGATTCCTGGTATAAATCCATATAGACGATCAGGAAGAGAAATATAACCAGCAAGCCAAAGAGCAGGAGTAGCCAAAATAGTAGATATTAATAATTATAAAAACAAAGTTGAAGAAATAGCATTCATGGATTCATTTTTATTTCCATGAGCCAATAAACTACATATTAAGCAAACAATTATTCCAAAAGCAGAAATCAATAAAGGATAATACATACATTAAGGTTAGTAATAAAAAGCGGGAGATTCTGAAGCAATAACAAGTGCAGCGGTAGTAGCTTCGGCAAAAGAACCAAACAAATCACTTCCCATACCTGCTATATCACCTACATTATCACCTACATTGTCTGCAATAGTGGCTGGGTTATTTGGGGAATCTTCAGGAAGATCCTTTTCTAATTTTCCAACTAAATCAGCTCCAACATCAGCAGCTTTAGTAAAAATACCACCTCCAACTCTTCCAAAAAGAGCTATAGTGGAAGCTCCTAATCCATAACCAGCAATGCATTCATACATTCTAGTATAATCATGATAATCGTCATCAACATACATATTAGTATAAATAGCAATCAAAATAGAAAGAACCAATAGTCCTAAACTAGTCAAAGTAAATCCCATAACACATCCAGCTCTATAAGCAACAGAGAAGGCTAAACTCATTTTATTTGCGGCTTAATAAGCAGTTCTGTAATTAGAAAAAACTGCAACTCTCATTCCTATATATCCACTTAATATTGATGTTAATGCCCCAGTTAAAAAGGCTATTGTAGTCCATAAATGACCTAAGTGGTCTTCAACAGTAAAAAATATTAAAAAAGCTAATAATACTGTGAATATGGATATGTATTTGTACTCTTCAATTAAGAATGTATTTGATCCTTATTCGATATGAGATGCTACTTCTAGAATTCTGTATATGCTTCTGTCAACTATTTAATCCTCGTCATTGTAATTGTTAGAGTTATCTTTATTTTGTTATGATATTCCTCCTATTAATTTCACTTTTGATATCTAAATTGCGTTTATTATTGAATATATTAAACCTAGTAAACAACAAGATAATATTATTAATAGATTTTCTTCTGATGAAAGCATTTTATTTTTATTTTTTATTTTATTTTTTTATTTTAAATATTTTTTTTTTATTTTTTCCTTTTTTAATTTTTATTTATTTATTTATTTTATTTTTTCATTATATGGCTTTTTATATATATTTTTTATTAATTTTTTTAAATTTACATTTTAATTTCTAAAACATTTTTTTTAATTTAATTTTGTAATTATGAATAGTTAAAAATTAATTATTCTTTATTATGTAAATAAATATTAGATTTTTTTTAATTAAGGTTTAAATATGTAACTTTTTTATTATTTTAATTTTTACTATTATGAAAGAAATATGTTAATAGAGTATATAATATTAATTATTATTTTTTTCAAATAAATATTTATGATATACTTAATTTAAAAAAAATAAAACATTTTTTTATTTTTAAATCTAATTAATATAATATATAAATTTTATATATATAAATTATATATAATTTTAATTACTTTATTTTTATTTTTCGCAATTTTATATATGAAACAAAAATTTAAATTCAAATCGTAATAAAATTATTAATTATTAATAATTAATATTCATTAGTATTTTTTATTCAAATATATTGTATTATTTGTTCTTGTTGCTTTTATTTTTTTATAATTTTAGTTTTAAAACTTAATAAATAAAAAATTTATCCATTTTTACAAGCTATTAATATTTATTAATTGAATGAGTATTTTATAAAATAGTAAAAATAAAATATAATTTAAACAAAATGTTTAATAATAATAAAAAGCCTTTAAAAAAATAAATAAATCTTATAAATATTTTATTTAGACTATTGTAATAAAATAATATTTCTATTAATTATTAATATTTTATTTGTAAGTATTTTTATATCATATTTTCTATAATTTTTTTATTAAATAAATTAATTTATAAAAAAATTAAAATAACTAAGAAATATAATATTATTTTATTATAAAAAATAAAAAAATACACAAAGAATTAATATAAAAACAATAAGTGAATATTTTTACTTATATTTTTAAAATAAAATTATTAATCATTATTTATCCTTAACTTTTTCTTCAAAATCTTTTAGTTTTCTTTATGCTTTTTCAGCCCTTTTTTTTAAACATTATTTTTTTGAACTTTATTTTAAAAGCTTTTTTGTCTATTTTAATTAAACTTATTTATTTTTTCTCTCTTTTTTTATATAACCACTATCGATTTTATTTCTATTATATAAAATAAAAAAATAAATTTTAATCTTTTTAGTTTTTATTTTACTAAGATTCAAATTTTTTAAACAAATTTTCGATTTTAAATTATTAATCTTTTATAAAAACTTTATTTTATGGATCTACTGAGTATAAAGCTTTTATAAGATAGTCCTTTTCAGGTATATTTTGTTTATTAAATCCAAGAGGCATATTTTTTTGCTCTCTACTTGTTTAGTTAATTCATTTAATAGCTCGAAGCTACTAAGAATTTAAGTAATAGGAAAAGTTGCAGGAAAATCATCAATTTTAAATGTATATATTTCTCCTTTTAAAGCAGATAGTAAATACTTTTGAGTAATTGAGCATTTTCTATATAAAGGGAGGGCAAGCTTCTTAAAATTAACTAAATAATCATATAATTATCCCTTACTTTAAAGAAAATCAAATATAGGATCTTTATATAAAAAATAAAAATAATAAAGGAATTTTAAATTAATTTTTTTTACCGTCATATTTATTATTATTTTAGGGTTTATTTATATATTTATTTTCTTTTTTTTGACAAACTTTTGTACATTTTTTATTTTATTTTATTTTATTTTTGTTTATTGTTTTCATTTTAAAAATATTTTTAATTAAAAATTTGCAAATAATTTAAAAAAGTTTAAAATATATTTTTATTTAAATAAATATGTATTATTTTTATAAAAAATAAAATTATTAATATTTTATTTTTATAAAAGATATTATTTTTTTTAATATTTTTTTATTAATTATATTTTGTTTTTTTCTTAAATAATTTATAAATATTTTACTTTTTAATATTTCTACTTGTCAAAACTTTAAAAAAATTAATTATATATTTAAAAATTTGATATTATTTTTATAAATAAATACTTAAATGAAGAATTTATTTATTCCATTTTTAATATAAAATATATAAAAGAATTTTTTTTTTTATATAAAAAAATAACAATTTCTAAAAATAAATAATCATAAATTTATATATATAATTATACTTTACTGATTTCAATATTTAATTAAATCTAATAAATAAAAATTAAAAAAAATACATATATTAGAGTTTACTTACTGAAGTAATCATCTAAATATTTTTAATTACTATAATTAAAATTCTGTAAAAAAATAAATGTTTAATAAAAAAATTATATTATAAATTTATATTATATAATATTAATAGCATATAACATTTTTTTCATATTTCTAAATATAAAATCAAATGCTATAAATCAAACATATTAATTCTAAGAGATTTTTTAAAAAAACTAATATATAAATTTAAATAATCTTACAAATAATATATATAAATTTTATATAAACTATTAAACAATATTTAGTATATATTTAGTATATGAAATATAAAATATAGTTTAAAATCTAATTTTCGGTGTAATTAATAGTAAATGATTAAAATATTATATATATTTTTAATATTTTAAAAAATAAAAGAATCTAATCTAAATTTAAACTTTGCACAATAAAAATAATTTAAAAATAAAGTTAATATCTATTATTAGAAATTATATATAAAAAAAGAAATTAAATATAAGTATTTTAGTTTAATAAATAATTAAGTAACAATAAAAAAAGAAACAAATCATTAAAAAAAAAAAAAATTGATAAAAAAAAAAATAATAAAATAAACCAAAAATAAATAAAATGAAAAAAGTTATAGAAAATAAAACAGGTTAAACAGTAAATTAATTAATAGATGATTTAAAACATGAAGATATAAGAAAAAGACAAAACGCTGTAACTAATTTACCTGTTATAGCTAGTTCTTTAGGTCCAGAAAGAACAAGATTAGAATTAATCCCATTTTTAAATGGTAAAAAATAAAAATATATATAATTTACAAAGAAATAAAAAAAAAGAATTAATGGACGACGAAGAAGAAGTATTAACAGTACTTGTAGAAGTACTTTCAAACTTTTTAGATTTTGTTGGAGGAGCTTAGCATGCTTCTATTTTGTTTGCACCAATGGAAGCCTTATGTAAATCGGATGAATAATCAGTCAGGGAAAAAGTATTATTTTTGTTATTTTTTTTGTTAAACAAAAAATATATAATAGGCCTCATCTTCTATAAAAAAATTAATTTAATTAATTGATATTAAAAAAAATGAAGATATGTTAATGAATTTAATTAAAAGACTTAAAGATTCTGATTAATATTTTGCAAAAGCACCTGCATGTGATATTATTCCTTCTTTTTATGCTTCAATATCATCATAATCATAATAAGAACTAAATAAGTATGTTTTAAAAATTATTTCATATATTATTTTTAACATTTCTTATTTTTTTTATGAATTATTATTTCTATATCTATTATGATATATTTTAGTTTTTTTTTCTTTTTTTTTATATTTATTTATCTATTTTTTTATATTAATAAATTAATAAATAAAAGCTATTTTAAATATTTTTTCCTTTTTATTAATATATTTTTTTTTAAAAAATAAAAATAAAAGCATTTACTTAATTTTATCAAAAGATGAAATTTCCATAATAAGAAAATAATCATCCATTAATTTACCAGTAAAACAAAAAAATTATTTATGTATAAAAATACTAAGTTATTAATAGGATTTAATAAAAGTATCTTGTCCTAAAAATGAAGATTTTGTATTACAAATTATTAATAATTTAATTAAAGATGAGTAAGATTTAATTCGTATTTATTTAGTTGATGCATGTGTTTAATATTTGAAAGTTGAACCTAAATTAGTAAAATATAAAAAAAATTATTATAGTCAATTATTTTATTAACTAAATATATTTAGAGAAACACCCCATAAGTTTATTAAATGCTTAAATCTTTATCTGAAGATAGATCTTGGAGAATAAGATATTACTTTTGTGATAAATTAGCAGAAGTAAAATAAACTAAAAAAACAAAAAAAACTAATAACAATAAAAAAAGATTACTAAAGTATTAGGAAAAGTTGAATTTAAGAAATAATTTTTTTAGAATTATATAAGTTATTTAGAAGATTAGGAACCAGAAGTAATAAAAAAATAACTTATTTTTTTAAAAAATAAATAAATAATAGTTAAGAGCAGTAGCAGCATTAAAGTTAGATATAGTAGGAGGAAATATAGAAGTAGATGATATAGTATCTAAATTAATTCCTTTAGTAAAAAAGTTATCAACTGATGGATTAAATTATGTTAGAAGTATTATTAAAAACTATAATAGAAAATTTTTTTTTTTTTTTAAAAAAAAAAAAAAAGATTCATTAGCAAGTAGCTTTTTAGGCTTAAGTTAGTTTTTAGGAAAAACAAATACTAATGATCTTATATTACCTATATTTTTATAATTATTAAAAGATGAAGATAGTGATGTTAGAATTAGCTTATTTAAATAATTAAATTAAATTACTAATGTTCTAGGTATTGACATGCTTTCTTAATCTATTATTCCAGCTTTAACAGATTTAGCTTAAGATAAAAATTGGAGAATCAGATAATCTTCAATTGAAATAATATCTTTTTTTGCAAAAGAGATCGGATAAGAATTTTTAAATGATAAAATACTGAAAATTTTAATGGATTGGTTATAAGATAAAGTATATGCTGTTAGGTATTTTATATACATATTGATTTTTTTTTAAAAAAAATTAACAATAAATAAAAGAGAATCTGCAGTTATATCAGTAAAAAATATACTTTAAAATTTAGGTTCTTCTTGGACTGAAAAAAATGTTATGACAAAAATTTTAAATTTATCAAATTAACCAAATTATTTACATAGAGAAACTGTTATATTCACAATTATGGTATTTATATTATTCTTCTTATTTATTTTTATATTTAATTTTTTTATTTATCAGTAAGTTTTCAAATAACTTAACCAAGATTATATTAACAAAACTATTTTACCAATACTAACATAATTGAGTAAAGATCCTGTTCCTAATATAAGATTTAACGTTGCTAAATCATTAAAAAATTTAGGATCTTCAATAAGAGATAAAGTATTTTTACATATTTAACATTTTTTAAAAAATAATTAATAGGATTATGTCAAAAAAATATTAACTGCATTAAATGAAGATAGTGATGGTGATGTAAAATATTTTGCTAAAATATCTTTAGATTCATTATGATAAACTAACTAAATCTTTATTTTATTTTTAAAAAGTTATATTTATTTATTTATATTTGATAATATATCAGAAAATATTTTATATTATTAATTATAAAATATATAATTTTAATATTTTAAAATAATATTATTTATTATGATTTTAAAATAGATTATAATTAAAATATATTTTATATTCATTTATTTAATTTAAAATATATAAAAATAATTTTTATATTTATGTAATGACTTTTTAGACATAAAAATTTACACAAATTATTTAATTTTATATTAAATAGATTTATAAAATTTATTATCCTTTTAATTAATAACAAACAAACTTTTTTTTATTTTATTATTTTCAAATATATATAAGAAAAAAAATAAAAAAAAAATGCCTTAAAAAATAAAAGATTTATTAATTAAATATTATTAGGGTTATGTTTTTTACTTATTCCATAATTAAAATAGGCCATTCATATTTAGTTTAATTATTATATTTATATAATTTAGCTGGCAAATATCTATGATTTTTAATGTTCAAACAGCCGAAGATATTGAAGGAATTATGAAATATAAATTTATTTAATATTTATTTCTCATTTATAGTTAAAACTTAAATTAAGTAATGTTCTATATTGTCATTTGTATCAATCTATTTATATTAATAATTTTTATACTGTAATAATTACAGTAATATTTAGATATGAAATACGATATGTTTTATATACTTTTTAGATTTGTATTTATAACTTACAATTATGTTTTTTATTTCCTGAAATATTTTATACAATAATGCGATTTCAAAGCGAATATATGTATTCAACTTTGAATATGTCTTTAACCATATTTTATTGTAATTTTAATAAATTTAAATAATGATAATATTTAAAAAAATTAAACAATTATTTAAATTTTTTTTATTTTTTAATTATTTTATAGATACAGTTTTTGTAATTCATGATTAAGATTATTAAATTATATCGCTCGATTTTTTAGGAAAAAGGAAATACTATTTATGGGATATAATTTACTTTATATTTTTATTAGTTCTCTCTTAAACATATTAAATTGAAATAAAATATTTATAATCAACCTTATGTTAATTTTTTTTTATTTTTAATTTATCAAAATTATTTACATGCTAATAATATAACTGTTAATAAATAATGATTTTAAATGTATATTTATAATTATTTTTATTAATGCTTAATACTTATATTTGCATAAGAATATATGTTGGTGATGGCTGCTCTTTTATCATTGCTTTGCTAATTATAGCAACTATTTCATATCGATTCGCAAAACTTTATGAATAATACAATTTTAGGATTTAAAATTAATCATAAAATATAGAGATTAAAACTTAGCCATAGGATTTGGATTTATATTTAAGAATTCTCTTAAGCTTTTAGGATATAGATTATTTATCCTATAGTAATAGATAAGAAGGTTTAATTTTAGAAAATATTACTTTAACTCATATAATAAATTGCCAAAAGCATAATTAATGTTTTTGTGAATAGCATGTAATGATTTTTTTAATTATATAAAAAAAAAAAAATTATAATATACTTTTAAAAATTTTAATTTTTATGTAAAAAATATAAATATATAAATACGAAAAATTTCAAAATTTTATATAGATAAATAATATTTAATAGTTTTAAGAAAACATAATAGGGGAAAAGAGGAGAAGAGCTTTCTTTTGTTAGTTTATAAAACAGACATATGTAGATTTAATAGAAAAGCTTGTAATAAATAAAAAGTCTATTAATGGATTAAATGAGCTAGCATTTAGTTATTTTTACTTCCTTTTATAAGTACATAAACATAAAGCAATAACATTTATAGAAATACTAAGATTTTCAAATAAATTGAATCTTTCCTTAAGAGAGTAATGCTTAGTAAACTATATATGTGAACTTGCAGAAAAATTTTATACATAAAGAGAAGAAAATCATACAGAAATTAAAAAAAAAAAAATAGATAATTTTTATAATTAGAAACATAAAAAATCTGTTTATATAAAAGAAATAAATTAATTGGATTTTAGTCAGGTCCTTTATTTTGATGAAAATTTTTAAGAATTTAAGGATAAATTATATAACACTTTATAATAAAAACAAATTTTTTTAAGCATAATAAATAAAGATTTTATAAATTTATATGAATTATAAAAATAAGGAAAGGATTGTATAAAAAATATAGATAAATTAGAAGAAGAAATACAAAAATTAATAAAAATAAATCCTTTTTGTGAAGAATTAAACTAATTTATTTAAATATTTATAAATTATTTAGGATTTGATATAAGAAAAAATTAATTTAAATTAATTTAATAATCTTAGTACAAAAGGAAAAAATAATAAAGAATAAATACTGACATCTTTACAAAAAACTCATCAATAATATATATAACATTAATAAACAAAGTTGGCTAAATAAGAAAAGTATAGTCGAATTTCCAAAATGTATTAGGTTATAAGCCTGAGGAAATATTAAATAAAGACTTAAGTATATTTATTCCATAAAAAATAAAGCAAAGTCATAAAATAATGATTTAAAATCATATAATAGAAGATTAAGTGACATAATCAAGTTAAAGAAAAAATTATTTACCATTAATAATTGCAGAAAATAAATAAGGATTTGGTGTTCCGTTATCTATATTTATTAAATCCCAAAAAATGACTAATACAATTGAAAATCATAATGATTTTGGACTTATAGCTAATATTAAAAGTATTGAAAATGAATATTTCTATATAATGACATCTTTAAAATCTTTCAAAATTCAATTAATGTCAGAGAATTACTATAAGAAAGTTTTTTGGAGATATTCTTTATAAGAAAATCTAAAAAAAATTTATTTAAATAAAATAATTCCTCTTCTTCATTATTTTCAGATTTATTCTAAAAATGAAAATCCTGTTGTTGGTCATGAAGATATTACGGTTTCTACTCTTGCTTTTTTGCCTAAAGACATTTTTATTTAAGAAAATTAACAAAGGAATTTCCCAAAATTAGAATTTTGTTAAAAAACATAAATTTAAGATTTAGAATAAGCACTTAATAAATATAAAATATAACTTTTTGATATTTATTAAGTCAGATTAAAGTTATATTTAATCTAAAACTAATAATTTTCTTTTAATATAATTGAAATTCAAAGCTTTAAATTAATTTAAAATACATAAGAATAAATATAAAACTTGAAAATTATTTAAAACTAATTATAATAGTTTCTTAATATAAATTTTAAAATTGATAAAAATATTGAATATTTGGAATCGGTCTTAAATACTTAAAATTATTCTGAAAATCAATCTATTATTTCTAATAAAATAATTACTTAAGATAATATATATACTTAAAACACAAGATCTTAACATTTCTAATCTTAATTATCCTAAAATAAAATTACATAAAATGAAAATAATACTAATTCAAACTCATAAAATTTGGGTATGAGTAATTAAGGAACTTTTATATTATAATAAGAAATGCAGATTAATTCATCAGAAAAATTTTAAGAAATTAGTCCGAAAAAAAACTAGAAAAAAATAAATAGATCGCAACTATATTTAGAAACAAAGAATTCTAAATGCTCAGTATAATAAAATAATACATAATAAAATAATACATCATATAATACATTAAGCAATATTTAAACTGTTAAAACTTTTTTTAGAAAAGGGAAACATGGAAGAACTACAAAATAAAAAGATACAGGAATTTTCAAATAAAAATATTTAAAAAATAAAAATCTTTTAGAAGGTGAGAATAATTCTTTGAATTTCTAAAGTTAATATTTTTCAAATAAAGAAGAAGAAGATAATGAAAATATTAATTTACATTTTGATAAATCATCTAATAAAACAAGCCAGAACTAAAATAATAATCATTAAAGAGTTTTTTATATAAAAAAAATTAAATAATATAAAGGTGATAATTGTTTAAGAATATTTAATTATTTTTCTATTATAAATATTATAGCAATAATAATATTCATGATATTTCTAAATTTAAAATCAATAAATGCATTTAAAATTGTAAAAAATAATTTTTAATTTTTAACATTTCCACTTGCAATGAAAACACTAATAAATGAATATTTTAGTTATTTTTATTTAAAATAACTATAATAAAAAGATTTTTTTCCAAGTCTATTTTAATAGTAAGAACTAATTAATTAAAGAATGCTACAAGCTGCATCATAATATTATGATTATGTTTATTATTTTTAGATAAGTGATACTTAAGATAGAATTTATTTCTAATATTTTCTAGATCATTAAATGGAAATTTATATAAACCAAAACATAGCTTAATTAACTACAAAACCTTCAATATTAAAATTAATCTAAAAAAAAAAAAAGATTAGAACTTCTGTTTACCATTCTTTGTTTTTGAATTATTTATATTTTTTTTGCCTGTTTTCAAATAAATATAGAAATGATATGGGATTTGAAATGTTTATATGGGATAACTTCGATATATATTATAACGAACTTATAACGATATAAAACATAATAAATAAAGAATTAGAAGATATTATTCAAGGAGTTATTTATTAACAATAATAATTTATGATTTTGAACATTTTTTTTTCATTTTTATTCTCGTTTTCTATACTCTTAATATATTTATAAAAATAAATTAAAAAAGAAGAAATTTTAAAACTTTTTTCTACTATATAACCTTCTTAATTATAAAATAATATATTGCCAATTAGCTAAATTTTAAAAAAAAGTTAATCAAATACTTTAGATTTTTCTAAAAGCTTTAATAAAAATTTTAAAAAGAAAACTATTTCTGATAACACTAAAATACCTAAGATTAAGTAAATTGTCTTAATTTATTGTTTTGTTATTTTTTCTATTCTTATTATTTTACCGATTATTAATTTTGAGTTATATAAGTAATTATTCGAAGAACTCTAAAAAACTTCTATTGTTATAAGTAATTATTTTAACCAAAATATTTAAAATAAATAATTATAAAAAAAATAGAACAACTTTATGATTTAAAATCAAATATATTATCTGTAATCGCAATAAATTATAAATATTTAAATTATAGAATAGCTCCTGAATAAACAAATTATGATGTTTAAGGAACATATTAATTTTTTACTCAATCAGTTGAAATATCTTCTATAAGACTTTAATAATTATATAATATTTTTACTTTTGCCCAATCTTATAAAAAATATGATTAAGATATTTGGAATGAATTTTTTTATTAAATTATGAAAGGAAACATTTGCTAAGTATTATAAAAATAATAATAATTTTAAGTTTCTTAAATAATGAATTTAATTACATAATGTCCTTTAATAAAAAATGGTGTTTTACAAAAAGGTTTAATTTTATCAATAAAAGAATTACTTGAAACTTTCTATGAATTTAGCTAATTCTATGATATTTAAGACATGACTAAGTTTAATGAATACATTTTAAAATTTGATAAATCCACTAAAATAATTGAGATTGAAAATTTGGGATACTATATTAACTATATTATTAAAGGTTTAAAATTATTCTTTTTTAAAACAATTGATGATTAAATATCATATATTATTGATTTCTAATATATATTTTAATATTGTTAAATATTTATTCTTATTTTTTTTGCGTACTTAAATTTAATTAAATATCAAAAGTTTGCTTAAAAAGATATTAGATAAACTAAGTATTTACTAACTTTATTATAAATTGAAACTATAATAGATAATACCTATATAAAATCTTATTTTCTAAAATAATGAATATGTTATGATTATTATATATATAGTTTGTTTATTTTTTATAATATATCAAAACATATTGTTTAATTAATTCTCTAGTTTTATAAAATTAAAGAAATTATAATATTTATGTAAAATAAATTTAAAATTACAAATATTCCCTAAAACATACAAAAATATATATATTAAATTTTTATTTTTCATTCCAAATTCATTTTATTATCATTAACCACTATATTATCACCATCAATAGCTTTAAGTATTTCAGGAGAAATTAATTAATGATATTATCTTTTTACTAATACTTTCAATTATTTCTTTTAATCATCATTCAAATGTCCTTTAAAAATAATAATAATAAAAATAAATAAAATAATAAATAATACCACTATAAAATTCACAAAACTTTAGAAGCATTTAATGCCAAACAACAGGTAAAGCCTTAGTTTCTTCAATTAACTGAATAAAATATTAGAACAAACCTTCAACAACTCTATTAGGAAGAGCATATTTTTTTTCAATAAGAGTTTTCATCACAATACATGCAGGTCCACTAAATCCCATATAACAAAGTCTTAATAAACAAGCAGATGAATGCATTACAGGGACAGTCATTTTATTTAATAAACTGCAAACAATTTAAGCTTCTTTAACTGTAGTTTCAGGATCATTTAATAAAGGGAAAATAATTCCTTTGAACCATGCAGCAGGTTTATATATAGCTTTCTTTAAAGCTTAATAATAATGTGCATTTAGTTTTTTGTTTTTTTTAATATCTTTTTTTAATGCAGGTAAAAGAACTGTTTAATAATAAATCTTAGCTCTATGTCCATCTAAATTTGAAGAAAATACTCGAACTGAAGCTTCTACTGCTTATGGTGTCCATTCTGAAGGTTTTGTTAATTCTAATACTTTTTCCCATTACTCTAAACTAGGAATTATAATAAATGCCCTGGCTAATTTTCCACTTCTGTAATGAGACATTAATTTTGCAATACTTTTTATAATTTTTATATTTATTTTATTTTTTATTTTTACTCTTAATAAACTATTTTTATTTTAGGATTTTTTAATATATCTTCAGCATATTCATCCTATTTCTTCTTTTCTAGTTTTTAAGCTATGTTATTACCTATTTCATCTGTTATGTTTTCAAATAAATCTTCATTTTATTATTGAACATTTTTAGTGTTTAATAAAGGAAACTACTTTAATATATCTTCATCTTCTTGTGATATTTATAACTTTTTATTAATTTTATGAATATTTTTTTTTTTTTTTTACATTTTATGGTAAAACGAAAAATCCTTAATTATCAAATTATTCAATTTATTCATTATCTTATTCATTTTATTTTTATTTTTTTTCATTTAAATATCTTTCTTTTTACTTTTTCTATCTTTTTAATTGAGATTCTTTCAAAATTAATTTTTTCTCTTATTTCAACTATCCAGTTAGGCTTATTTTTTTAAGTTTAATACTACTTTTTTATCCTTTTTTAGTTTGTAATTATTTAATTCCTTTTTAAGTCTTATGATTATATTTAGCTTTTTTATTTTCTTTTTATAAACCCATATTTTTAATTTTATCCAAATTTAATTTTTATACTTATATAAATATGTTTTAGCAAAATAAATATTGAAAAAACATATAAACAAAATTAAAAAATATAAAATAAATAGTATTAGAATATTTTAATCAATTTTTAATATATTATTTTTTTAATTTCTAAAATTAATGATTAACTTTTTATTTTATATATTATATTAGTTTATTAGTATTTTTACTATAAATAAATATATAAACATAATTATTATTAAGTAATTTATTTATATTTTTTTATTAATTTCAGAATTTTCAATTTTATTTTTTATTATAAAGTTGTATTTGTTTCATATAAATATTAATTTTAATTTTTCTAAATAGTTGTTATATTCTATTTGTATTATATAATAAAAAATTAACTATTTAATTTTAAAATGAAATTAAAATAATCCGAGTTACAGAAACTTTTTTTAATTACTTTTTATTTTATATTTTGAACTTTATATAATTCATCAAAAAATCCATAAATTACTTTTTATTTTTTTTTAAATAAAAAATATTTAGTATTTTTTGTTTGTTTTAATATTATTATATTATTAAATATATAAATTCTAGAAAAAACAAGAAATAAATGAGGATGAATCGGAAGAAAAAAAAAGATAAAAAATAAATAATAAATTGATTAATATAAAGAAAAAATTATATAAAATATAATGAATTAATCAATATGAATCCCGACTATAATAAAATTACTGAAATAAATAAAAAAACAGAAATGGAAAATGAAAGAGTATAAAAAGCTATTAATTCAATTAAAGATATTTAAGATTTAAAAGTGAAGAAATAAAAAAATTAAAAAGATCTAAAACTGGTTCTGGGAGAAAGGGATATTTTAGGAACTTAATTGATAAAAAGAAATTAAGAATAAAATATATTAGAGGAAAAAATAAAACTTTAACTTAATAATATTTCTAAAAGTGAAATTTATTATAAAGAAAAATAAGATAAACTTTCTAATTTAAAGAATATATATTCTTCTCCTATAAATGAACTAAAAGCTAGCGAGGAATACATTTTGTGTATTTAAGATTATAAGAATGAAATAAATTCTTTGTAAAAATATGTATAGGAGAACAAACAAAAATAAAAGCAATATAAGATAAATTAGATAATCTTTTAAATGTAAATTGATGAAGAATATTAGAAGAAAAGTTAAGAGAAAATTATTAAAATTTAGGGCCTACAAAGAAAACTAATAGCAAAAACTAAAGAAGTATAATAAAAAGAGAATATAATAAAAAAATAGAAAATTATTTATGAAAAGGAAAAATATATTAACCAAATAACATAGATAAGAAATAGATTAATAATTAGTATAATATGAAGTAAATCTTAAAGAAAATAAATGTAAAATAAATAAAAAGATATGAGAATTAAAAATGCAAGAGAATAAAATATACTAATATTGCTTATCTTTATAATAAGTTTAGAATTTTTAATAAAAAAAATATAAAAAAAAAATTATTAATATTTTAAAATAAATTATAAATAAAAAAAATAAACATTATTAAAATTATTATTATAATTATTATTATTAATATTAATATTATAATTATTATTATTATTATTATTATTATTTTTATATATAGTTTTTTATAGATTTATATATTACTCTTTATTTATTTAATTTAAATATATATTATTTTTGTATTTTATATTTTTTTTTTAAACAAAAATAAATAACAATAAAAAGATATATATTTTTATATTTATAAAAATGATATTTTATATTTTAATTTTTTTAATTTATATTTTCACAATAATAATATTTTATAAAAAAATATATATTTATACTATATTTATAATGAATTTTAATATCATATAAAATTAAAATCTTAAACTAAATTAGAAATAAGAAATATTATAATTAAATTTGCATTAAAATATTGATTAAAGTAATTGACTTAATATTTTTTTAAAATAAAAATATTTTTTTAAATACATTAAAAAAGTTATTTTAGACAAATTCGGAAAAAATATTTAGAATTTGTATGATTATCTAGTTAATTATAAAAGATATGTTCTTCCAAATTTTAATTCAAGTGCTATTACCGAAAAATACTTAATGGGGATTTTAAAAGGAGAATTTTATAGTATTACTTAAGATGAATTTCCTATAAATGTCCCAAAACTTAATTAAAAGTTTACAAGATATACTTTATTAGATGAATTTTGCAAATAAGTTTAAAGTAAAATAAATATTCCTGTTGGTTTTGATGAAATAAATATTCCGGACAAAAATTACCTTATAAAAGCATTATACTCAATAGATCCATAAAATAAGGCCTTTAAAAATGATTAAAAGCTATATGCTTTTAATATATTGAGTTAAAAATTTACACCTGAGTATAAAAAATTAAGCAAATATTATTATTGTTTTTTTAATATATATATACAAAAGATAATTAGCTGATATTTATATATAGAAATCAAAATAAAAAAAATTTAGAAGATTTAGATTAGTTAATAAAAAATTATAAAAAATAGAAATTTAGGAAATTAATAAAAAAAAATTCAGAGATAAAATTAAAAAAAAAATTATTGAAATTAAAATCAGAAAGAGCTTAAAAAAGGCTTAAAGATTTAGAAGAATAAATGTATTTAAAGTTTTGATATTAAAATAAATTCTTAATAGAAATTTATTTTATAATAATTATGTATTCTTAAAAAAATATAATAAAAATAAATAATAATATAAATTTTTAAATTTAATTTAATTATTTTTAATATTAAATAAAATTATATTAATGTATTTAATACTTAAAAAATTTTATTTATTTAAATTTATAATATACTTTTTAATTTATTTATTTAATTTAAAAAATAAAATAAAAGCTTATTAAAATAATTTTCAAAATTAAAAATAAAAATTATGCTATATTATATTAAAAAATATTATGTTTTAAAATAAAAATATTTATTAAAATGAAATAATATTTCAGATAAATAAATAGTATAAAATAATTGATAGAATATATTATAAAAGATTAATTTAATTAATATATATTTGTAAAAAATTATTAAAAGTAATAACAAATTTTACTATTATATAAATAATATATTTTAAAATATTAAAATGGCTATAAAATAACAATTAATATTAACTTTTTTGATTGAAGTATTTCATTTATGTTCTTTAGTGATCTTTATCAAATGAATAGTAAGAAAATATACATATAAAATAATAAATAAAATTTATATTTTTAATTAAATAAGATGAGAATTAAAAAATTTTTTTAAAAATAAATAAATATAATTGATTTTATTTTGATTAGTAGAAAAGTTTTTTTACTTATAATATAAAATGTACACTTAATAATGCATTTTAATTGTCTAAAGTATTTTTTTAAAAGAATTATTACAAACTTTAGATAAATATTTAAAATTTCTAAAACATATTCAAACTTTTAGATTATTTTAAATAAGTAAAAATAAATTAAATTAAATATTTATATTAAATAATTAATAGAATAATCAAAATGTAAATAAAAAAGCCAAAGAAATGTAAATATAGTTTATGAAATTACAATAGAAAATAATAATTTAAAAAAAAATTAAAATATCATATTAACTATAATCTTAAACATATGAAACGATAAAATACATATATTAAATATTTGATATTAATATAAAAAAACTTGAAGAATGCTTAATATAAATTAAAAGCAAAATAATATATTGTAATGATTAATATTTTTATAATAAATATATATTTTATTAAGTTTTTGTAACAAGTATACTATTATTCTTTAGTTCAACTAATATTTATAATTAAAATTTTGTTTTTATATATAAAAATAAAATAAAATAAAACTGATATAATGAATTTATATATATAAAATACTAATAAAATTTAAAATTAAATAATATATGAATGATTAAATAATAATAAAAATAGCATGAAAATTCAAATATTTTTAATATTTAATGATTGAATATATTTAAGAGTTTATATATTTTTAATTATAAGCTAAAGTAACAATAAAGTGAAATTTAATAAATAATAAATAATATAAATTTAATTTTTAAGGCTAAGGCTATGAAAACTTTATAAAATTGAATAAAAATAAATTTTATTTTAAAATAATTAGAATTTTTTAATCAATAATATAAATAATAATTACAATTTAAGAATCTTCTTATAAACAACCAATATAAGCAAAAAAAAAAATATAAATGTACTATAATAATTAAATAAATTCTTAAAATACTTTTGAATAAAATAATTTGTTTAAAATAAATGAATATGAATTAAATGGTTAAAATTTAGAAAATACATTAAACATATTTTATATAATGTCTTATATTATTGAAAAAAAGTAATAAATAAATACTAAGCTAAGTACCCTTTGAAGATTATATTATTTTTTAAATCTAAAATTTAAAAATCGGATGTTATTCCTTTTTTAAATACTTAAAGATTTCTTATTAATAATATATATTATAAAAAAAAAAAAAATTAAAAGTGAAGAAAATAATTTATTAATAAAATAAAATACAAATACACAATAAAAAAAAAATAATATATATATATTATATAAATCAATATAATTAAATATTATTTTACTTAATAATATTTCTATAAAAATCAATATCTTATAAAGCTTTATTTAAATGTTCTTTATTTTTGATTGATAAATTTTTATAATATTCAATCTCCTCATTCAATTTATATTGTTCATTTTTCATTTCATCAATAGTAGCATCCTTAAATTTCATTTATTCTTCTTTATGAATAATTTTTTATTAGTAATCATCAATTTATTTTTTGAGTTGTTCGTTTTCTTATTTTTTATCAGGATTATTAAGAGTAACTTTTTCATATTCAGAAGTTATTTTTTATAATAAAAGTTTAAATCCTTAAATATCTTTTTATTATTCATTATTAGTAGAATTTAAACATTCTATTTCTTTTTTTTAGTCTAAATTAATTTACTTTTATTTTTTTAAATCAGATTCCATCATTCGAATTGATTTACATTTTTCGTTATTTAAAATTAAAGACAAATCAGTTATTTCTTTTCTTAGTTTTTCTAAAGCTTCATTTTTTGTTTCTAATATTTTCTTTAATTCTTATATTTCTTTTTATTATTTTTTATTTTATTCCAATTATTTTTGATTTTCTTTCTTTTTTTTTTTATTATTATTTTATAAATTAAATAAATATTACTTTCATAATATTATTTTCCTTTGTTAATTTAATAAATTCTTAGTTTATTATTTCTGTTTATTTTTATTGATTATTCTCATTTTAATTTTAATTTTAATAAAATTAAATTTACATTGATTCTGTAAATTTTTTATTTTATAAAATACTACTTTTATTTAATGTACTCTTTTCCTTTTTTTTAATGTTTACTTTACTTTATTTTATTTTTTATTTATTTTATTTTACATTTTTATCACTTATTTATGCCGCTTTTTTTTTTGTTTATTATAATTCACTTTTATTTATTAATCTATGTGCTTATTCTATTAATTAATTCTTATCATCCTAATAAGAAACTGTAGATTAATTTTATGAATACTCCATTAAAGATTCTCTATCTTCTTCTGTTTCTTATAAAATACATTTTTTTCCTATATCTTCATTCTATAATGTTTATGTTTGAATATCTACACCCTTATTTTAAATAATGATAGATGCTTATGTTTATTAATCTTTTTTATCTGTTTTTTCTTTTTATTCTTTGAATTTTTATCTTATATTTATTTATTTATTTATTTTTTAATATTAGTATAAATTACTTGTATAGTTTATTTTCTTTCATTAAAAGCAACCTTTCTTCTTCTAACCTTAATACTACATCTATTTAATATTCTAGAGCTTCTTTTAAGTCTATAATTTATTCTTCTTTATTTTACATATTAAATATTTATTATTATAAAAATATAAATATTTATATTTCTAAATTATTTTTTATAATTTTTTTTAAAAAAAATATAAAGCAAAAATTACAATTCTATATATAATTTAAAATTACAGAAATATATATATAGATATAAAATATTAAAAACAAATAATATAATAAATTAATATAATTAATAAATGAAAACATTTTTTTTTTTAATAATAAATTTATTTTCAGCCAGAATATTTTAAAAAATATCAGTTTATTTAATCTTATTTAAATATAAGACTTTAATCTAAAATTTAAAATTATGTATCTTTATAAATTTGATTTTCATCCGAAACTTACAACAATGTCTCATAATTAATTTATAACTAGTTTAATATTTTATTTGGTTCTATTTGAATTTATGTCTTTTTATTTCTTTCCTAATTAGTTTAACATAAAAAGAAAATAGATCCAATTAAAAATATTATTTATTAAATTAGATACAAAAATTAAAACTGTTTTTAATTTAATAATAATCTGTAAATATCTGACACGAAAGTACTTAAATAAAAAATAATACTAAATCTAATTCCATATTCTTTTTTTATTAATTTTAGATTAAAGTAGGAATAAAAAGGTGATATAAATAAAATTCCTAAATTATTACCTAGAAAGGTCTTATTTAATTTTATTTATTGATAAAATAATAAAACTTCACCTTTTATATGTAAAAAATATAAAACATAACTTATATTATTTAAATACTCCACTTTTATAAAGTTATTAAGTAAAAAAAATAAAAATTAGTGCCATTATACTATTAAGAAATCCTAAAGTTCCAGTAAATTAAAGTAGATTTACGTTTGTATTCTATAGATATTTTTATAAGACAATAATTAAAAAAGGAAGAGGAAACATATTTACAATAGCAGCTATAACAAATGCAAATATCTTTATATATATATATATATATATATATGATATTAATATTTTTTTTTTTTACTTGCTATACATTTTATAATTAGCTTTTTATATATTATTAAATAATGCCAATTATAAAAAGAACAATTATAATAAGAACTATGCTTTATTTTTAAACTTTTTCATATCTAAGTTTGCAAAAATATATTTTTTCCATTGTATACAAAGATGCTAAAAATATTGATTTTAAAATTAATTGCAATTCTTCTTAGAATTAATAAATATCTTTATAATTTTTATTTTTCATTTTTTAAAAATTAATAATTATTTTGAATTAAATATTTACTATATAAAACTGAAATGGTACAAAATAATTATAACAAAGAAGGTATTACAATATATTTTAAATTTAAATTCTAATAGTTTAACATGTCATTAAAGTAATATTATATTAAAAAAAAAAATTAACCTATAAACATTAATAAAGATTAAAGTAAAACTTAAAAAAAAGTTTAACTATGACTACAATCTAATATTAAAATGTTTAATATTCCTCCTCCATAAATAAATAATATTGTTATTAAAATTAATTTTATCATAATTTATGTTTTTTTAAGAAACAAAATTATAAATAATCAAATTAAAAAATTATGTATTTCAAAGAAAATTTTTTTTAATAAAATTAATAATTTATTTAATGAATTATGATAAAAAAATTTATAATTATATACATTTATATATTTTTTATAATAATTAATTTAAATTTTTTAAATATAAAAGTATTTCAATTTATTATAAATAATTATAAATAGATATAAACATATTTTTAATTTACTCATTATACATTTATATTTGATTTTTATTTTAACAAAAGCATTATTTTTTCGTAAATTATTAAAAGATATATATATAACATATCTGGTTAAAAATTTTTTTATTATTATTAATTAAGAAAAAAACTATTTAAATAATTTAAATAAAAATTATTTATTATTTAATGATAGTTTTTATAAATAAATTTTATTTTAATATTATTTATTTTCAATTTTTAATGTTATTTTATTTAATTTTAGATAAATTTTTATAGAAAAAATCTAATAAATTTCAATTTTAATTTATAAAACAAAAAATACATATTATAGTTATTTACCATTTATAAATAAAATAGCATATGCAAAAGACATATTAAATAAAATTATGTAAAAATTGTGGATATACCCATGCAGGTATATGTGCAGCTAATCCTACAGATTTTATATGGTAAAATAAATATAAAATAAGCCTGAAAAAATAACTTTTTTAAATATTCACTTTAAAATAATTGACAATATATTTAAATATACAAAATAAATTAAAAGGAAATATGGAGGAAATAATGTTTTATAACAGGATCATGGAATAAATGGTAAACATTAATCAAATTGAAAAGTTTTAAAGAACATAACGAGTATTTTATATTTATGAAATATTAATAATTGTATAAAAAAAGATGGACAATAACAACTCTATCTTTAAATCCTGGAATTTATACATTTAAATATATAGTTGATGGAACATGGTAATACGACCCTAATTAGCATACTGTATCTGATGGTTATAACTCCTTTAATAATATAATAGAAATAATTCCAAGAAATGTTGTTCATGATGATAGTGATGATAGTGATGACGATTAATACAATCATCAAGATTAAAATTTAAGCCCATAAAAGAATTAATAAAATTAATTATACTTAAACTAGAATAAAAATTCATAAAATTTAAAACCTAAAAATGTGATAATATGGACTAGTATTGATATAAAAGATTTAAAGGTAAGAATAAAAAAATATAAATCAAAATATAATAAAAAATAAATAAATAATATATAGGTAAAAGGTTCTTGGGATAATTGGTAAGGAGAAGTTTCTATGTTTCAAAAATTTAATGCATATAAATAAGCGTATGATTCAGTAGCAAAAATATAATTATATCCAGGTAGATATGAATATAAGTTTTACAAAGATGGTGTCTATACGTATGACCATAATTAAAAATTAACCCGGGATGCTAATTATAATTATAATAATGTAATGTATGTATAATAGAAATCATATAAATAAAAAAGTGATAATAATAATCACATTTGTTTAGATGATACGAAATTAGAATGGAAATACTAAGAATTTTCGCACTAATCTTGGGAAAAAATGAGAGGTCAAATATCTGGGCATTCCATGAATAGAATAGGGGATTATGTTTATATTTGGGCAGGTTATAGAGGTTAATATCTTGATAATTTATGGAGAATGAATGTTAATACATATGATGCTGATTTAATTGATATGTAATCAGGAACTATTCCAGATGAAAGAGCATACCATTAGTAAGTAAAAAAAGATATATACTTATATACATTTTTTTTTAATTTTTTATTATTAAGAACTGTAAATTATGGATAAAAAATTTTACTTTATGGAGGTCTTAATTCGGAAAAAATACTAACTGATTACTATGTATTCAATACATCGAATTTAACATGGGATAGGGCTGAATTAGGTGGTCAAAAACCTTCACCTAGAGAAAGAAATTCAATGTGTATTTTAAAGAAAAAAGCTTTAATTATTTTCGGAGGTTACTATTGTAGTGAAGATTTTGAAGCTGAATATCATTATAATGATTTGTTTAGTTTAAATTTATAAAATTTAAAATGGAGTGAACTTAAAGTTTAAGACGAATTACCAGAATAAAGATTTGCACATACAGCTAATATTTATAAACATAAAATGTATATTTTTGGAGGTTTATAAAAGAATATGGCTAACCCAGCGTATTTTTGTTTAGTTATTTTTATTTTATTTTTTAATTTTATAGAAAAAATTTTAATGATGTTTGGTTTATTGATCTTGAAGAAGAAAATTAATTAAAATGGAGAAATTTAACTCCTTAATTGAAAGGTATAGCTCCTAAACCTAGACATGGTCATATAAGTGTCCTTGTAGGTAAACTATTACTTTTTTTTGGAGGAAGAGGTAATAATAAAGTTTTGTTTAATGATACCTTTATTTTAGATATAAGACTTAAATAATGGTTTACTTTTATTTTTATTTATACAATTATTTTATTTTTAATTCTTAAAAGGATTTAACCTGATATTAAAGGTGAACCACCAAAACCAAGATATTATCATGCCGCTTGTTTACTAGATAAGGAAATTATTATTTTTGGAGGAAATATTTCTTTTGGATAAAAGTAAATATATATTATTTTAAAAATTATATTTAATTTTTTTTACCCAAAAAAAAGATAAAAAAGTAGGAATGTTTATATTTTGAAATTTGAAAATAAAATAATTGAAAATGAACATTTTGATAGTGAATAAGAAGAACAAAAGTATTTTTAATTTTTTAATATTTTATTAATTAATTTATTTTATAAAATATTAAAAGTAATGATTAATGAGTTATTTAACAAATTTTAAGTAAAAATAATAAAAATTATGTTTATTGATAATTTTTTTTTATACAAATATTCTAATTTAATAAATATATATATAAATAATATTAAATAATATTTACAATTTTTTAACTTATTTACACAATTATCATAATTATGTAAAAATTACTGTTTTTCGTTAAATAATAAATATAATAAAAATTTATATAAAACGTAAATTTTATATTAATAAAGTTTTTTGTTAATAAAATTAATAATTTCTTATTTTTTTATATATATTTATATAAAAATTATATCAATTTGAATAACTATCAGAAATTATAGAATCTGAATCTTCTAAAGAATCATAATCTTAATTATTTAAAGCATTTTTAATATTTTAATATTTTTATCCATTATCAATAGACTACAAAAATTAAATATTATTATTTATCAAAAAAACAATATTATAATAATAAATAAAATACTTTTGAATGTTAATAAGGAATACATTAAGAGTTTTATAAAGAAAAAGTATCTAAACTTTTTTATTAAGATTTGTATTTTTCGTCTAAATGCTCATTAATTTGTTTATTAATTTTTATATTAGTATATAATTTAGAGCTTTATCTATCAGTTATTTACCTTTACTCATTTAACTCCAAAATTTAATCTTATTAATTTATTTTTAAATCCCTATTCTCTCTTTTAAGTTATGATAATTCTTCATTTAAATATTAATTTTGTTCCTCTAATTTATTAATAAGTATTTTTTGCTCTTTTTTTGATTATTCTAACACTAACATATTCGAGTTCATATTCCTAATTTAATTTTTATAATCATCAATCTAAAATTCTAATTATTTAATAATTATGTTTTCTTATTTATTACCATCAAATGAAGCTTTTTTGGACTATTTATTTAAATTTATATAATAAATTTAATTAAAAATAAATTACATCAAAATAGTTTTAATTATTTTTAGCACTTAATAATTACATTTTTAAATTTTCACTAAAAAATAAATAAATTAAAATAGTAAAAAAAAAAATCATACTTTTCATTTTATTAGGTTTATATTTATTTATTTTAATCTTTTTGTTCATCTTTCAATATTTCATTTTATTTAACTAATTTTTTGATTTCGCTTTTTAAATTTTTAGATTCTTAAGATAATTAAATAATTTATAAATCAAGTTCTTAAACCTATGTTTTTAATTTTAAAATTGTTTCTTTTTTTAAACTTAATTCTTCTTCTTTTTCTTTGTTCATATCATTTTTATCTTCTTCATATTTTTTTTTCATTTTTTCTAATTTCTCATTTGTTTTCCTATTTTTTTTATCCAAATCTTCTAATTGTTTTTCCTATATTTCCACATTTACTTTATATTATCTTATTTAATTTTATAATTCAGAATTTTCATTTGAAAGACTTTTGTTTTTTCTATTTATTTAATTAATTTCATCTTAAAATTTTCTTATTTCTAATGCTTTAATTTCTTAGTCGTAATTTAAATCTTCATTTAAACTTAAGATTTCTTAATTTTTTTGCTTTTATTCTTATAATAATAAATTTAATTAATTCATTTATAAGTTTGTATTTTCTTTTTCTTCAAAGTAGTTTTATTCCCTTTTTTCTATATTTTCTCTATTTTAAATTTAATAAAGAAATCAATAAAATATTTATTTATATTTAAAAAATAACTTTAATATAGAAATTTCTTCATTTCTTCTTAATAATTTTTATTATAATTAGTTTATTAAATCACTTAGTTATTAATCATTTTATTCTAATTCTTCTTCTTTTTAAATTTTTAATTATATTATTTATCTATCTCTTTATATTTATTCTTTTAATTATTAATTCTGATCTTCATAATATTATGCTTATGATTCTTTTTCTTTCAAATTATTTTAAAAGCCTTCAACTTAATACTAAAGTTCTTTTTAGATTTCTTACTGCTATTATTTTTTTTATTTATATTTTATTTTCATTTATTAAATTAAATAATCTTAATCAGAAATTAAATTTTGTAATTGCTTTATATTTTTGAGTTATCTTTTTTTGTTTAAATAAAAAAAAAGTCTTTTTTATTTTTATTACTTATCAACATTACAATCTAAATTATATTCGTTTAATCTTGAAGTTTTTTTGTTTTATTAATTTTCCTTTAATAAATCTTCTATTTTTTATTAAATTTCAAACTTTATTTAATTATATTTTTTTTATTTTTCATTCACATTAATATTATTATTTTCTGTATTATAATCATTATCATTATTATTGACATAATTATGATTATATTATTTATATTAATTATCTAAATTATTTTAAACATCTAAAATAAATAATAAAATTATAAAAGAAACTGAAAAAAAAATTAATTACTTAAATTATGCTAAAATTTTTTTTTAATTTGATTAAGAAAAACTAAGCATTCTTAAACTTTAATTTTCTAAGAATCATCATTAATATCAAATTAAGAATCGGATTATAATATTTGATTCAAATATTCTTCTTTAGAATCAGCCCAATCAATAATTTCTTAATTAGTAAATCCTTTAGTTTAATTAGTAAATTAATAAACATCTTAAATTATATTTTATATATCGATATTTTCATTTTATTATTAATTGTTTCTTTATTCAAAAATTACTTATGATTATTATTATGTATTTCCAATATTATGATTATTTATTGTTTAATCGTTATTTTTTACTTAATTACGATTTATATTATTATCTTCTTAAAATTAAACTCCTATATTACTTCCATTAAAGGATTACTATTATTAAAAATTATTAATATCATCAAAATAAGTATCGATTCTTTCTTTAATCCCAGAACAGAAAGCTAAGGCATCACAAGAATCATTGACTTAAGAATAGGCACTAGAAACATTACAAATTAAGCTAAAAGTATTATCATTTGAAGAATTAGTACAATCCGCCAATTATTATATTAATTTTGAATTATTAAAAGAAGGAGTTTCCATTAAATTTTGATCTTTCTAAGTTGCTACATCTACTAAATAGTCACCTAAAATAACAAATTCAGGCATTTTATTTTTCGAGAAATCAGCACAATGAACGAAAGTTATAATAGAAAAAATACCAGAAGAAGGTGTATTAATTTTTCTTTTTTTAGAAGTTTATCCTTCATTCTTATAAATTTTAAATCTATAGAAAATATGCATCCTCCTAATAGATTATTCACCTGCTACACTTTTAATTTTGTCTCTTGTTTTTGTAAAATATTATTAAAATTCGCCTTTTAAAAGCATTTCTTGTTCAAATAAATCTTCTTCATCAGTTTAATTATTGTTATTTCTAACATTTCCAAGAAGATCAATAATATCGTTATTATAAATGGCAAATATTTAATATGTAATATATATTAGTTTATTTTATTTTCCAGTCTTTAGATTATTACCTTAGACTTAATTTGATATTTCGTTCAATTTAAATAAGTCATCAGCAGCTTTTAAAATTATTCCTTTTTCAGTCTAATTTGGAGAACTCATTGTGTGTTTTTTCCCAGATCTATTTTTATTTTTATTTTTATTTTATTTTTTAATATACACTTATATTTATATAAAAATACATAACTTTGCAGGACCTATTATCATAAAAGTGGAACTTAAACCTAAAGAAAGTGCTTGTTTTATTTAATCATCACAAATATCTTTACATATTTGAGAATTGGTAGCTTTAAATCCGAAAGATTAATCGAATTTATAAATACTTGCATTTTCTAATATAGAGTTTCTATATTAGATTATATTTCGGTCTGTCTTTACGTATTCGTCTAATAATTATTTTTTTATTGGATTCCCGCTTATTGCTACATATTGAGATTTTTCTTTTGAAGAAGATGTAAATATACAACATTTATAATCTTTGTCTAACGATGAAGCATTTTAGATTAAGGCTGTTGGCTTTTCAATTCGGAGGGAGGATGGTTTTGTTTGACCTGAGGTTGGCTTAGATAATGTTGATTGATTTTCATTTATATTTTAGGCGCGGGTGCTTGAGGATAATTCAGAGGTTTAGGCATACATGTCTGAAACACCTGGAGGACGAATTCTTGCATAAACTTTTATTTAGGACATATTATATTATTTTTTGTTTTTTTTTTAAATAAAAAGTATTATATATGAGTTATTTTTTTTTAAATTAGTTTTTTATTTATTATTAAAATAAAACAAATAAAATTTTTAATAATATATTATTTTTTTTTTTAAAAAAATATATATATATATATATATATATATATATATATATATAATCATTTAAATTTATAAATATATTTATTTATTTATTTATTTATTTATACATACACTTGTATATATATATTTATTTTTCTAAATCAATTTTAAAATTTATTTATATATAATATTTATTATAAATCAATTTTCCTTATAAATATTTTTTTTTTTTATATTATAAATTTTATAAACATATATTTTTTTTTATAATTTAATTATTTTCTATCATCAAAAAAAATTTAAACAAAAAAAAATGATAAAATATTGCGCAATTTCCTAAATTGATAATCAATAAATAACTCACTAAGAAACTTTAGATCCAAAAAACAAAGCTTAATATGAAAAAGAAGTTACATAAATATTATAAACTGAAATAACATAAACAATTTAGAGAAATAAAACTTACTAAAAACTAAGGAAAAGTGATGATACTATATATTATTATAGAATAAACTAAAATAGTGAATACATAATATTTATATTGGCAAAAAATTCATTTTCTTTAACAAAAATAATATCATTGATAGGAGATATAAATAAGCTTTTAGAATAAAACTTAACCGACATAAAACTTTCTAATAGTATTTATGATTAATTGAGATATTATGATGCTAATAATTAAGATAGTTTATCATAAGCAAGATCAACTATCGAAAGCATTACAGCAAATGTTAAAGATAATGTCTCAAAGGCTATTAGTAATGCTGCAAAATTTAATGATGTGGAAATAAAATCTAAAGCTTTATCAGAGAGTTCAAAAGGTTTTATGGAAAGAACTAGACTTTTAGAAAAATAAATGAGATAAAAATAGAGAAGAAAGTATATGATAATGGGAGGTATTAGCCTTTTATTTATTGTTTTTATTGTATTGCTATTTTCATATGGATCTAATGATTGATAAGTAAAATTTGGAAGTTTATATAATGATAATAAAATTTATATTGTTTTGATTTATATATTTAAGTAAAAGAATATTAAATAATCATTTTATGTAAAAAAAAAAAAAAAATTAATATTAATATAAATATAAATACATATAGAAATAGATTATTAACTTAAATATATATATATATATATATATATTTATATATATATATTTATAATATTTCATATATTTAATTTTTTTATTTTTTATATCTTTTTTCTCTTTTTTAATTTTTTTATTTTTTTTGTTTATTTATTTTTTTTCTTATTAATTAAATTTTTATTTAATATTTATTTACTATTCATTTTATTTATTTTTTTTATTATTATTTTTTATTCCTTATTTTTTTTTAATATTTTTTTTTATTCTTTTTTTTTTAAATATATAATAATTCTATATTTTACTTTTTTAACAAATTATTTTTCTCAAATAATTTATATTATGAAGAATATATTAATATAAAAATTTAAACTAAATATAAAATTTTATTTTAAAATCTAATTATATAAAAAAAAATTAATTTTTTTTTAAATTATTTTATAATTTTTAATAAAAATATAATATTTAATTAATATATCATTATATAAAATTATGGCGACATAAAAATTATTAAATTACTATCCAAAGGCAACCGTTCTTAAATAAATACCATTTTCTCCATTTAATAAAAATTAAAAGATATATATAAAAGACTAAGATAATTTATATAAAACATTAATATAAATATATAAGACTCATCCTTAATAAAGATTAGATGTAGTATCTGATTTTGATCATACTATAACTGATTTTTATTATAATAATTAGCCAGTAAGCCCATCATTTGGAATATTAAATAGATCATAACACGTAACTATAGAAATGGAAAATTAAGCAAAAGAAATATTCGAAATATATTCTAAGTATGAAAATACTAAATAATATACATTCGAATTTAAATATTAAAAAATGGAAGAATGGGTAAAACTAACAGCTGAGCTTTTTGTAAAATTTTAGATAAACAGTGTTATTTTATAGAATATATTAAATGATAATACATTATGTTTTAGATATGGATTTAATGATTTTTTGAAATATTGTGTTTAATAAAATATAAACTTTATTGTTATTTCTGGAGGAATTTAAGATGTAATTTATTATATGATGAATCAAATAACTGAGTTGAATTAGTTTTAAAATTTAATGATAATTTCTAATAAAATGCTATTTGATAATGATGGTAATATTGTCGGCTTTTCTGATAAAAGAGTCCATTCTCATAATAAATATAATCTTTTAAAACATTAAGATTACCCTTAACTTAAAAAAAATTGTATTTTATTAGGAGATCTTCTCCATGATATATATATGACTAAAAATAGCTCGTATGAAAATTAAATTAGATTCGGATTTGCAAAAAAGGACGATGAAGTTTAAAATTTCCTTAAAAAATATGATATTGTTTTGTTAAATTAAGGAAGTTATATTCCTGTTGAATGTATTCTGAGAAGTCTTATTTCTAATGACAATTTACCTTTAGATATTTTAGCAAAATTATAGATAATTTCTCCTGAATTGGTTGAAGTTTTATTTGAATTTTAATCTTAAAAATAAAAATTATAAAATTGATATATATATTGTTTGCTTAATACCTCTTTTTTTTTTCAAATTAAAACTTTTTTATTTTTTAATTTAAACTTTTTTTTTTTTTTTTTAAATAAGGCTTTATTTATATTTTTTTTTAAATTAAAAAAATAAAAATGTCTTCTTTGTAATTATTATAATAATAATTTTAATTATTTATATAAAATCTTACTGCGTTTGAAGTATTCAAATTATTTGAATTATTTTAATAAGCAAATCAAGTATAAAAATCTTTTAAAATGATAAGTTATAAATGTTATGAATGTAAAATTTCTTTAGACTAAAATAATGAAGGAAGAGGATTTGGACGAGAATAAAATGAAGCCTTGTTTAATTCAATAAAAGATTTTTTCTAAATATTGATTATGGATGAAAATTAAATACATTAAGTTAAAAAATATTATAAAGAAATGAAAAAAAATTAATTAAATGATTAATAATAATAAAAATCTTAAAATATTAATGAAGTTTATAATTAAAATCATATTGAGCTAAATCAGAGATTAGGAAATATATCGGTTATTAATAATTAGGATTAGGATTATGATAATAATTAAAATAATATCAGTTAGTAAGAAATCTATGAGTTATTAGATAAATTTTAAATTTCTTAAAATAAAAATAATTAAATATTATTGAATAATGATGAAAATATTTATAGGAAATAATAAAATAACTAATTTATTTTTGATAAAGAAAATGATTATAGTAATAATAATTTATTATCTAAACAAAAAAATATTGATGAAAAAAAATGTCATAAAGATGATTATGAATAGGAAAATTCTAAATATAAGCTTATGTAGTAATAATATTAAATTTTAATTCAAGAAAACAATTTTTTAAAAACTAAATTAATTTAAAATCAAATGTATAAGAATAGTCGAAATTGAAATAATTTATAAATTAAATATAAATTATTTATAAAATTATCAATTTTTAATTATTAATTAATAAAATAAAAAAATGGTAAATTCTTATAGATTTTATACATATTATAAATATTTTTTTTTTCTAAATAATAATTAAAATATTATAATTACTTTTATTTAATGATTTATATATAATATTTTTTTTAAATTAAAATTAATAAATATTGTTTATATTGCTTATTATGTAAAATTCTGTATATAGTTATTTTAAATTTTAAATAGGTTAATTATATTTATTAATTTTAAATTTAATATGAATTTATTTTATAATTAAATAATATTTTATATTTACTTAAAATTATTTATATCATTAGATTTTTATTCTTTAAATTATATAATAAAATATAGATATATTTTTTTAATCAAAAAAATGAAAGGAAAATTGATCTAAGGTTCATGGTCTTAATAAACTGAAAAAGACATATCATATTAATGGGTATAAAAAATGCCTGATATTGAATTAATAGAAAAAGGCATTTCAATTCTTAAATTTTAAGAAAGTTTCTAAAAAAGAAATACTGAAATGGAGTTTCGAGTAAAAATAATAAAAATAAATAAAAAAACAAAATATATAAACATACTAAAATTTAATTTATGATTTTTTATATATATTTAATAAATATATTATTAATATTTTATTTTTTAATTTCTATTTAGTTAATAAGAAGAATTACGGAAACATAATTTCATAATGAAAAGTTAAAAAATTATGATCCAAATTTAAATAAGATGAATAGATACAATAATATAATACCATGTATCTGAATAATATAAAATTTTATTAAAATAAATATTTAATTAAAAATATAATATATAAAAATATTCATTTATAAAAAAGATGAACATACAATAGTGAATTTAGAAAAAGATTCTGAAGATGAAGAAAACCTTTATATAAACGCATCATTTATAGGAGTATACATAAATAATAATTAATATTTATTAAGGAAATTTCAAATTAAATAATAAAGTCAATTTTTGAAGATGATGATAAAAATAAATTTATTGCAACTTAAGGTCCTTTGCCTAATACTTAAATTCATTTTTGGAAAATGATTTGGTAAAATGATGTGGAATGCATAGTAATGGTTTGTAATTTAAAAGAAAATGATAAAGTTTAATGCGAATAATATTGGCCAATCGAAGTTAATTAAGAAGTTTAATAAGGAATTTATAAATTAAAACTAGTTGAAGAAATTTTAATTTTTTAAAATTTATATAAGAGAACTATTCTTCTAGAAAAAGAAAATTCTGATATAAAAAAAAAGTTTATCAATATTAAGTAAAAAAATATATAAATATATAAAAAAATAAATATTTGTAATAGTTTATAGAATGGAGAGACCATGGAGTTCCTAGTTAAAAAGATTATAATGTAATAGAATACTTAATAAATATAATGATTTAAAATTATTACTAATAAAAAATAACTGTCGTTCATTGTAGGTTTGATATATATAAAAAAATATTAATAATTAAACTAAAGAATACATAATTATATTATTTTTTTTTTTTTTAATTTATTTATAATTTATAATAAACTAAGTGCTGGTGTAGGTAGAACTGGAACTTTAATATCTTTAGTAAATTTAATGATAATAGTAGAATATTACGTTCCTATTATATAAGAAATAATTAAAAATTAATGTATTTTATTTTATATTTTTATCATATTTTTTTTAAAAAAATGCAGAGAGTATTGAAAACTTAAATAATTGTAATATAAGTATATTTGGTACTGTTAGAAAAATCAGAGAATAAAGATGGGGTATGGTTCACCATTCTGAATAATATGCTTATTTATATAAATATATGAATTTAGCTATAGAAAAAGTACTTAAAATTATAAATGCTGACAAATACTTTAATTTATAATTAAACTCTACATTTGAGAATAATATATACGAAGGAAATTAATCATTAGATAATGAAGTTAAAAATAATGAAAATTAATAGGAATTAAATTAATAAGAATAAAATTAATAGGAGTAAAATTAATAGGAGTAAAATTAATAGGAGTAAAATTAATAGGAGTAAAATTAATAGGATTAATATTAATAGGAATAAAATTAATGAAATAAAATTTAATAATATAAATATTTATTCAAAATAAAAAAAGTTTTCATATATTTATTTATATTAAAATAAATAATCTAATTAAATATTTTAATATAACATCTAATTATATTTTAAAAAAAATTATTTTAATAAAATTATTAAAAATTGAAGCATATAAATATAGTCTAAATATTAATTTTATTAAATAAAATTTGGGTTAATAAGGACTTTAAAATTTCATATATATTTTAAATTAATAATTTTATTATTATAAAATATTCAATTTGTAAATAACATTATATATTTTATAATTAATTATTTTACAAATAAAATTATAAATAAATAATATTTATGAAAACATATATAAGAAAAATAAGTATAAAGTTAAAAAAATTAAAATAAAATATTTATACTATCTTATTTTTATATTTTCTTGTAAATATTTTTTTTTATTAATATTAAGAAAATTAAATTAAAATAAAATAAAATGGAAAATCAACACGAAAGAGCTTTTTAAAAGCAAGATGGAATATTTTTAAATTCCAAAAAAGTTTTATAAAAGAAGACTTCTGCTGGTGTTAGATACTATAAAAATATTGGTTTAGGATTTAAAACACCTAAAGAAGCAATAGATGGACATTATATTGATAAAAAATGCCCTTTTACATCTAATTTATCTATAAGAGGAAAACTTATAAAGTAAAAAAATAATAAAATTTTATTTTTATTGAAATATTTTTTTATTTATTAAATTACAGAGGATTAGTTATTTCGACTAAAATGAACAGAACTGTAATTATTAGAAGAGATTATTTACACTATGTAAGAAAGTATAATAGATATGAAAAAAGACATCGAAATATTGCTGTACATGTTTCACCTTGCTTTTAAGTAAAGGAAGGAGATATCCTTGTTGCTGGTTAATGCAGGTATATTTAAATTTCTTTATAGATATATGTATTAATTAATTATTATATTTTAAATATAAATATAGACCTATTTCTAAAACTGTTAGATTTAATACTCTTTAAGTATATCCTAATGAAATTGTAGGTTCAGTAAGAAAATAGTTCCTTTTATTTTGAAATAAAAAATATTTTTTTTTTTTTTTTTTTCTCTAATAATTATTATCAAAATTTTGATAAAAGATTTATTAAATATTTTTAATATTAAAATTAATTGCATTTTTATGTTAAAAAATGGAAGTTTTTTAAAAAATATCTAAATAAATTATTATATTTAATTATAATATATATTTCTTCTTTCAATAAATATATATATATATATATATTGAAATTTTAATCTAGTTTTTTAATTTTTTATTTGAAAAAAGTTTTAATTAAAAATATGAAAAAAATCAAATTTACATAGATTTTATATATTAAGATTTTTAAAGAGAATAACAATATAAATGGAATTAACTAATTTTTTTAAAAATTTAGTTTTTATAGTTTTCTATATGATTTTTTAAATCTTTAATAAATTCATAAGTACCTGATTAATCTAAAGTTGCATTATCTTGTTATTATTTAAATATCTTATCTTCTAAAAATGCTTAATTCATATTAAAATTTAGAAATTCTTTCTATTAATTAATTTATTAAGTATGATTTTCAGTTGGAAATACATGCAAAATTATAAGACCTTTTTTCAAACAAATTAAATTTTATAAATCATAATCAAATTAATCTACTTTAGTAATATTTTTTAGAATTTGAATATTTTCCTCATGAACTTTTTAAGGATTATCGTTTTAAAATGGAATATATATTATATCACATGGGTTTTTTCCCGGAGTTAATTAATTAAAGAAATAATTATTAGAAAGTCTTTAGCTATTTCTAAAAAAAAGATTAATATACTAACTTATATATTTATTATTTTAATTATAATTATAAATATTTTTGTGTTTTATTATTTCATTTTTATTTTGGAATAATTCTTCATAGAAATCCCAAGGACCTTCATAAATATTTTATAAGCAAAATTAATCATTCAAAAAATTAATTGTAAACCATTTATTTTGAACATCATCATAAAAAATAAATTTAAAACTAGTGAACTTATTCATAATTAAAGCCGATATTTACATTTCTAAAGTTAAAAAAACTTAAATAAACTAAGTCATGGGGACATAATCATATCTTTTTTTTTATTTTTTTTTAAAAAAAATATAAAAATAAGAGAAATTACTTGCATATATTATCAAAATGAAATAATATTTTAGATTATTAATTCCATAATATTTTTAAATTAGCATCAGTCATTTAATTAAATTTCTATCCATATACTTTTTTGAAGTATCTATATTCCATATTTTTTATTTTCTATAAATCCGCAGATTGTAATATAGATAAATTTAATATTGTATTTGTATTATCTAAATTTATTTTTTCTGCTTATTAAGTGACTATTTTTAAATCTTTTTTAATATTTTCAACTTAATTAATTAAATATTTATGATTTGGTATATCTAAAATAAACTTAAATCCATTATTATTCTTTTCTTTATCAAAATATGAACTTTGAAACATTTATTTATTTTTATTTTCTAGCTTTTATAAGTTTTTTTAAAAATATTCAAATAGTTTTTTTTTATTTAATTTTTTTATTTGTTATTCTTTTATCCTTTATAAACTTTTTAAATTATTTTACTTATTTTTAAATAATATATTTGATATTAATTTTATTTTTATTTATATTTTTACTTTTGGTGTTTCACTTTAATTACTATTTAAAATTTAACTATTTGTAGTATCTTATATTATTATAATTTTATCTGAAGATTTTCTTATTAAAACTTCTTAACTATATTATTCATAATTAGGTTAACTTTATTATACTTAAACATAAATTTATTAATTTTCTTATTTTTCATTATTTATTTTATTTTCATATGCCTCAAAATCTTAATTTTCTTTATTACTAAATAATATATTACAATTTTAAACATTATTATTTTGATTCTTAATTTATTATTACTAATTTATAATTGATAATTTTTTATTATTATCTTCCATATTAATTATAAATGTTCCTTCAAGCATATTATTTACATTAGAATTTTTATTCTAGTCTTTTTTTAATGATAAAACATCTTTTTAACATAAAGTATTTTTTTATTATGAACACAAACTTATAATTTACTAACTATTTATTTGTTTTTATAAACTTTAATTTTAAGTTAATTTTAAATCCGAAAAATCAAAAAAAGGTTCATCAAACGAAATATTAAATGAATCTTTATTTAAAATCATTTAAGCTTTTTATCTTTAATTAACTTTTAATTCATCAGAAAGCTCTCTTTTTTTAATAGCTTTTAAAATACATTTAATTTTTTGTTAACCGAACTCTTTTTCTGTCATTTTTTGTTTCAAAATTTTGATATTACTTAATATTATTTATGTTTTACTTTTAAACATTTCTCGTGTTTTTTATTATTTATTTTTTTCCTCTATTTCTGGTATTTTTTCTAGTGAGGTTTTAAAATTTTTATTTTATAAATCTAAATCTATAAAAAACTCACTTTTTTCAAAATCTTCAATGTCGTCTTCTTCATCATCGTTTCTATCTAAATTTTAGATTTTTCCATTAGCTTTTATTATTATTGTCTCTTATTTTAAAAAATTGTAATTTCTTTTTTCTAATTAAGCAATATTATAAACAACATCTATATATTTATTATAATCAGTTTCGAAATTTATGTTTTCTAAAAGCAATTATTGCTTTTCTAAATTTTCTAATATTTCTTATTATTCTTCTATTATTTATAAATAATTACTAATTCTTTCTACTACATTAAAAACTTCCCAAATGATACCTCCAATTAGAGAAAGAATGAAAATTGCTATAAAATAAAAGCTGTTAAAAAAAATAATACTTTAAATCATATTATCAAATTTATAAGCATAATCAAATACAACATTACTCCATGTAGCAGCAATACATATTTATAATAAAATTAAATTTGCACCTAAAAAGTTATTAAAATCAGCATAACTTATTTATTTTTATATAACAAAAAAAAATAATATTTGTTTATAAATTAATTTGTTATTACGCACATTCAGTTGAATCTTTTATATTTAAATCATAAACTTACTATGGATTACACATTGAAAAACCATATTTTCCAAATTATCTAAACTTTACAGGCGGTAATGTAGTAAATATTTCAACACCTAAACTTGCATAAATATAGAAAAGAATAAATATTATAACTGAAAGTTTTAAAACTATTGGGATACAAATAACTATTTTATAAAACATTTAATGAACTTTTTCTATTATATCGAGGCCTGCAAATAAAAATTAGATAATTTTAATAGTTCGAAACGTTTTTAATATACGAAATACTCTTTATATTTTTGTTATTTTAACTAAAGTAATAGCTGCAAATTATTTAAAAAAATCAAAATCTAAAGCTGCATATATAGTAATGACATTTATAATCTATATAAAAATATAAAAATAAATAAATATTATAATATATAAATAAATTTATAATAATATATATTTATATATATATATATATATATATGTATACTTAAATTATTGATAGTATTATGTGTAAACGATTCCAGCCATTATCCATATATTTATAAATTCCATAAATAATTATTTTAAAAATAATTTCTATAATAAAAATTACTAAAATAATATTATCAATTATATCAAATACAATTAATGTTTATTATTTTTATGTAAATATAGAAATAATAGCTAATGAACAACTTATTAGCGTTATTATAAATATAAATATTTCAAAATATAAGTTTTCTACATATATTTATAAATTAAACTTTTTTAGAATATAATTTCTAAACTTAATCCATTATTTGAATGGCTTAATTTTTGAAAGGCTAAATTCTTTCTGTTATTCAATTATGTCTATTACATTAAAAAATTAGTCAATATTTATTTTATTTTATCTTTCTTAATTTATATAATTCCATAATTTAATAGATATTATTTTTGCTTCTTCATATTCTTCTACTTCTTAATATATTTTTGTAAAAAATTTTATAAATTGCTCTTATTCAATATATAGTTCTTGCATGTTATTATTCACTAAACATTAGAAACAGGCTAATAGGGCAATCCTTCTTTTAATTCTATCAGCTATTATTAAACAAAATATATATTTTTTTTTATAAATTTTTTAAATACAAATAAATAAATTAAGTCTATGCTATCTAAACCCGTCATAAACTACAGCAGTTGGAATAGGAAGAAAAAGTAATAAGAAAATTACTATGTATTATATTTATAATAAAATTAGTTTATTTTTATAATTTTACGTATATAAGGTATATAATATAGCAAATAAAATTTTGACTATATTACTAAAGGAATCAAAATATCAGGAAGTTAATCAAATGTACTTACTACATATAATATATTTACTGTTTTCCATATATTTTGGTAATCAATAGAATATTCTTTTAAAATATTTATTAAATATATATATATATATATTAGTTTTACTATCTACATATTAATCTATTTCTCCAATAGTATTATAACCAACATAAGCCCAAAAAGCAATAAATATAAAATAAAAAATAAAAATAATTAATAAATTTTTAGCGGATTTAATAATTCCTTAAAAATTTCTTCTTAAAGGTTTAGAATAAACAATAATTTAAAGAGGTCGAATAATTCTAGCAAATCTAAGTGTATTTATAGGATAAGAAAAAGAATATTAAAGATAATCGCTAAAAAGTAAAAAGAAAAAAATACTTCTAAATAAAGTTTTCTATTTACTAAATATTAAATTAATAATATTTTTATTTTAATTTAATTGCGATAATCTCTAAAATATTTCCATGCTAAAATCAATAAGCTATAAGCTAATAATAAAAGTTTCAATCGAATATAAAATTGTAAAAAGTTCTTTATTTAAACTTTTATCAATCCTATTTACAGGTTAAAAAAAACTTAAAATTATATAAACCCAACTCATAAATAATAATAAGTCATTCCAAATACTTGAGTTTTAAATTTTATATATGAATAAAGTAAACTTTTAATAGAAATTATTTGCATTATCTAAATCATTTCTTACAGATCTATATAATAAAGCATCTTTAAAATGTCTTTGTGATTTTTCAATTAATTTATCTTAACTTAATTTACTTACTAAATCCATTAATATAATTATATTTTTTTCTACTTTTGTTTATTAATTCTATTACTGGCTTTTTATCTATTAAATTATTTCTTATTATTAAGTTTCGGTATAATTTGGTATTGATATTCCTTGCCGACGTTATCTTATTTCAATTGATTTTTTTTTCTTTATATTCCTTTTTTTAAAAATATTATAATTTTCTAATAAGCTCAACAGAAATCCTTTTTAATTATTTTAATTAAAATTATTAGAAAACTATTTTAAAAATTAGTTTAATGGTATATTTTTTTAGAATTAAACATTTTATGATTATATATATTATTAAGAGTTCTTTAGTATTTAACTCATATATTTTTATTTTTTTAAAAATTATAAATTTTTTAATTTTTTTTTTTTCTTAAATTTAATAAAACTACATAAAATAAAAAATATATAAATTTAAAATAAATAAAAATATAAATAGATATTTTTAAAATTAAACTTATTAATTATTTTAAATATTATTTTATAAAATTTAAAAGTCTTTTTAATATTAAATAAAATTAAAAGATTAATAAATCACTAATTATTAAATTATATATAAATTAAAAATTAAATTATATTTAAAAAATTATCATTTTTATAGGTGAATTCAAAAAAAAAATTAAAAAAATTATTTTTATTTTAATAAATATATATATTACTTAATATTAAATTATTATATAAATATATTAAATTATTATAGTTCTTTAAGATTAAATTAATAAATATATAAAAAATAAAATAAATTTATTAAAGATTGTTTTATAAAATTATATATAATAAAATTATAATATTAATTGAACTAATTTAAATTAATATAAAATTAAAAAAATTATTAAAAATCTAAGTTTAAATAGATATTTATTTTGTACATTTTTTAAAGTTATAAATTTTTTTGTTTAAAAAATCTAATAGTTTTTTTTTTTATATTATTACTCAATCTATACAAATCGGATTATTTTATTTTCCTTCTTATTGCTGAAATCCTTTTTATTATGTATTATTTTTCTTTTTTTTATTGTTGTTTTCTAAATCATTTTTGCTTTTTCTATAAAATAAAATATATATATATTTATAAGTCAATAATATATTTAAATTACAATTACAAATCACTAAAATTTCTTTTCGATAGAAGTTTATTAGTATCTTATGTTCTATAAAAATAAATAATTAATTTTTTTTTATTTTATTTTTTACAAATCATCTTAATTAATATTAGTTTATTAATTTAATAATTAATAATCCTATAATCTTTAAAATTCATCTCTTTTTTTATTGATAGCTTGGCTAAGTATTTCAAATTATTATTATTATAATTAAGTTTTATTTTAATTAATATCTAATGTTTGATTTTATTAGAAAATTGGTTATTATTATTACAGTTATTATTATTATTACATCTACTATTACTATTACTATAATAATTATTATTATTATAATTATTATAATAATAATTATTATTATATATGATTTTAGTCAATTATTTCTTAATTATTATTATCTTCACAAATAATAATTTCGTTTTTTTTAGAGTCATTTTTATTCAAGCTTTGAGGTTCTGATTTTTTGTTTTCATTAATTGAATTATCTTTGAAATCGTTTTCATCATAATCAGAATCATTATTATTAAAATCAAAAGTATATTTTCCATTTTTATCAAACTAAACCCTTGTAACGTTTTTAAGCTTCTTTTTTTTAACTTCACTTATTAAATTTAATAAAAATTCATCTATAATCAAATCATGACACTACAATTTACATAAGGGACATTTCCATTTTCTAGGTTATAGACACTCTGTTGCAATTATAAAATTTTCTAATGAAAAGCATTAAAAATGTTAGCAGAATTTACCTTTACATGGAGTATTTATCAATTTAAAATCAAAATTACATTAAAGGGGAATATTTAATTTATCAATAGTTACTTCATCATCTTAATCGTTATTAGTATTGGATTCATCGTTTAAAATTTTAGTTTTTTAAAAAGAATCTAATATTTTTTATTTTGTTAAAAATTAAGGATAATAATTAGAGCTTTTTATTTATTGGATTAATTATTAGGATGATTATTTTTCAACTAGTAAAATTCCCATATAATAAATAGAATCTTCATTTAATTTATATTAATTTCTATCATTGTAAGGTATATTGTTTTCTTTTATTTAAATATTATATATTACTTTTGAAAACAATTTATTTTTTATTATAAATTTGTCATCTTTTCTTTTTTTAAGGGAAGAATTATTCTATAAAGGCTTAAATTCGAAAAGTTTTTCATCATTTAATAATATCTATCCAATATCTGGCCAAGTAATTTCGTTTATATTTTTTATATCATCTACTCTTATTGATCTAATTTCAATTTCATATTTTCCTTCATTTTAATTCAATAATTATACTTAAGAATCTGATAATTAGAATGATTCTCTTCTACTATTTTAGCCATTACTTTAATAGAAAACAAACTCTTTGAGTGAAGCTATACATTTAGATAAAGGATCATATTTTTTTAATATACAAGATGGACATTAAAAGTCATAACCATTTTTTGTATCGATTTTCATACATATATCATGATATTATTACTAGCAATTTTCATATGAGCAATATACAAAATTTAAATTTTATTATTATAGAACAAATTAAGGTTTAGTTATTTAAAAACAAATACAATTTTTTAAAAATTTATGTTAATTTTATAATGAATGTATTTAATTTTATTATTATTATTAAATATTTTATTATTGTAATAATTACATTGGTTTAATTTAGGTTTATTATAAAATATTTTATAATAATTATTATTTTTGCGAAATATTTTTTTATATTTGAATTTAATTTTCTAATTAGTTTTTTTTATCTTTTTATTTATCTTAATATTTATTTTTGTTTTCGTTTTATTTACCTTTTTATTTGTTTTATTCAATAATTTTATTTTAATTCTATTATTCTTGTTAAGAATTACTAGAATTATTAGATATATGTTTATATTCATTAGGCTAGTTTATTTTTTATATAAAATCTTAAACAGAAGAAAATTATTAGAGTAATTTATTTTAATTTGGATTTTATAACATATATAATTAGGGTTATTTTTATAGCAAAAGATTTTGTTTATATAACTCTTTTTCATCTAATTAAAGGATTTAAGGGTTATAAAAATCTTAATATTATTAGAAATTATTATTGATTTAATATTTATTAGGTATTTAGTTATTTTATTTATTTTGTTATAAATATTCTTAATTTTACATTGGATTTTATTCGTTATTTTTTTAAATTCCGTTTAATTAAAGCAATTATTATTATTCTTGTAAAGTTTTAAAATTTAAACTATTCTAGAATTGCTAGAATTAATCTTAAGTTGTAAAATTGTTTGGATTTAAATACTAATTATTTAAATTAACATTAAATAAATTCTAATAATAATAATTAAGAAAATCATAATTGCTAAAATTTTAATTTAATAAATAATTACCTTAATTATTTTTGAATTAATTTTACACTTATTACATCTCTTTTATTTCTATCTAAGGGATTAATTAACTAAATATTTTTTATTAATCAATTTCATATATTTCTTTGTTTTTTATAGTATTATTTTGCTATTATTATCCATTAAATACACAACTAGCCTATTTATATTTTATTTTATTTAAAAAATTAACAAAAATTCTATAAATTGATTTATTTTAAAATATTTAATTCTTTTTTTTCCATTCTTCGCTTTTTTAATTTAATAAAAATTATTCGTTTTAATAATATAGTTCTAAAAGTTTTTCCGGTATTTCTTTTTCTTAATTACTTGACTATTTAAGATTTAGATCTTTTAATAATAATTATAATGATTCTTAATTACAGAAGATGTTTTCTTCTTATAATGCTTTTAGTAATAACCCTAAAGAATATTAATAAGAATAATCTTTTTCATAAGACTGATTTTAATTTATATTATTTTGAGAGAATTTATAAAGCATTTAATTAGAACCTATTATAAAAATAAAAATATTTTTAATATTTTAAATTAAATTAAAATAACATTAAAAAATAAAAAAAATTAGTAATTAAAATATATATATAATATAATAAAAACATTAATGTATAAAAATAAAAAAAAAAAAAAAATTATATTTATATATAAATTTTTTATTATTTATTGATTTTATTTATATTTACCTTTATTTTTTAGTTTTAAATTTTAACTTTTTTTTTTTTATTCTTTTTTTCTTTTTTTCTTTATTTTTTTTTTTTAATTTAATTTACTTTCAAAATATAATTATTTAAGTATAAAAATGCAATCTTTTTAAATTACATTTGATTTTAGATTAAAATATTAACATACCTTATTAATTATAAATAATATGATTCAGCTTCATTATAGTTAGACAAATATTGTCAGAATTTAAAAGATTTATAAAAATTTTTTCCCACTTTAATATAATTATTAAAAATTATGATAATTTGATATTCCCCTCTTTTAAGTGACGGATTATTTTTAATGACATACTTATTTTATGAGTCATCAAATATTTTATAAAGTTAATATTATATATTAATATTTAAAAAATTTAAATAATATAAAAACATTTAATAGTAATATATTTTAAAAATGCTTATAAACAATAAATATTATATATAAATAATAATTAATTTAATTTATATTTAAAAAAAAATAATTTAAATTTAATAAAAAAAAAAATGCCAAATATTGTAAATAAATTTGAATATTTTATAAAAAAACAATAATTTAGATAAAAACAAATATTAGGAATGTTTTATTATTATTATTATTAATTTATTAAATTTTATTTCTTTTTTTTATATAGTTAATTAGAATTTATTTATATTGATTATATTTTATTGTATAAAATATTTTTTTTATAAATAAAATTTAATTAAAAAATTTTATGTTGTTTTTATAAATTAAATATCAATTAAAAAAAAATCATATTTAATTAATTATATTTATTAAATCTTTATTTTATTTTTTATTTTATATTTATTACGAATAAAATATGTCCTTATAAAATAATGTGTTAGTAGAGAAAATTAATAATAACTTACTTTATCAATTTTCAATCATAAATAATATATAAATTATTATAATTTAAATGATATATGATTGATAAAAATAATTTTCTATTTAAAATATTTAATTAAATTTCAATATAATTTGAGATTCCTTTAAACTATTGAAAATTTATATTATAATTTTTTTTTTTAATTTCTTTAAATACAATATAAATTATACTAAAGTTAAATATTTAAAAAGTAAGAAATTTATAAGAAAAAATATAATTTAATTATTTTTTAGAAATATATATATACTAATAAAATTGTGATAATTATCAATTTAAAAATAAAAAATTAAAATATAATATATTTATATCAAGCAAAATAAAGATAATAAAAAATAATATATATAATTAATTTATATATATAAATTATATATATATAAATATATTTATATTTATATAAATATATAATAATGTAATTTTTTATTAATATTTAAATATAAATAATATTTAATATTTATTAATAATAAATTATAATTATTTTTTTTAAAGATAATAATAATATTTTTTATATATATATATAATATTTAGTTTTTTATATATAAAAAAAATAATTTAATATAAAAAAATAATAGTTTTAAATAAAATTGCATATATTTTTTTTAAAAATAAAAAATATATTATAATAAATATTATGAAAGATTAATTATTAATTTATTAATTTTAATATTATCTTTTGAATAAAACTATAATTTTTTTTTTCATTTATATAAATATATATTAATTTAATTATTTCAAATTTACTTAAATATTATACGTAGTTATATTAAATTAAATTTCCAATTATAAGTATCACATTTTAATATAAAATTTTATATACTATAATTTATATATCTATAGATTTTTATTTATTATTTAAAAAAGTATTATCTTATAATACAAATTTTATGACTAATAAAATATTAATTTTTTATTTTAAAATTATTATATATTAAAATATATAAAATATTTATATTAAATTTTATTTTATTATTATAAATAATTTTCTTATTAAGATATTCTAAAATTTAATATTTTAATTAGATATCACTATAATAAAAAAGAAAAAAATATTGTAATTTTTATATAATAATATGTTTAAATATTAGATAAAATTGGACTATTATCGAATATTTAAAAAGTAGAAAATTTATAACATATAAAAAATACTTAATTATTTTTATAAATTATATATAAAAATATATATATATCGTATATTATCTATATCTAGACAAATTAAATATATATAATTATATGTATATATATAAATATATCTTTATATATATAAATATATTATATATGAAATAATTTAATGATTAATATAATTAAATTTTATTAAATAATTATAAAATTAATAATTTATCATACAATATTTTTTTTATTTATTTTATTTTTATATTGTTTTTACTATAAACTATTAATATTTTTTACTTTTATTTATTTTTAAATAAAAAATTATTTTATAAATCTTTTTATTAAGTTTTATAATAAATTTTTATAATTAAAATAAAAATAAAATAATTTAAGAAAATGTAATATCTTTATTATATTTAATAAAAATATATTATAACATATGTATGTATATATTTTTATATATACATATTATTTATATTTTTAAATTTTTATATTTTTTTTTTCTTTATATAAATATATCTAATAAATTATTTTAATTTTTTTTTTTTTTTTTTTCCTTTTTTTGTCTTTTTAATTTAATGAAAAAATTAAATAAAAAATAAAAATACATTAAAATAAGTAATATATTATTTTTATATCTAACTTTATTATTTATAAAATAATCATTTTCTAATCTAATTTAGATTAACAATTGATGTTGGTATAAGCTATAAACTATTTGAGCTGATATAATTAAAGTTTTCTTTTTTTGATTATTAATATGCTTCATTACTTTTTTATTTCTAAAAAGCGTTATCAGGTATTATAAGTTTTTTTTGCTCTGTCATATTGATATTTTACAGACTTATAGCTTACAATACATTTTTGGGAACACTGTTATTTAATAAAAGGCTTGAATTATCTTCGAAAATGTCATTGTCATTTAATGAGGATTTGAAAGTATTATTAGATATTCTATTGTTTGAATTTATTTAAAACATAGATCCAATAGAATAAATAGAGGATTTTTTATTAATGATAGAATTATTTTTATGAAAGCTTTTAGGATTATTTGAATGAATTTTTCTTTTTTAATCTACACTAATATTAAGACTATTTTACTTTCTTTTATTTCTAAGAAGTCTAACAGACACATTAACAGATGGAACAAAAGTTTAAAATTAAAGGTAACTCTTTCTTTAAGAAATACTTCTGGGTGTAATTTTAATATTGCAATTATTAATAAACGTATTTTTATTAGACGATAATATTAATTATTTACTTTATTATTTAGTTGGAGTTTTTTTCACTAATAATTATTATTTAGTAATATTTTCTATTTGTTATTTTAATTTTTAAATTTAGAAAACTTTTTTTTGTTCATCAGTTTTATTTTATGTTTATATTTAAATTAAATTATTTATTTTTTATTCGAATTTTTGATTCTCGTTTTATAGTTTTGTAAAAAAACTGAAGTTTTTTAATTTCTAGCATTCAAAAATGAACTTTTTTTAGTATAAATCTTCCATTTTTTCTCTTATTTATTTATTATTTTATTCGTTTTTTATATTCTTAATTCCTATTTATTTAATTAATTCGCATTGTTTTTTATATTTTCTCTTAATATATTTAACTTCTCAACTTTATGAATCAAGTCTTTTTATGAAAGCCCTGCTGGATTTATTGTATTCATTATTTCATGAATTGCTCTTTCATTATATTATTTTATGTTTATTAATTCTTTTAATTTTGTTTATAAATATCCACTTTCGGTTAATGATTCTTCTAATTATTAAATTAATAATGTTATTTTTTTTCATATGTATTATTTTGTTCTTCTATTAATTATTTTTCTTAGTTTTTTTTTCTAGTTCTTCTTCTTCTTGTTATTTTTTATTTTTTTCGTTCTATAATTCAAAATTTTCCTATTCTTATTCTTTTAAATATAAAAATTGCTCAAATAATTTCTTATTTATTTCTTATTATTCTGCTAAAAATTATTATTATTAAACTTGAATATTTTCTTCATATATTTATTTTATGTTTTCATAAACTTCTTTTTTTATATTTTTTGCTCTTTAAGCGTACTTTAAGGTATTAATCGTCTCTTCTATATATTTAAATGCAGGAGTAATACATGCTATTATTAAAGTTTTTGCATTTCCACCTAAACTTTCTTTTAATAATCTAGTCAATTTAGAATCTCTATAAGGAATATGTAATTTTTTATTCCCTTCTTTATAAAATATATTTTTATTTTGTTAAAAATAATTTATTTATTTTTAAAAATAAATAAATAAATAATAATATATTTATATATATACCAGCTAAAATATTAATACAATTTCCTAATGAAAGTAAAGATTTATTAATATTGGAACCTTCTTTAAGTCTATTTCCTTTATTTTCGAAGGCTTTTTCGCTTCCAGCTAAATCTACTAGATATAGTTTTGGGGAAAAGTAGTTTTTAAATCCTTTATTTGAGGACATATCTTTTTCTATTTCCAGTTATAATTAAATAATAGCATGTGATCTTGAAGAAAATTCATTCATTTTAGTTGAAGCCATAGTCCTTTTTTTATTTCCTTAAAAAATATAGCTTTGTATTTCTTATAAATTATGAATATCTTTTTCAATAAGTTAGGGACAATAAACTCCCTTTTATAAATCTTCTAAAATATTTAAATTATTATTAGATTATTCATTTTAAGATAGTAAATCTCTTATTTATTCATTATAAATTTCCAAATAAGACATTTTAGCCTTTATTTTATTTTCAGGAGATTTTTCTATTATAAACCTTACGGATTCTTAGACTACTCCACCTTCGAATGCTATTTCTTCTTCTTTTTTATTCTCAAAATTATTTCCAAACATTGTATATGTTTTTCCTGAACCTGTCATTCCGTAAACTAATATTGTTTGAGAAAATCCATTCAGAAGAGATTCATTTAATATAGGTTTTACTATTTCTTAGAATATTTATAAGGTTTTTGTTTAAGAATCAAATACTCTGTCGTACATAAATACTTTGTTACCACATGTGCTATTTGGCTACATTAATAGAATTGATTATTATGGACCTACTGATATATATTTACAATCTTCTTAATGACCATTAGTATAAAAGGAAGGACAGGTTGTAGGCTTTATTCGAACACATACACAGAAATTAGAATTTTATGATGTCATTTTTTTTATATTTTTTTTTTTATTTTATTTTTTACTTTTTTTTTTTTATTTTTATTAATTTTTATTAATAATTATTTTTATTTTTTTTATTATGACTAATAATTAACAACAATAATTTTTTAATTATTTTTATTTATCATTTTAATACTTATTAATAATATTAATAAATAAATAAAAATATAAAAGGTGTATATTAAAAATAGAAAATAAATTATTTATAAATATTAATGAATATTTTTATTTTTTCAAATATTTATTTTATATTAAACAAAAAATAAATATTAATTTCTATCTATTAAAGAAAATAATAGAAATGATAAAATTAAAAATATAACAAAGAATTACTTTTAAAAATATAAAATTTCAATTAATAAATGATTTTTTAATTATTCTATATATTATTTATTTTTTGATTATATATATATAAATATTTTTTTATTTTTATTTTTTTCATTATGCTTTTAAATAAATTTATAAAAAAATTATAAAATCTGAAAAATGTAATATATAATAATATATATTTTTATTTTATATAATTTTTCTCACTTTTTTTCATTTTATTTTTCACAAAAAACTAATTTTTCTTAATTTAAAAATAAATATTTTATAAAAATAAATAAATATATAATAAGCAGAAATTAAAAAAAAATGGTTGATTCTCATAATACAATAGCATATAATTCTTAATAAAGTTAAACATAATATTTAATTAAAATAAATAAATATAATTATTATTAATTTTTAAAAATACTTAATAGATTTAAATAAAAAATTTTATGAATAAGAAGTTTGTCGTTTATACATAGCAAACGTAGTATTAATAAAACAGGTTTTAAATTTCAAAAACGAAAAACTATAATAACTAAAAAAAATTATAAATTAAATAATGTTTAAACATATTTATAATTATAAAAAAAAAAGATAAAAGAATTGTAAACTGATAAAGACAAACTTTAAAATGATATTAGTAATTTGGAAGTCAGATTAATTTTATATTTAAAAATATTACATTTTTTTAAAAAAAATCTATAATTATAAAAAGAATAATTTATAAAACTAAGAAAATGAAAAGTAAAAAAGATATAGACGATAAGCCAATTAGATTTAAAGATTTTATAAATGTCCATGTTAAGATTGCCAAAAATTATATGGATCAGAAGGATCTTTGGCATAACATATAAAATTAAAACATCCTGATATTTTTAATTAAATATAAAATAATTTTCAGAAAGAAAATTAATCTAATAAATCAAATAATTATAAAGAATACGATAGTTAAATTAATAATAATAAGGAATGTAATTAAGATTGAATTTTATATATATAAAATATATTAATTTTCTTTTTATTTTAAATAAATATATTAAAATATAATATAAATTATTCAATAATAAAATACTTATAAAAAAATAATGTAGTATTTATCTATTTATTTTAAATTCGTTTTCAAGAAAATATTTATTATATTTAATTTATAAAACATTTTTTTAATTTAATTATAATAATACATAAAAATAAATTTAATGAAATTATATATATATATATATATATTTATATATGTATATTACTTAAATTTCTATGTATTAAATTATTTTAAATTATACATAATATTTTTGTTTAAATAAAAAAAAGAAATAAACTAACAAAAAATTATAAAAATTAGAAAAAAAAAACAAAAAAATTAATTTTTTTTAAAAAAAAAAAATTTAAAAAATGAATAAATAAAAACCCAAAATTAAAAATTTTAATCCTAAATAATATGAAAAGCCAGGTTTAACAGAAGATGAAATAATGGAAATTAAAGAGGCATTTGATTTATTTGATACAGATTAAGGAGGTGCAATAGATCCTAAAGAATTAAAAGCAGCAATGACATCATTAGGATTTGAAGCTAAAAATTAAACTATTTATTAAATGATTTCTGATCTAGATTAAGATGGTAATGGTTAAATTGAATTTAAAGAGTTTTTGGATTTAATGACTGCAAGAATTTCAGATAAAGATAGTAGAGAAGATATCGAAAAAGTTTTTAGATTATTTGATGATGATAAATAAGGTTAGATTTCTGTCAAAAATTTAAGAAGAGTAGCTAAAGAATTAGGAGAAACTATGGAAGAAGCTGAATTATAAGAAATGATTGATAGAGCTGATTAAAATAAAGATGGTCTTGTTGATTTTGAGGAATTTTATAATATAATGACTAAAAAAACATTTAATTGATTTTATATTGTTTTGCTTTTTTTTTTTTTTTTTAAAAATAAATAATATTTTATAAATTAGTTTATGTATTTTTTTTTTATTTTAATAATTTAAAATTCAGTTTTTTTTTATAGTATTATGATTGAATAAATAATAATAAAATAATCTTTAATTATAATATATTTATATGTATTAAGTTAAATTATCTTATATAAAACTATAAGAATTTTTATATTTTTTTATATATGTAATTTAAAATATTTATATTAAAAAGAAGTTATATTATAAAAAACGAAATATATTGTAAATTTCTTTTATATATAATAGATTTTATAAAAAATAAATAATTAATTTATTCTAACTACTAAGTTTATTTTATTTTTTAAATTTGTACTTTAGAATTAAATAAAAAATAAATGTTATCGAAATTATAAACTAAAAATTTTTGTAAAAATGTTATATCATTGTAATAACTTTATTAAAAATAATAAAAATATGCTATGAATATAAATAAAACTGTACTTATAAAGGGAAAATAGGAATAATTAATTAAATATGTTATCAATCATTTATTGCCTGATGTCGATACATTGTAAATTTAAGAATCAGAATTTTAAAACATTTTGACAGATAAAAATTATAATACACCTCGCAATTCTTGGACTAAATTAGTATTACCTATATCAAACAATAAAGATTATTAAAATTTAATGTTAAGATTTGTAATTAAAAAATATTTATAGTAAACGAATTAAATTATATAATATATATATTTATATTATAAAATAATTAAAGGATAAAAAGCTAAGAATAGGTAGAATATTAGAAATATTAGATTTACTTTCAGGATTTGTATCATATAAACATTGTAATTTTGACTATTATTAAAATAATTAAGTAATTATAGTTACAGCATGCGCTGATAATGTTAAATTTTATAAATATATATCGCCATAAGAAGATATAGTATTTATTTATTACTATATTTATATAATATAATTCTATTTTTTATTTTTTTTATTAAAAAAAAGGTTATTTAATCTTATGTTTGTTATGTTGGAAAATCTTCTATAGAAGTTTAAAATGATATATATTAATAAAATGAACTTATTGGTACTTCTTTGTTTTTAATGGTTGCTAGAGATACTAGAACAAATAAAAGGTTCATTTATAATATTATTTATTTTTTTTAAAAGAAAAAATAAAAAAATAAGTTTTGAAGTCCCTAAATTAAAGTTTGATGACATTGATGAAACGTAATATAAAATGAATGAACTAAGGTTTATGTAAGGAGAAAAACGTCAAATTTAAAGAAAATTAAACTCTTAATAATCTTTTTATGTAAAAGAGCCTTCTGCTAATGAAATTACTTTATTACATAACTTTTTTATGAATAAAGAAAAATATTTAACATATACGCCTATTTAAAATACGAAAATTGATAGTTTTTATTAAATGTAATTTTAAGTAATTTAATTAAAAAAGTATTTATTTTTTTATAAATATTTAAAGGAAAGAAATTTACATAATAAAATATTTGGTGGATTTTTAGCAAGGATTTTGATTGAAGCTGGTTGGCTTTGTGGATATTATCATGTTAAAGGTCAAGAAATACCCGAAATAGTAAATTTAACTGATATTTAATTTATTGAACCTGTAAATATTGGAGACAGTATATAAGTTATTTCTCATGTTTCTTATATTTTAGATAATTATATGGATGTTAAAATTTAAGCAAAAATTGTTAATCCAACTAATATGTAAATAATTTTTTTTTTTTTTTTAAAAAAAAATGTTTATTTTTAATTTATTAATTAAGTTAAGATTCAAAAGTAACTACTGGAATGCATTTAATATTAAAATGCTAAAATCAAATTAATGATGTGATTCCTTAAACATATGAACATGGGATTTTATATTTGGAAGGAAAAAGAGTAATTGATTAATTTTTAGATTTTCAAAATTGATTTTATTTTATTTTTATAATAGAATTATCCAAAAAAAATATTTATTTATTATTTATAGTAAATTTTTTATATTTAATTAGAAAAATAACATTAATTATATATTATTTAATTATAAATAACTTACTATAATCTTAATATTATTTATATATTACAGTTAATATGGTTTTTGCCTTCTTTTTTAGTTGATTGAGTTTTTTTTTTTTTAAATTATATATTTCTAATAAAGTAAATATAAAATTTATTAATAAATTAATTATATTATAAAAAGCAAATAAAAATCTATTTTTTCCCAAAAATAATATAATAAACATTGTTTATACAATAAAAAAAAATATGATAAGAGATATATACATTTACATAAAATAAAATTTCTACTATTATAAAATTTACATGATAAAATTATAAAAAAATAATTATCCCAAATTTTTTAACAAATCAAATATTAAAATTATCTTTAATTTGTAGAATTATGGAATAGGATAAAAAGTTTTCAGCTAAGGATGCAATAGTTATATTAATAATTGAAATATGTTTTCGAATTAAATATTCTAATATTAAAATAATTAAAAATAATATTTATAAACATATAAATATTAATAAGAAATAACAAAATAGATTGTCAAATATAGCAAATTTAATAAAAAAAGCATTAAATACATTAAGAATTTTAAATCTTTGATTAAAATTAACCGAAAATATAAAGAAAAATAATATAAAATAAGAACTATGGTAAGAACTTTACACAAAGAAGTTTAGAATTAAAAATAAATTTTTATAAGAAAACTAAAATTTAAATAAAGACTAAAATTATTATATAAAATAATTTAAAATCGAATTATTAATATAGACCACTAAAATTAATTATTAATTGAAAATATAAGAATAGCTAGATAAATAAATACTTGAGAAAAATTAATTAGAATAAATTAAATTTAAACTAATAGATATTGACTTAAAATAAATAAATAAGTTCATTTAATGAGATATTTGTTTTAATTAATAGTAATTTAATGAAATGAAAATAATTTAATATAAACAAGAATAAATTTAGCTTAATTAATTAATTAAATTAATGAAATTTAAAATTTATATTAATAGATTGAATATAAAAATTTAATAAATAATAATTTAGAAATAAAAAAATGTATTCATTTAAAAAAAGAAAGATAAAAAATACTTAAATATGAATATATTATTTAAAATTAATATAATAATAATTACATCAGACTCAAATTAAATATAAAATTATCCTAAATTTAATTAAAGGATACTAATAAATGATTTATTTTAATATAAATAATGTTAATCAACGTAATATTTTTAAAGAAAAGAAAAAAATACTTGCTAATTTTATTAAAAATAAAACAAGAAACAATTATAAATATAATACTTTTTAGTAAAAAAGCCATTGTACCTCAATATTATTTAAAATAAAAAATTATAATTACAATTTTTTGTAATTAAATTTTATAAATTTTGTTTGTTTGTTTGAAAAATATATATTATATATTGTTTTTATATATAAATTTATACTATTTATATTTAATATATCTTTATATATTATATTTTATTATTATTTAATATTTTTATTCAATCAATTAAATGCAATTTTAAATTATTTTTTTATAAAGGCAAATGATAAAATACAATAATTTTTTAATAAATAAATAAATATAATTATTATATCTTATATTTTATTTATATTATTTATATTTTCTAATAAAATAAATTTTAGTAATAAAATTAAAAAAAAAAAATATTAAATTTTAATAATATGCAAAAAGTCAGTTTTACTTAAAAAAAAGATTTAAATTAATCTTCTAAACAACCTCCTCAAGTATTTTAAAGTTTTGATAAGTGTCAGGATGAGAATGATATTAGATTTAAAAGTTTTTTTTTTATTTAATTAATTAATTTAACCTTTTAATTAAAGAATATTTCGAAAAAAAATATGATGATAATATGAATTATATTAAATAAATTTAATTCGAGTAAAAATCATCATATGAACCTTTTTTATTTGCTTAAAAGAATATTAAACATATCATTGATTAGGAAAATAAAAATAAAATTAAATAAAAGAAGCAAGTTTTAAATTAAGTAAGTTAAACGATAAATTTTTAATCTGAAGCAGATAACGTATCTATATATACCTAAGGCACATTTAATGTAAAAATTAGCAAAAATTTGATTTTAATATTTTTAATAAAAAAAATTGAAGATTAATTTGCAATAATTATGTTAACTTGAAGATTAATTATAGTTTTTAGTTTATGTATTTTATAATACTAATAATTTTAATTTTTTTTAAAAAATTTATATTTTTTTTTTTTAGTTTTCTTAAAATGGACCTGAAGAATTAGGATTTCCTAATTTTTAATAATATTGGGAAACATTTTTTTAATTAGATTTTAATAAATTATATCTATTGACTAAATAAATAGAAAATAAATAGACTATAAATTAATAACTTTTATTAGATGTAATTATATAAATATAATTATTATTACATTTATTTTTCTAAATTTTTATTTTATTATATATTTAATAAGATATCAGCATTAGGCCTTTTTTAATGCGTTTCTCTAATGATTTTCTAAAATACAAATTTGTTATAAAATTCAAATGTTATTGAAATTATTAGCATTTTCAAGTATATACTAGAAATAATTCATTAAAATTTACTTATTTTAATTTACTTGATTTTGTAGTAAATTAATAAGGAACAAATAAATACTGTAAAATAAATTTAAAATTTATTATTTTTATCATAATTATAATGATTAATATATGTTATTAATTAAAAATTTAAAGATATGGTTTAACTAATTATAGCTTATTATAAAAATTAAAAGAATAAGAAATATGAACTAAACAGTTATAAACTAATTAAAACGAAACAATATTTTAGTTGAAAACCATTTAAAAAATATATTAAAGTAAATTATTTAAAAGCGAAAAAAAATACCAAAAAAAAAAAGTTTAACTTATTTATTAAGCAATTTAAATGAGATTTAAAGAATAAACCCTATTATAAAAACTGTTAAATATTGTCTTAAAGAAAAGCAATCAATTCAATGTTTAAATTTATATTTTTAAAATGTTATGTTATTTAATTTTTTTTATTAAAATCAGATATAAATTACAAGGAATATTTGATAAATGCAATTTTTTTATCAGTAAAAAATTTTTAATTAAAAATATTGAAAAATTAAAAAAAATGATTAATAGACTAGAATACAAGAAAACAAATAAGAGTCACCAATAAAGCATCTTTATGTCAAAAATGATCATAATTTGAATATGAATTTAGAAATGTTAAGTCTGCCTTAAGGAACAGAAGTAGTAAAAGAAACACCTTTTTTACCTTAAAGAAGTTATTAAGAAATGATTGAAAAACCTTATACTTTAATATTGGATTTAGATGAAACATTAGGTCATTTCAATTAATAAAAATAATAATTTGTATAGAGGCCTTATTTGTAAGAGTTTTTAAATGATCTTTCTAAATTTTATGAATTAATCATATTTACTGCAGGAATAAAGGAAGTAATAAATTTATATTTTTATTTAAAAAATAAATGAAATAACTTTAAGTTTTATATAGTACGCAGATTAAACAGTGACAGAATTCGACAAAAATAAATTAATTTAACATAAATTATATAGATAACATTGTTAAATTTAAGGATTAGTGTACATTAAGGATTTAAGCCGTGTAGGAAGAGATCTAAAAAAAACAATTATTTTAGATAATAATCATCATAATTTTTAATAATAACCTGATAATGCTATTTTCGTAAAAAGCTGGTTTGATGATAAGGAAGACGATGAATTACTATTTCTTAAAAAAATACTTATAAGTAAAATTTTTATTTAATATTATTAATTAAAAAATATAATAGAAATTGCTGAAAGTAAAACAAAAGATGTGAGAAAAAGTTTATAAAAATATAGAGATTTTATAGTAAGATAAATATCTTAATAAAAAAATATATGAAAAAAAAATAAAATATAATGATAAATATATTTATTACATTTTAAATTAATTTTTTATTTTTTCTTAAAATTATTAAAAAAAAAAATATATAAAAAAATAATATAAAAATAATTATAATATTGTTATTATTTTATAAAAATAATTATATATATATATATATATATATATATAAATATATATTAATATTTATAAATATTTCCTTTTAAAATTTATATATATATATATTTATATTTATAATCCTTATTTATTTTTTATAATAATTGATTTTTTTATAATATTCAAAAATATAAAGATGAACTCTAAAATTTAGAAATAATTCTATCTTTTCCTATTTCGTCATAGTCTTATTTCGATACCCAAAATCTATCTTAGTTTTACATAATTTTAGCTAAAACAGCTCCGCCAATAAATACATTATACATTCTATTAGGAGGATCCTTAAATTATTTAAAAAATAAAATATATTAATAACAAAGTTAAATTTATAAAATAAAAATTCTTACAATAACTTTAACTTTTATCTTGCTGTCCTTGTATGATTTATTTTTAAGAATTTCTTTTTTGTATAATTTTATAACTTCATTTTATAAACGAGTAGGAAATCCCGGAAAAGTAGTTGTTCCGCCAGAAATCAATATATTTTAATACATTTTTGATCTTAAATCTATTTCGCATTTTTAAATTACATCGAAAACCATATTATGTACTCCACCAAAACTATGTCCATCAAAACAAGGATTAAATAATAATTCTGGAGCTTCAAATCTTTCTCTTCCTATTTTAATTGATGTTCCATCTGGGAATTTATATTCTTTTTCCAAGCAAGTAGTTTCATTAGCAAGTTCTCTATCTACGTCTAAATCCCCACTCACATAACATAATTTTTCTTTTAAAGTACGTATTTATTCAAAATCAGCTGTTGAGTTAAAAGCATAACCTCTATATGTTATTTATTTATATATATATTTTTTTATATATATATACCTTCTGAATAATAATTTAACCAAATATTAAGTTAAATGTCTTCCTGCTATATTCATTCTTTATACTAAATGACCAAGAATAAAATTCTCATAAACTGGAATACAATGAGTAACACCATCTCCTGCATCTAGTAAAATTCCTGTTTATAAACCCTTTATTATATTTTAAATTTATCGAAAAACTGCATTTTTATACCTCAGCATATAAACTTAATAAAGCTTAAATGCCTATTTACATTCTTCCAAATTAAAACTTTTCAAATAATAGTTCAGCCATATTTTTTTTATTTTCATCAGGATTTAATACAGCTTCAGTCATTAAAATTGTGCTTCCTTATGTATTTTATTTAACCTTTTTTTTGATATATCATAATTTATTTTATTTATAGTTTACTTTTTTAAAACAATAATCCCATATGATTTCCATATCATCCCAATTTTTGACTATTCCCTCTTCAACAGGCTTACTTAATTCAAGCATAGCTTAATAAGGAGCAGCTTCATCTCCTACCATTATTTCCTTAGTTATTTTTTTTTTATTTAATTTAAAAGTATTAAAAAATTATATCATTATATTTTTATTTATTATTACTTTTAATTCTATATCATCTATTTTTTAATTATATCTAAGCATTGGTCTTCCTAATATTGCAGGAATCGAATACATTGGGAAATTATCACCTCCAAAACCAATTTTAATATAACTGTATTTAAATTTATGTTAATTTAAATTAATTATCAGTTTTTTTTTTAATTAAATATGTACCCTGTTCCTGCATCAAATACAATAGGTAAGTTGTTTTACGCCATTAATCTATTTATATTTATTTATATACTTATTTATTTTTCTAATAGTATATTTATTTAATAATTTTTTATTTATTCTGAAATATAAAATATAAATATAATTAATCTTATTAAAGATTATTTTTTTATAAATATAATATAAATAATAAATATTTTTTTTTATTAAATAAATCAATATATTTAATTATAATTTTATTATAAATTAATTAGATATAATATATTCTGAATTTATTATGTTTATAAAATTAACTTTTAAAATGATATTTTAATATTAAGAGTATATTAAATTTTTTTAAAAAATAAAAATACTATTATTTTAATTTATACATTCATTTATTAAAATCTTAAAAATTAGTAAATATTAAAAAAATATTCCTTAATAAATAGTTATCATATTTTAATAAAAAAAAATACTCATTATCTATATAAATCAAAAAAAGAATGCGAAGTAAATAAAAGAATAAATATAAGTCAATGCGCCACTTACAATAAATATCTTGAAAATAATTATATTTTTTTATCCTATACATTTTCCAATCCAAATACAATGATGATCATAACCTTTTATACATACGTCACAATAATCACAATGATGATCATTTTATCTTTTAACTATATTACATAATTAACAATAACTAAATTATTAATATTTTAATTATATAATTATAAAAAAAATAAAAATACTCAGGATGCTTTTTTATTTAATCTTAATTTAAGTCATTTTAATTAATATAGCCTGGATTGCTTAAAGACGTTAATAAAAAAGTAAATAAATAAGTAAAATGTATTGCCCTTAATAAATAGATAAATAATTATCTTTAATTATCTTTAAGCTATACTAAAACTACTGTTAAAAAATAAGAAAAAGAAGATAAGATTGTAAAAGCAATAAGAAATAAAAAAACTTATAAAAAAAGTATATTAATAAAATAAATTATATTTAATTAAAAAAGGATAAATTTTTTAAATTTTTATTACTTAATACTTATAAAGATTATATAAAATTTAATATTTTTTTTTAAAAAAAACAAAAATTACAATGCGGTCCTAATGATATAACTGGAACTGAATTTATTTAAAATAATATTTTATTTTTTCCATAATTTATTTATAGGTTTTATTATATTTAACTTATGTCTTCAGTATTTTATTCAATTGATATTTATTAATAATCTTATTATTATTTCATAAATGATTCTATAGTTATATATTTTTTTTATTTTTCAAATATTTATTATACAAAAATTATAAAAATTAAAAAAAATAGAAATATAAAATATAATAAATAAAAATTGAAGATAAAGTATTATAAAATTAAAAGAATATAATCATTTTATTATTAAATAATAATAATTAAAAAAAATTAATATTTTTTAAAAAATGAATAATAATCTAATATAATAAATTTTGTAACTTTAAGAATAATAATAAATTTAAAACAAACAAATAAATGATATTCTTCAAAATAAAAGATATATTCCTTCCTACCCTCTTTCTGAGACTCATCATAAAGTATAGAAAATCTTCGAAATGTATATAAACTGTAACCATGATTTGAATTATAAAATGTGCGAATCATGTTTAAAATGCGTAAAAACAAGGTTATTAATATTGATATTTTCAAATTTGGATTATTAAATAGAACTAGAAAAGTTACACTAATAAAAAAAATAAACCTATTGTGGAAAGATATTAGACAAAGATGATATTGGTGTTAAATGTATTGATTGTGAGCTTGATGAAACATGTATAATTTGTTAAGAATGTTTTGAAAAAGGCAATCATTAAGGGCATAGGACTCGTATTTAGAGAGGATGTGCAGGTTGCTGTGATTGTGGTGATGTTGGAGCTTGGAAAGAATAAGTTTTTATATTTATTTTATTTATATTTGTTTTTATTTGTTTTTATTTTATTCTATTTTATTTTATTTGTTTTTATTTTATTTTATTTTAAAAAAGGGATTTTGTAGCGATCATTAAGCAAATATTAGTAAAGAAGATTTAGATTTTAATAATATAGAAATAGGAATAAGAATAAAAATAAAAGAAGTTATATAGGGTATATTTTATGATATTTTTTATTAATTTGAGGAAACTTTTAATTAATTGAATAGCTTTTATATATAGAAAGATTTTATTTGTTAAAGGTTAGTGTTTATAGGTATTGAAATATGCGAAATTCTATCTGGAAAGACAATTTTAATGCAGAATTTTTTAAACTTTTTAATAAATGAGAATCGTGGTGATGAAAACAAATACGAATTAAAGCATTGTTGTTTAGATATCCAAAATCAGACAAATTAATAAAATCTTCTTTTACATTTTATTAAAAGAAATAATTAATATTGCACTTGTAGTATTATGGAGAACTTATTAAGGTTTTTATGTTGTATAAATTTATAAAACTAGTAAAAAATAAAGCATTTTTTAATCAATATGTTCAGTGTTTTCGAATTCAAAATAAATTTAGTTAAAGCCTATGTGAAGATGTTCCATTTTATATTTTAATATTCAGAAACAGAAGAACTTTAATATTGTCCTTTTTAAGATTTGGCTGTGTAATTTTTTACTTCTAATCTTTTAAATGAATGTACTTCTTCATATTAAAAAGATGATGAATATTTTGAGTTTGAGAAATAAAATTTTAAGAAGAAATTCTTCAGTAGATTTTATTTTATTAATTTTTTTGAGAAAATTCTTGAAATTTGTGAACTTAAACATGGATTCGAAGAGTTATTCAAAAATGCGTTTTAACATGTAAAATATATGACTTTTAGGAATAAATCAATTGATTATTTTATCCAAAACGAAGATTTCTAAGTTAAACTTACTGAAGTTTGCTAAAAAATTCATTTCAGAGCTAAATTTTTACTTCCGAAAATCCCATTAGATGCTTTTTTTGATAATGTTAAAGAACTCTAAAGAGCTGTTGAAGCTGAACTTTTAATTTAAGAAAGTTTTATGAATATTGTTTACTATTTATTTTAATTAGATAATATAGAAAAAAAAAAAAAACTCTATTTCTCATTAATAGGAAAAATCATGGATTAAATTTTGGGAAATAGTGCAAATACACATGCTTTAAATATTTAGTTTTCGTCTATTAATATTCCTTTGCATAGAGTTTTGGTGCTTTTGCTTTTTTGTTATTTCTAACTTGATTGGGATAATGTTAATGATGAGAAATTAAATGAACTTAAAGTTGGATTAGGTAAATCATCTTTTGAGAATTTTGATTATTTCTTCATTTAATAATTGAAATATCCTTTAAGGACTGTTAATTTTATAAGAGTAATTTTTTATATTTTTGTCTTTTGTTTTTAAAAAATAAATAAAAGGAAATATATAACGGATTATGGGTATACTAAGGAGAGAATTTTAAATATTAAATAATATGGTATTGTAATTGTGAAATATAATTTTAAATTTTAGACTGTTTATTCATTTAGTTTTGTTTTAGGATTTTAAAAAATATTAACTTTTTTGATATCTGGAAATCTTTTTCAATAAGACAAGAGTTTATGGATATTTATTCCTAAGAAGAAAAAATAATAAAGGAAGAAGATAAATTTTAATTTTTATAAGTAAAAATGTATAAGGATTTGTTAGAATTCATAAATTATATCCTAGTAGATAAAATGAATGTTTTTAATTTCTGTACATCTTTTTATTATGAAATAAAAAAACCAAATTTAAATGAAAAAACTAATCAGTTTTCGAACTTTTTCATGTCTTCTGTTTTACATAAAAATTCTAATTTTGATATTATGTTTGTATAAAAAATTTTTTAGTAGTATATGAGTAAATTGGTAGATTTTTCTAAATAAATTAATTACATTGCTACTTTTTCTTAATCAAACAAAAAATTCTCTTTAAAAAAAGATTTTGATAATATCTATGATTACTCTTATTACTTCTGGTATTCTTCGCTTTTGGCTAATTATTATAGCTTTTTACATGAAAAAAAAGAAAATTAAGAAAAAGCAGCATTTTATATTCTTGGAAATTGCTTTGTGGATGAAGTAATAGCAGAAAATCTTATAAATAAATCTTTTTTTGAATTCTTATTGAATTTATTATAGAATAAAATTTAATAGATTAATATTATTAGTTTTTGGGTTTAACCTATATTGAAGATTATTAATATTTATTAAGTTTATATAGAAAATAAAGGAAAGAAAGATGAAGAAACATCTTAGAAATGTTAAAAAATATTATCTTTATTAGAAAACTAAAACTTTACAGAAGAATTAAACTAAACTATAAGTTTTCTAAAAGACAAGAAGGAAAATTAAAAAAATAAGGAAAATGATTTAAAAAATATAAATGAAAAAAAAGCAAATTAACAAAAAATACTGGAAAAATTTAAAAATAGATAAAATCTTTTTGTAGAAAAAAATAAAGAATAATTAGTAAATTTAGAAGATAATTAAACATAAGAAATGGCTTCTTAAAAAAATACTTGTATTATTTGTAAAAAAGATGCTCTTTTAAATTACGGAGTCTTAGCTTTTGCATAAAAAATGAATTTGAATTAATAATAATCTAAAAATCAAAAAAAATAAGGATTTTGGCATTTTCATTCCTGTTTTCATATAATGCATAATTAATGTTATTTAGATTTTGTGAATATTAAATATTAATAAGAAAATATTGAATTAAATTGCCCTATATGTCATAGAATATTTAATATTTTTGTCGAGTTTGTTGAATCTTCTTAAAATAATTAATCATTTGAAAATATTAACTCGTTTTTATTTTAATTAGAATGTGTTAATAATAATAATTATTATTCGGTTTTAAATGATTTAGATGAAAACATTGAGTAAAAAACTGACCAAGAAATTAATATGAATCTGGAAAATTCAGTAATTGAAATGATAAAGATAATCCAAAATTACGACTTTTATTCTTTTTTGTAAAAAAACAGGCTTATATATTAAATATTGAAAATTGTTTTGTAACATTTTAATCACTTTTTTAAAAATGAAAGCTAATATTTTACTTAAAAATAACAATTTGTCTAAAGGTTTTAGTCATAAATTGAAAATTTAAATCAAATTTGTTTCAAAAGTTAACATAAAAAAATAGACTAAGAAAATATAAATGAAAATAAAGACTAAAATAATATTTAAAATAATGAATAATAGGAATAAAAAATAAATGAAGAATCAGAAGAAAATACATATAAAGAAGAAGAAAAATAATAAAATAAAGATGAAGATATACACTTATTATAAACTGATATTTAAGATTAATATTTAAAATATTTGTTTAATTAATTTGCGTATTTTTAAAATTCAAATTTTTTAATAATTATTTAAGATTCTCTTATTTAGGTTTTATCAGCTAAATATTATTAGTTTTTGAATTGTAAAAAGGATATTTTACAAAAAAAACCCTTATTTAATTAAAACGAGATTTTTTGTGAATAAAACATATCTTTTATATATTAAATATGGGCTTTATATTCTTTATTTATAGACTTAAATGAAAATCAATTAGTAAATTTGAACTTATAATATGATAATGAAATATAATAAATTAATTCTTTAATATATTTATTTGGAATTAAACAACCAGAAATAGAAAAAAAAATAAAAAAAAGCATTTCTTAATTACTCGATATTCCATAAATACTCGATTTTTATAACGAATATAATTGCTAATAATTTTAATTTATAAAAATTGATAATAACTTTAATGATTTTTTCAACAAATATTATAATAAAAAATGCGAAAATTGTAACTCTTACTGTATATATGGGCCAATGAACTTATGTATAATTTGTGGAAAAGTCCTTTGTTAAAACAAATGTTCTAAAAATACAATTCTTAATAAAGGAAACCTTAATTCGCATTGTTTAAAGGAACATTATGGTAGCGGAGTATTTATTGAAATTAGTACAACTAATATTATAGTAATATAAAGTCCTCATAACTATAGAGCTAATGGAATTTATACAGATGAATATGGATAACAGTATAAATAAAGTCATTAAGGTGTTAAATCATATAGATTAGATTTCTAATTGCTAAATATTTTGAGAGATAATTATGTTAAAGGTACATTGCTTGATTGGATTGTGGCTTAACAATAAAGAAATAATTAAGTATACTTAAAAAATGTATTTTGATCAATTTTTTAATTTTTATTAAATTTGAATATAATTATTTAAAAAATATAAGTATATATTTGTATTTGTATTTTATACAAAATTTATAAAATATATTCAAAAAATAAAATAGGTAATTTTTTTAAATTATTGATAGTTTAAGCTTTATATAAGAAAATATGTAAAAATATAAATATAATAGAATTATATATACATATATATATTTAAATATTAAATATTTACTCATTTTTTATTTAAATTTACTAATTTTTAAGTAGAAATCTATAATTTATTTAATTTTTTATTTTTTTTAACAAAATCTAATGCATTAATTGCATCTTCTTGAATTTTTTTTTAAATAATAATTTAATTTAATAACTCTGAAACTTTAATAAAAAAATTAGTTTTATATAAACTAAGTAAATCTTAAAAACTTTTTAACATTTCAATAACATATCCTAAAGGCATAGAGCTTTATTCATTAATTTTATCTTTCTCAGAAGTTTATTTATTTTTAATATTATCAATATTAATCTTAAACTTTCTCTAATTAATATCAGAATTTTATTTATTATATAATTAAGAAAATATTCCGCCATCATTTTTGTTAGATTATTCAATTTCACTTTCTCCTATATATGAAAGAACCAAGATCATGACTTTTTTACTATAAACTTTCATACCGCTAGTATATGTAGGGAAAGTGTTTTTTAATAATTTTTAAGTTTCAGAAATTGTTTTATCTTCTTCATCATTAATATCAAACAATGTAAATAAATTACTTTTTTAAATAAAAATTCAAATAAATATATATTAATATATTTATTTATTTATATATATATATTATTATTACAATATATGATGATTAGGATTTAGACTAAGGAATCTAAGTTTTTTATCTATACAACTTGCACATAATTTAAAAGATTAATAAAATTAGACCAGTAATTATTACATAATACGATTTTTAGGTTTTAGGAAAAAATCTCTTGAAATATAAATATCTTTATCTTTTTTAAATACTTTATCGTAATAATTCCATGGACCATTGCCTAATAGACACGGTTATGTTTCATTATTTTTTTGTTTTAGACAAAACCAATTTTCAGCAGAATCTTGAAAAATAAATTTCATAAAACTTCCTTTTTAAAAAATAACATCACTTACAGATTTTTCAATACTAAGAATAAGTTTGAAAAATACTTAATTCGGAATTGTTTTATGTCTAAGTAATTTGGATAAATTATAAAGAAGAAATCCTTCATATCTTAAAATAGGAGATACATTTACATTGTGGAATACATTAAAAAAAGTTCCATAGCAATCTTAAAAATAATCAATTTCAAGTTTTTTAATTATCTCCATATTCGAATCTTATAATAAAGCTTTTTTCATAATATAATTTTGATGCAAATTAGCTTTACCTAAATTCGCATATTCATTTTTTTCTTAAGAAATTTTTTAATTTTTTAGCTCATTATCTTATTCATCATCTAGCATGTCGTCCTGTAATTATTTTGTGTAATTTTTTATTGCTTACTCATCATCTGAGTCTATTAAATCTACTGTGAAATCTATATCAGGAACGTCTTTTTATTATCTATTTTAGTTTTGGGAATTTATAAAATATTTCAAAGGTCTTATTTTTTGTTTTAATTATTGTATTTCATAGTTTTTTATTTTTATTATATCTTATCTATTTTTTTTTTCTTTTTCTTATGATTTATTTGAATCGAAAGAATATTCCCCATAATTATTTGATAATTCATCTTTTGATTTCGATTTGGAATTCGTGTTTGATTTTTTTTCGTTTATTCTTAAGATTATTTCTTCGTCTATATTAGGGCCATTTAAATAAGATTTCATTTTATTATTTTCTTAATAAACTATATCTTATACTTATTTAGTTTCTTTAATATTATTGTTTTGTTCTTTTTCATTATTTTCTTATATAATACTGGGAATTGATTTTTAAAACCCTTCTTCTAATTAATATTATTTTTCATGTTTTTCGTTTATTAATTATTAGTTTTTGTTTTTTAGTTCTTTTTATTTTTAATATTCCTCAAATTCATTAATTTCTTCAATTTCTGAATAAATTTATTTAATAAAAAATTATTTATTATTATTTAATTATATAAAATCTTCATAATAATCTTATTAAGTATTATTAATGAATGTATTTTAAAGTATAACTTCTTAATTATTTTAATTATAGAAAATATCGTTTAGTAAATCTGAGTAATATAAATTTTATTATTACTAGTATTAAAATTCTTGTTATTATTATTCATTTTCAAAAGCCTATTATTAATGGTTCTATAAACTCTCATTTTCATTATTAAAAATATCATCTTCTTCAAATTTGCAATTAGTGCTTTATTTATGAAAAGTAAACTATTTTTATAATGTATGATTTGTACTTTCTGGAAGTTACCCTTCATCCAATATAATACTGTTTTTATTTGATACATTATCTAAATTACTTAATATAATTTAGTATTCTTTTATTCCTTTTTGCATTGAATTATCTTAAGAGTTATTTTTTATTTCTTTTTAGTTTTATTCTTCTTCGTTTTCTTAATTGTCTACTTCTTAGTTTAAATTATTCTAATAATTATTTAATTCGGCTTAAATTTTAATTTATTCCCGATTTTCAATATCCTTTATTGTTTTATCTACAACTGTAAATACTTCCCAAACAATTCCTTTAATTAAAGAAATTAAAACTAATTAAATAATCATATGAAAAGAATCAAAATAGAAAACACTTAAAGTAAAATTATCAAATTTGTAAGCATAATCATATACAAATGAACCCCAATTAGCTTCTATCATAACTTAGAAAAGTATTAACATTGCATTTCCGAAATTATTAAAATCAATATAATTATTTTAATCATATGGAGAATTTAATCTATATGAATTTAATTTAGTATTGAAAATATTTACTCCAATAAGCGCATAAATATAAAATATAATTAATAAAATGGGAATTAATTTTGATACTTATTTTAAAATATTAAAATTAAAAAAAAAAATATATAAATAATATTAATAATATTAATAATAATTAATAATAATAATAATAATAATATTAATAAAAATTTATTTATAATTTATTTATAGTTAATTTATAATTATTGTTATTTTGTATTATTGTTATAATATTTTTTTTATTTTATTTTTTACTTATTGGAATACACATAAAAATTCTTTATATTAAAATCTTTACTTAATTTAAAGTATCTATCCCTTAAGAAATTACATTTATTATTTTCATAGTTTTAATTGCTCTAAAAACTTTAAAAATTCTGTTTAGTTTTGTTAATCTTAAAAGTTTTGTCGTACGCAAAGACTTAGCACTTCTTAAAATATCTAATACAGAGTTCAAAATACTTCCAAAAAGTGATAAAAGAACCATTGATATATCAAATATATTCCAAAAATCCTCAAAGTATTTTTCTATTCCTAAGCCTATTATTTTAACAATAACCTCAGTAATATAAGCATAATTAAAGATCCAATCCCATTATTCTAATTTATCAATAGTTTCTTAATCTGTTAAAGCACTTTAAACAAAAATTATAATACAATTTGCTAGCAATATTAAAATCATAAAAACTTCAAAATATGTACTTTTGGCTATTTTTTTAAATGCCATTTTCTTATTTATAAATGCACGGAAATTTTCCCATAATTTCAAATCTGAAAATAAAGGTATATGAAAATTAGGATTTCTTTCTAAAACATCAACTAGTCCAAAAAATTCATTTAAAGAAATTGATTTAGAATCATTCATATCAATATGTAAGTATAAACTCTTTATTCTTTTAATATATCTTTTCTTGTTTTTATACACTTAAGACATAAATTATCTAAAAATATTATAATCTATCGATTTATTACTATCATTAATAATATTATTTTTGTTTGTTTAAAAAAAAAAATTACTCATTAAAATCTAAGCATACAAAACATGCTAAAAGTGCTTCTTTTTGTTTTATTCTGTCCATTATAACTAACTTACTTCTTTAATTCTATAGATTATAAATATTAAATTATAAGAAGATTATATATTACTCTAAATGCTTCAAATACTACAGCAACAGGTATTGGAATGAAAATAAATAAATATAATAAAATATAAGACATAAAATACAAGAGATAATATTCTGATTATTCTAAATTTTTATTTTATTTAATTTTTATTTTTTTATGAAATAAAATACAATATGCAGGCATTAAACAATCAGGATATCCATCAAAAGTAATTAAAATATAAAGAATATTAGAAGCAGTAAATATATTGTTAAAATTACTCTATACATATATAATTTTATTAAATATATAAAATAAATTTGAATTGTATATATATATATTACTGCATATTCATCGTATTATACCTGACCATCTAAATCGCCAATAAATTTCCATCCAATTAAGGCAAAGAAAAGCGTCATAAATAAATAAAATAAAAATAATTGTAAAATTTCTTTTAAAGATTAAGATATACTTTTAAATGTTCTTCTTAATTCTTTAGAATAAAACAATACTAAAACTAAACATAAAATTTTTTATAAGAAACATATTTATGTATAATATAAAAAAAATAAAAACATGGTCGAATATAAATTCCAAATCTCAAACTTTAAAAAGGAAAACTAGATATATAATAAATAACATCAGCTAAAATAATAGTCAGTATAGTAAACTTTAAAATATATTTTCGATTTTTAAGAATTGTTTCAATAAAAGTATGATGCTTATCAAATAACTTATGAATAGTTTCAATAATAACATCAAAATAAAAAAGAATAAGCAATACAATTTCATAATATTCAGTACTTAATTACTAACGCAAAGTACTTTCATATTAATCTTCAAAGAAAGACAACATGGGATAAATGAAAGCAATAATAAATAAAAAATCGTTCCATAAAATATTTGTTTACCAATGATATAAAAATATAATAAAAGGGTAATCTGATGTCTCAATATCATGTCTTAAAAATCTTAAATATATTGCATCTTGTAAATGACGAGTTGCTTTATTCATTTTTTGAGAATTATCTAGTCTATTAAGAGTGATAAAAAGGGCTTTCATTTTATTTTGTTTTAAAAGTTCCTCTTCTAGTTTTTTTTGTTCATCTTTTTTTTATTTATTTTTCTTGTTTTTTTTCTAAAAAATTCCTAAAAATCCTCCTCTAAAAATTCCTTTTATTCTTATATTATTTTTTTAATTGTTATTGTTAGTTTTTTTTTTTAATATATCAATTTTTTTTTAATATGAATATTAATTATTCATTTCATTTTAAGTAAAACATAATTTATTGTCTATTTTACCTATATTTTATAAATTTTAATTTCGAAAGTTCTCCCTTACTAAAGGACTAAAATTATCACTCTGCATATTAATATATTAGTCAATTGATTTTTTTTTAGAATCAATTCTTATTTAATTTGATTTTTTCATATTACTTTAGTTTGATGAATTTATTGGGTAAATTGAAAATTAATCGGTAAATGTGTCCTAATTTTTATTTCTTAAATTTCGGATGTTTATTTATTATTAAAATGTGTTTTCAAATTGATATATTTGATAGTTAGAATTATCTGATATTTTTAATTCATTATTTTTATTGTTAATTTTCATTGTTTTATTACAATTTTAAAAACACTAAATTTTAAACACTTAATTTTTTATTTTTTTTAAAAAAAAACACATATATATTCAAATATGATATATTAAATAGAATAATAATAATTTAATTTAAATTTATTAAGAAAAATCTTACTTAATACATAATATAATAATGGATTTATTAAAAAAAAGTATTTCTTTTAAAGATTATGTTTTAAATCATTTAAAAATAATAATATAAATTTATATAAAATATGAAAATAGTAAAAGATTGTAAATTAAATATATATTCTTTATACATTTGCTTTATATTTAAATTTGTTTTATTCTTTAATAAAAAAAATAATATTTATCATTAAATTTATTTAATTGATTTAATATAAAAAGTAAAGATTGCTTATTATAAAATATATTAATAAAATAATATAATGCCAAAGTTAAAATTCATATAATATTTTTATATAGTTTTACATATTCATTTAAGTCTTCATCGTCTTCATTATTATATGAATATTTTTTTATAAAATCAGAGTTTTCAGTTTTAAAAGTATTATTATATAGAGTATTTAAATATGGTTATTTATTAGATCCCATTTTTTACCAATTTAAGCAACTTTTAATAAAATACTTTGATTTTTAATAAAAATTATAAGAACTAGATTAAAAGTTATTATTGTTATTTTAAAATTTATAACTACTTTTGTAAAATCTTTTCTTTAAATCAGGTTTTATTTTATTAAAATCATCATTTTAAAAATCTTTTAAAGATTAAAAATTTAAATGCTAAAGCATGTCTTAATATTTATATATATTTTAAACTTTTTACTAGCATATAATTTTATCGTGTTAAAACTAAGTAAAAAATATGTTATTTTTCAAATCGTCTTAGCTTTTACTAATTAAATATCTATTATTTGTATATTTATTTATTATTTTTCTTGTGTTAACTAAAGGTATTTTTTATAAATCTTATTTTGATTCTCCTTATTCTTTTTTTATATTTATTTAAGTAGATACTATTCCTTTTCTAAAGAAAATTTCATTTTATTTTTGTAATATTTATTTTGATATTTCATCTTATAATTTATATTTGCGTAAACTTATTTAAAAATTATTTTTATTTAAATGTTCTTTTAAATCTCTATCTTTTCTTTAATCTATTATATATAAATTATTTGATTAATCATATAAAGCTTTTAATTAGCAACTTTTATCATTTATTGCTTTTATATTTTTTATACGATTTTATTATTAAGCTATATTTATTCCAAACTAATATTTCTTTTTTTATATATCTAATATTGGATCTCTATAATTTTATATATGTTACTATTTCATTTTTTTTTTTTTTTTTTTAAAAAAAAAGAATATTTATAATTTAATTGTTAAAACAAAAATATTTACCTTGAAATATGGTTTGATTAAAAATATAAAATTTATATTTGGAATTAATAAAGAAGAATTTATTTTATAATGATTTTTTATATATATACTATTTTTATTTATTAAAAAAATAATATTTTAATATATTTATATTTTTCAATTTAGCTTATTAAAAAAAAAAAAAATATTTAAAAATATAATTTATTTTAGATATTATAAATTAATTAAAATATATTATATGAAAATAGAAGTCATTCCAATATATAATTATAAAATAGATGGTGCTACATCAACATTATTAATTTTTGATTAAGATATACATATTTTATTAGATTGTGGATTAAATCAAAAAATGGATTTTACAAATTACTAGAAAAATATACATTTATTAAAAAATATAGATTTAATACTATTGTCTCATTCTGGATCTGAATTTACAGGAGCACTTCCATTTATATTAAGTAATTAGCAAATTTAATAATAAGGAAAGAGTATATAAATATACACAACAACTCCAATAATAAAATTAGGATTAATAAATTCATTTAATTAATTTTTAAATGCCTCATATTTTTCTAACAATTAAGATATAATCTAATAAAGTGAATAAATATTTAAAAAATTCTATACAACTTTCGATAGATGTTAAGATATAAAATTTTTCTAAAAAAAAGTAGTACGTATAAAATAAAAAGACCTAATAATAAGCCCTATTGGTATAGGAAATAGTTTAGGGGCTTGTGCATGGAAAATAAACATAAAATTAATAAATGTATTATATATGATATAATATAATCATTTAAATGAATGTCATTTAGATGGTTTGGAAATTAAAAAAATCATTAAATCTAGAATTGATGTTTTAATTATTGAAGATCATCTTATTTAAAACTCTTAATAATAATATGTTATTTCTAATAAAGCAAATCTTTAAAATCTCAAAGATACACTTTTAAATTCCATTGAAAATTGTATACTAAATAATTCTATACTTGTTATTTCTTCTTATCCTAATGAAAGAGTTATTGAAATTATATTAATTTTATGGCAATTATGGAATGAATAAAAGTAATTGCTTTTTTTTTTATATTTTTTTTTATTTTATATATATATTTTAAGATAATCTTTTTAAATTAAAAATTGTAAAGATATTATTAATGAATTTGATGAAAGTTAGTATGTTAAAATTACTTTCTTTCATAATTATAAAAAGTATCTTGATCTAATTGGTAATTAAATTGAATTTATGAAAAATGAAATAGCTGATATACTTCATAATCCTGAAAGTAATCCTCTTTAAGTTGAAGAATTTATTGTTCGATAAAATATTTTTGCTGATTAAAAACCAATAAAAGGTACAAAAATTATTTTAACAACTTACAATTGTTTATTTTAGCCTTAAATGTATAATTATTTAACCAAAGAGTTTTCTTAAAATGACAAAAATAATCTGTTATTAATAGGTTTTATAATAAAAAAAAATATAAATATTATCATTTTTTTTTTAAAAAAAAGGAAAACCTCAATAAGAGGTAAAAGAAATATCATATTGGTTATAAAATAATTATAAAGGAGAAGTAAAACTATAGAAATATAATGTATAAAATTTAACACAATAAATATTCAAATAATTAACATAAGAGGAGAAATAATAAATATAAGAAGATTAATCTAATTTTGATACCAAAACTACAGCTTCTACTACAAACTATAATGATAATGAAGAACGTAAAAATGATTTTGATATCGATATTTTGAATATAAATAACAACAATAGTCAGTAAGAATAATTACTGTTTTGTTAACAAGGAGAATTTGTAAAGTTTTTCAGAAAATAAATTAAATATAAGTAAAGTGATTATGGAGAAGAATTAAGTCACGAGCAATATGATTATTTTAAAAAAATATATAAGAAAAAAGAGCTTGTGTTTATTTAATCTTATAAAACTCCAGAATAAATTGCTTCTTAATAATTTTCTAGTATTGAAGAAGTTGATTATAGTTAATATAAATTTATTAATTATTTTAATTTTAATGCTAATATTAGTGTTTATAATTTAGTTAGTGTCTCAGATTAAAAATCTATAAATAATATTATTATGTTAATTAATCCTAAACATTGTTTTTATGTATTTATATATATAAATATAATTTATATTTAAATTAAAAAAGATTAATTAAGAAAATTAAATTGATTAATAAAATTTCGAAATTCAAATTGATAATAAAAGTTTGGATATTTTTAATATTGAAAATCGAATTTAAATGAATAATAAATCTTAGGGTAAAAGATTTAAAGGGACACTAGTTATGAATTATAATGAAGTTAGTGAAAATAAAGTTAATTTATTCCTTGATTTAGAATATAATCATAAGAATACTAACCATGAATATTATGGAGAATATCCGATTGAAAAATTACTTGAATTTCTTTAAAAATAAGGGTTCACCTTTACAGTTACTTGGGGTGGTATAAATTATTAGGATAAAATAATTATCAAAAAAACCAATTAATATTTTTATTTGGAAGGTGTTAGATGCAAAGAATATTATGAAATTAGAAAATTAATTTATGATTTTTTATAAAATTCTTGAACTTTTTTTTAAATGTATTTTAGATATTTTTCTTTTATTATAAGTTTTTTTTGTTTTTACATATTTAAAATAAAATATTTTTATATTAGTGCTTGTGTTAAATAATAAAATTATTAAATTATTTGATATAAAATTCATATAAATTAATATATAAGTATTTTTTAGTTAATATAAATTTTATTATATTAAATAGTAACTAAATTAAAATTATATTAATAATGCAAAAAACATATTTTTAAATGAAACTAAATCATAATAAAAGTATATTTGTAATAATTTGAAAAAAATATGAAATTCAAAAATAACATTCAAATGTTAGAAAATACTTTATTGAAGAATTATAAGAAATGTAAATAATAAATAAAATATATATAATAATAAATTAAACACAAAATGTTTTTAATATAAGAGATAAATATTTAATTTAAATAATTTTATAAAGTGAGCATTTAAAAAATGTAGAATTTTTATATTTTAGATAGTAAAATAATAAAATAATTGACGATAATTCAAAAAAAAAATATAAGTATTTATAAGAATTTGTTATATATAAACTTAATTTAACAATAAAACCAATTTGAAAGTGTTAAAGCAGACACTTATATTTAATTTTAAATATAAAAAAAGATAAAAAATAAAATATTTATGATAAGGAATAGGAAACTCTAAAAAAATAAAAGGAATATTCCAAAATCTATTTCCCTAGACCTATATTTAAATTCACTTAAAAAATATAAAATCTTTCTAAATAAAAATTATTTAGGAATGCTTAAAACTTTATATAATATTAATTATGATATTTTTAACACTAAAGTTTATACAGAAGTTCATGATATTTCTTCGAGAAATTTTCGTGTCAATTAAGCTTAGTTCTTGAATAATAGAATAAAAGGTTTTAAATTGAAAAAAAAAATTTATTAAAATTAATTAAGTATTTTTTAAAATATTATATAAAAAACTAATTCTATTAAAAACTATAAGATTTAATTTTATATCTAATCTGAAAATCATTATATTAAAAAATAAATAGTCTTTTAAAATTTAGTTTTTAATATAAATTAAATGTCATAAAAATTTCTTATTGTTTTAGATAAAAAAAAAATCTAAGAATTTATATAATGAGTATTTTATATATAATTAAAAATAATAAATAAAATAAAAAAATTAATATATAATAATAATATAAAATTATCATTAATTAAATTAAAAATTTCCAATAAATTTTAAATTTTCTTTTTGGATAATAAGAAATATAGCAAATTTTTAATAGTTTTTAGAAATAAATCGAATTAATAATAGTAGACAAAAGCATAAAAACATACCAATGAAATTTTAGCTTTAAAAATAATTAATAAATAGAATTATTTTTTAAAAATATAAGTAAAAATAAATAAAGTAATTTGATTAATGATAGTTTATACAATAAATTAAAAAAATTATATTAGAAAATTATTATGTATATAGTTAGTAGTTTGAGTAATTAAAATATTATTAAAGGCAAAAAAATATTAAATTAATTAAAACTCTGATAAATATCCTGTTTATAATAATGAAACTATTTTTAATATTTTTGTGAATAAATCAGGATAAAAATAAAATAAAAAAGAATTGAAAATTAATAATATAATTTATAGTGTTAATATATTTATATGTGTTATATATTGAAATATTAATTATATTATTAGATTTTTTCTTATATATTTTATTATATATATTATTTATAAATATATAGGCTTAATTATTAATAAATAATATATAATAATAATTTTATTATAATATATTTTTTAATTAAATATATTATTTTTTCTTTTTTTAAAAATTTTATAATAATTTCTCATTTTTTTATTACGATAAAAAATATTCATAAACATTTTATATATATATATATATATATATATATATTTATATATATATAATTTTTGAATTTGTATTTTTATAGTAATTTTTAAAATTATTATTACTATGTACAAAATATTTATATAATTTATTAAAATTAAAATAGTTGTTTTAAATTCATATAATATTAGAAATGTATTATTATATAAATGATATAATTTAAATTGTATAAGTAATAAAAAAAAAATATATATTTTTATAATATTATTTAGTTAAAAATATATATATAATTCTTTCAACTTTAATTATAATAATTATAAACTAAATATATTTATATAAAATCAATAATTTAATGTAAATGAATTAAGCTAGTTAAAAAATAGTATATAAAGCAGATTAAGATTTATAAGAAGAAGAATAATAAAATAAATAAATAGCAGATTGGAAAACTACTAAAAATCACAGAAACAAATACATGGTAGTAAATAAATTAGAAAATAAATAATATAGTTTGAATTGTAATATTTCTGAATTTGAATAATATGGAATAGAATTAAGGCTTTTCTTTGAATTTTTAAAATATTCAATAATAGCGTTTTTTGTAATGTCAATTATTTCAATTCCTTCTTTAGTAAAAATTTTTAATTAAAGTGATAATGATCCTTATTTTGAAATTAGTATATTTTCAAAATTCTCTTTATCAAATCAGCCTTTTTTAATATTAGAAAATATACCCGAATAATCTACTGAATAAGAGAAATAGTAAATAATTTAAATAAATAAGTAATAAGCAAATATTTATGTATAGGAATCTGTAAAAAAATATAAAAAAAATATTTATTTTTTATTAAAAAAGCACATTAGATTACTTTGGGCAGCCATACCAGATATTATTAATTGCTTTTTCTTTTTTTTCTTTATTTACTTTTTAAGATTTAAAAGAAAATAAATTTATAGTAAAAGAAAGCATGCCTAACCTTCTGATTATGCTATTGAAATCACTGGTTTTCCTAAATTTATAAACTAAGAATATATTATTCATGAACATTTTTAAAAAAACCTTAATGTTGATGTATTTGAATGCTATTTAGTTAGAAAATACTTTTCTTTTTTAACTTTATATAAATAGAAATAATTAATATATGATAAGATAAAAGCCAAAAAGTAAAAATTAAAATAAAAGAATGAGAAAGAAAGCTAAAAATTAAATAAATTAATAGAAAAACAGCAAAAAATAAAAACTGAATTATAAAATAAATATTCTTTAATTACTAATAAAAAATAAATGTTTTAATCAAAAAAAGCATTTCTTATAATTGACAAACATTCTTAGAAATAAATGTTAAAAAATGAATATAAAAAGCAATGGAATTTCTATTTTTGTAATAATTATTCAGATAATTTCAAATTATTTGGATAATATCCTCTTAAGATAAATTTTAAACCAGATGAACCTTCAAATATACTCTGGGAAAATATAGAAGTTTCAAAAAGTAATTTTTATTTTTATTTTTAAACAAAAAAATTATATAAAAAAAAAAGCAAATTAATTAGGTAGAAATTTTATTAGTACATTAACTTCAATATTATTAATGTTTTGCACTTTTGGAATTATTTTAATTGCAAATATAGCTTAACCATAAAAAAAATATAATTGTAAATAAATTTTAAATATGACCAAAGAATGTTAATGTTAGAATTATAGTTACTCAAATATAATGGAAAATAATCAAATAAAAGAAATGTGCTATGATATTCTTGTATAATATTACACTGTTTAAGCTTTAAATATCATTATGGGAATTATTATTTGGGTAATTAACCTTGTAAATTAAATAATTATTATTAAATTAGTTAAATTCAATAAATATAAAACAGTAACTAAAGAAACTACTTTAACTTTAATAAAAATATTTCTTTCTTTCTTTATTAATACTTCTATTATACCTTTATTAGTTAATATTTATTTATTTTTAAAAAATATTAATTTTTTATAATAAAGTCTTAAGCCAATATTTTTGGTATTATACCTAGTATATATGTATCATATTTTATACCTCCTTTAAAATAAGTATAAGAAGATAAAAAAGATTAGTTCTCAATAGATTTTGATAGAAAATGGTATGATTTGGTTGGTTTTAAAATAATATGTACAGTTTTAATTTCCTTAATAGTATCAATTATCAAAAATATACTTTTATTGCCTATATTTAAATGTTTAAATACTCTTAAAGTCTATTTCGTAACGATAAAAAGTAGTCAAAAAGAAGCAAATGAGAAAATAATAGACCAAAATTTTTATATAATATTATATTATGCACAATCTTTAAATATAATATTTACATGTTTGTTTTACTCTTCAGGTATGCCTATTTTATTATTAATAGGTGGTTTAAATCTTTTAGTATAATATTGGTTTTGTAAATACACAATTTTGAGAATTTGTAAATATCCTCCTATTTATGATAAAAGTTTAAGTAGAAGTGTATTTAATATAGTTCCTTTTGCTCTTTTTTTCCATTTATGTATTGGAATTTACATGTATAGTTAGCCCTAAATATTTCCTTAAAATATAGAAGACTTGAATCTAAATAAAGAATATTAATTGGAAGATCAAGAAAATAATATTAAAAATAGAGCATTTAAGTTGATTTATTTATTTATTATTCTTTTTATTATACTTGGCTTAGATTTATTGAATAGAATTTTTTTTAGCCCATGGATTTTTTCTAAGTTGTTTTTTAGAGCAAAAAATAATGTTTTTAATTATAAACCCTATTAGGATTTTTATTAAAAAATATCTGGACATATGCTATAAACTTATAATATTAAATCTAATTTAAAATATAAAAGTATTGTTTAAACGATTGAAAATCATATTAATGGAGATAATTTTGAAGAAAATTATGATGAACAAAAATAAGACAATATTAATTTTGAAAATATAAATATAAATTTATAAAATTGAGTTAATTTGTAAATTTATATATAAAAAATTAAAAATTGTCAAAAAAGATTTTATAAAAGTTATTTCAAATATATGATTATGAATAGGATATCAAAATATTTCAATTTTTTTTTTTTTCTATATATGTATTAATATATATTTATATTTTACAAACATATTAAATAAAAATGTCTATATATATATAATTAATTTAAATTTATTTATATTATATATATATATAATAAATAATCTTTGTATATTAAAATTATTATCTTCAAATTTTTTAATATTTTGATATATCTATTTTTAAAATAAAAACTAATAGATTTTATATTAAATAGTTTCATTAATATAAATTTAAATTTATATTTATAAATTTAAATATTATATTTAATTAGTATATATAAGAATAATTTAATATATTTAATAATAATAAAAATTTTTATTTTACAAACATATTTAATTATTATAATTTTTAATATGATTAAAATATATATATAATTTTTTTTTATATAATTATATATCATATTTAATTATATATAATAAAATGTTAATAATTATTTAAAGATATTATTTATCAATTAGGGAATTTAATTATAATCTATATTTTAATTATTTCCAAAAATTTTTTTGTTTGTTTGTTTTCTGTATAAGAAATATTTTTAAAATTTATAATAAAAATCAAATCAAATCAAAGCAAAGCAAAACATAAATAATCATAAATATATATATAACAAGACAATAATGGATAGTAATTATTAAATATCTGCATTATAAGAAGCAAGATTAAAAAAAAAAAATTAATAAGTGGTGAAATACTAAAGCTTTGAATTATAAAATATATTAGGTTTATCAATCAAAAATAAGTATAGTTTTAAATTTAATCCATTAACAAGTGAGCTTTTTTATATAGTATCTAGTACAATAGTTGTTTACAATATAAATAAAAATTAATAAATAAAATATATTTTTACACCTAATAGACGAAATATTTCATGTTTATGTTTTTCCTCTTGTGGAAAATATTTAGCAGTAGGTGAAGCTTTTTATAAAGCTCCTGAAATAATAATATATGATTTAACAGTAAAAAAAAAAAAAAAATATAAATAAGTTAAATAATATAAAAAAAGATTGGTTCTGATAAGCCAATATTTTAATTATTAGGACATAAATAAGGGATAAAATTTTTACAATTTTCTCCAAATACAAATAAATATTTAGTATCAATAGGTGAAAGTGAAGACAATGGTTTTTTTGTGTGGGATTGGTAGAAAAAGTAAAGAATAACTTTAAATAAATTATCAAAAATACCTTATTCGTTATGTTTTTCACATGATGGTGCCCAAATAGTAACTTGTGGAGAAAAATACTTAAAGTTTTGGCCTTTTTAGGAAAACGGAGAAATAATAAAATCAAAAGTATAAGAAAAAGAAGATGCATATATTTTAGAAGGAAAAAGTGCATCTTTAGGTTAAAAATTTAGCGATAAAACATTCATAGATTGCGTATTTGATAAAAATAATAAATAATTATATGTTGTTACTACTGTTGGATAATTATGTATTTTCGATGAAAATAGAATTTTGGAAAAATGGATGGATTTAAAAGTCAGTTCAATTTTTTCTATTACTTTATTACTTGACTAACCTAATATAGTTAAAAAAAAAAAATATAAATTAACATTAATATTTTTTATAAATAATAAAAAAGGATTATATAATATGTTCATGTTCTGATGGTTTAATTCGTATTTTTTAAACGATAACACTTGATCATATAACTACTTTACCAAAACCTCCTGGTTTATTAAATTATAATGTGGAAAAAGGAGCTAATAAAATAAAGAATATTTCCGATCCAAAATAATATGCGGATTGTATTGCTATTTAATGCTCGAAATTAAATTATTTTATGTGTTCTATTTATAGTGATTTAACTGTTTTTATTTGGGAACTTAAATAAATGGATAAAGTTAATGTCAAAAGATCTTTTTTGAACCATTCCTAAAGTATTAATTAAGTTTCCATTCTTAATTAAATTTCTAGCTAAGAAGTAACCTTTTATTAAACTATTTCACAAGATAGTACTGTTAGAGTTTGGCATTTGATTAGTGATGAAACTTAGTCTTCGATTTTTGATATTTAATAAACTTTTGGAATTAGAAAAAATGCTTATTCTAAACATTTATCTAAAATTTTATATTTTACGGATGATTATACTACTTACAAAATTAATAAAATATCCCAAATATAAAATTCACAAAAAAACATTGTTTGTTCTAAAAGTACTGATTAAGAAATTATTTTGTGTAATGAAAAAGGACAAGCCTAATTTGTTAAATTTGAAAACTTTTAAACTTACAAAATTCTTTAGTTACATAATTCTAAAATTTTTTGTATTGATATTATATAATTCTAAAATTATAACTTCTTATGTACAGCTAGTGAAGATTATATTATTATTTATGATTTTATTAAAGTTTTTTATTTATAAATAAAATATTATCTATTTATTTTTATTTTATTTTTTTGTTAAAAAAAGGAAGAAGTAATTGAGTAAATTGATGAAGAAAACGTAATAAATGTAAAATTCTTTTTAATCAATGAAAATATATATTTAATCTATTTGACTTCCTAAAATATATTTTTCAGAAAATTCTAAAATATATAATTTATAATAATTAACTAAATTAGCGGAGAGAACTTTAAATGCATTGACTCTAATTCTCATTTCTAATAATTTTATGTGGCTTTAGAAAATAAAATAAATTATTATGATGTAGATAAAGCAGAATTAATAAAATCTTTTGATTTTAAGGATGAAGATGTTCCCAATGTATAATTATTAACAGATGAATCATGTAAATATTACTTATAGAAAAAAAAAATATATTAAAAATAAAATAAAAAATAGAATCATACATTGCTATACTTGGTTAAGATAATATTATAAGAATAAGAGATTGTAGTAATATGAATTAAGTAGCAAGAATATAATGTGGAGATTAAATAACTTCAATGGCCTTTAATATAAATAATACTCATTTAATAACAGTTTCGAATTTAGGAATAATTTATATTTGGAAATTAACGTAAGATTTAAGAAATAACATATAAAGGAAAATAAAATAATTAGGTGTAATACGTAAGCGTCTAAAAGATTTTGTAAATGAAATAAATTAATAAGAATCTACAAATAAGTAAGGAAATGCAACAACTTCTATTTTAGGTTCTTTATGGATAGAAGAAGAATTAAAAGCTTATTTGGTAAAACAACCAGAAACAGAAGAAGAAAGTGCTATAAGGAATGTAAATTTGACAGACTTAGTAAAAAACACTAACCTACCTAAATGGGCCTAGACGAAAAGCTAGAATGAAACAAATAATAAAGAAATGAAATTTAATAATTTTATAAAAGACGAAGAAGAAAATGATGTTGATAGTATAAATTAAAGAGTCGAATTAAATAAAAACTAAACTCCTTCTTATATTTTGGACTCTATTAATGATAGACTTACGATTGAAGTTTAACAAAATAAAAATAAAAATCAAAAAAATCTTAATATTGATATTATTGCTGAAGAAAAAAGTAAATAAATTGAAGATTCTTGTTAGTAGGACTCTTTTAAGTTATAAAATTTAGGCAAACTTAAAAATTATAATTTGGAAGGAATATTTGATAAAAATAGCATTTAAAAATAACTAAATACAGTAATGAATAATATTGAATGCTTTAATTAAAAATATGATTTGGATCTTTTTACTAGTTAAAATATTACTAATAAGGAATTATTTGAAAACATTGAAGATAATTAACTTATTTTTGATGAGCTTGAAGACGAATAATTCAAATAAGAAGAAGTTTAATAAAATAAGACTGTTACTTAAATCTCAGATATAAATTTAATTTAAAATGATTAAGATGAAAATATTGATATAAATTAAGAGAAATAAAATAATTATCATAGTTTAAAATTATAAAATTAAAATGAATTAAGTAAAAAAATAGGTATAAATATTATATAGTATGTATTTATTAAAAAAAATACTTTTTTATATTTAAGACATTATTTAAAGTGAAGCTAAAGACTAAAAATCTTCAACAATTAGAGATCAAAAACAAAGTAAAAAAAATGATTAAAATTTAATTAATTGTGGTATTAAAAATAAAGATAAATAATTAGATAATTAAATAAAGAACAATAATAATAAAAGTAAAAGTAATGATTTTAATAATAGTAATGATTAGATTGATAATAACAAAAATTAATTAAATATTAATAATAATATTAATTAAGATCTTGTAAATAGATTTACATTTTAGAATCCCAATAACAATGATAAATAAAATTAATTACCATAAATACTAATATAAGAAAGCATATAGTAAAATGAGAATATTTTTTAAAAAAGTAAATAATAAATAAACTAAAAAAATTAAAGTTTAGCTTCAAAAGGAAGTACTAATTAAGATAATAAAAGCATTTAAAATGATTAATGTTTCGATGATTTATCCCAAGTAATAAATAGTTAAAACTACTAAAAACTTTAAAACAATATAAATGAATCTTTCAATATAATATTTTAATAATTCGATAAAATCGAAAACATATTACAAGATGATTTAGAATTCGAATAAAATGTCATTAAAAGAAAAATATATGAAAAAATTATTTTAAAATATAATAAATGTAAGGCATATTTAAATAATATAAATTTCAAAATTAATTAATCAACAATTCATAATATATCCAATTTAGATATTACAGAAAATGATCAAAGTAAAAAATTTATATATACTTTTTTTTTCATCTCTATATAATAAATATTTTTTTATTTAGATAAAGAATTGATAGAAAATTATTCTAAAATGCTTTTAGATGCTATTTTAAAAAAATAAAATAATTGAGAAAAAATTAAAAAAATAAATATATATATATATATTTTTTTAATATAGTTTATATAAATAATTAATTTTTTATTAAAAAAAATTTCGTATTTTGATTATATATTTATTGTTTTAATTTAACAAACAATAAAGATTTATTATATATTAGAAGGAGTGTTTATTTTACTTTTTCATTAAAAAAAATAATAATTTAAATTATTAAACCATCGCCAAAAAATACAATTTTTATAAAAATATATTTATATAGCCTTAAATTATAGAGAAAAAGTTAAACAGAATAATTTAGAGTTTCTCTTTAAAATAATAAAAAAAAAGAAAGTATTTTATATTAAATATTTATATAATCATAAACACAGCTACGAATAAAATAATTATAATAAAAAATAATTATTTTAATATAAGAAAATTAAAAAAATAAAATTTATTTTATATCTAACAATTAGAATAACTATTAATAAAATTATCTTAAAAATTAGAATAGAAATAATTAATTAAAATCATAAAGAAACAAACTAAAAATACCTTTTTAAGAGTAATTATTATACTAATAAATGAAGAATAAATAAATGAATTAATAACTTTAAATTTACTAAATTCAAGAAGATTTTATAAAAAAAATATAAAATTATAATTAAAAAAAAAAAATTATATTTATTTAAGATCATAAAAAGCAGAAATATTTAATTTGAGTAAATATAATTTCATTATATAATAAAAGAAATAATGAAAATCTAACTTCCAAGTTTTTTTAGATGAATTATAATAAAAATAAACAGAAAATTAATAGTAATAAAATAATTTTACGAATAATGAAGAATATAATAATTAAATTATTTAGAATTTTATTGTTTAGAAACAAAAGAAAAAAAACTTATAATTTAAAGAAAAAAATGTTAAAATTCCTAAAAAAATAAATATCCTAAATAATTTAATATATTTAAATCTAATAAAGTACTTTAAAATTAGATAAATAATATTAAGACTGAAAAATTAGTACAAATCAAAAATATAAAATAAAATCGAAATTGAGATAAGCCAAATAAAAAATAAAATAATAGGTTTTAAATATATAAAATATTTTTGTTTTATGTTTTTTAATTAAATAGTATTTTATTTTATTTTATTTTTTTAAAAAAAACTAAAATGAAAGAATAAATTTTTTTATTTTATTTTTTTCAAAAAGCATAAAATAATTTTTTTAATAAAGATTTTTTTATTATCTTTTATTTATATAAACAAAGATATAATTATATTTTTATTATTTACATATATTATTATTTTTATTTAAACTTAAAAAATATCAAATTAATTTCTTAAGATTTTTCATTGTATTATTAATATGATCTTAGTTTTTATTTAAATTTTAAAATATTGATTTTTTAATTGAACTATGATTATTATTTTGTGAAAACTATTCATTAATTTAAAGAGTTTCCTTTGGGGAATTTACTTAAATAATATTAAATTAACCTTTCTTATTTGCTTGACAAGGCAAAAGATTAGAAATATAAGAACTTTATATTTTTGTTTGTGTCTTTTGCATTTCATTTACAATTTTTTTAGGTGTATTAATGCATTTTTAATTAATATTTATAACTAAAAATAAAACAAATAAAATATGTAAAAATATATTTTTTTTTACCGATTCCTTTATTATGCTTAATACCTTGATATTATTAAATACAAGGAGCTTCACTTTAATTTTATATATTTTAATTATTTTTTATAAAAAAAGTATCTTTTAAACATTCACGGCATTATAATCTTTTATCAATATCGAATTCAACCATTTTTTTAATCAAGTTTTTAGCTTCTTTGCTTAAAATTTCTTATTTATCTATAATTTCTTATAAATAATTTTATTAATTATTTATTTAATAATCTTATTCATTGATTAGTTTTTTTCCACATAACCTTACATAAAATAATAAATATACTTTTTTCAAGAAAATTTTTAAAATAATAATAATTCAAATTTATATAATGTATATTTACATTTAATAAATCAATAAACCACAACAGAAAATATCAAACTTTTAGGTTAAATTTTCCTTTCTTTTTATTTCAGGAGCTTAAATTCTAGGAGAGTCAGGTGAAATAGAATCATAATCAAAATTTTAAATTGAATTATTATAAATAGATAAGGTAAAATTAAATATTATAATATTAAATTCATTATTTTATTTTTAGAAATGTATATTTTTTAAAGATATTCCATTTTAAATGATATTAATATCATGCAAATATTTTAATGCTCTTAATAATTAATATGCTATTTTTGATACAAAGCTTTCAGAAAAATAAATTTATTATTTAAGTAAATCTTTTAAGTTCTCTTTTTCGAAATACTTATATACTAAATATATTGACTAATTTTATTCGTAAACTTCTTTTAATTTACATATGTTTGGAAAGTTTATTTTTTTTAACATATTTATTTTATTTTTTATAGATTTCTTTAATTAAAAAAAAAAAAAAAAAATTAATAAATATTATAAAATAATTTATAAAAAAAATTAAAATTAAAATATACATATATATAAATATATATATAAATTAATATAAATATAAATATATATTGATATATATAAATATATATATATTTATATATATATATCTATATATATATATTTTTTTTTTCTTACTTTTATTTATAATTCTTTTTATGAGTTTTTTATTTATAACTTATCATAAACCTATAAGATAACTTTTTCCTAATCACTTTTTCTTTAGGTAATTTGTAGTTAAAAATAATGATTTTATTTTAAGTTTGCTTCTTATTATATTATAGAACTTTCATAATAATCTAAATAGTTTATTAAAATACAAGTTTTTCTAAGATTTTGAACCCATTTAGAATATTCATTTTAATTTTATGCAAATAAAAAAATCTTCTTTTTTAAAACAAAAATAATAAAAAATATTTCTCTTGAGAACTTAAATTTTCATAATCTTCTTGCTCTAGTTTACGCAAATCTAATATAATATCTTATAATAAAAAGATACTTTTTGATTATATAAATTGCATTTAATTTTCATCCTAATAAATAATATATATATATAAGATCAAATTCAATAATATATATAAAATTTATTAAAATATTGATAATAAATCTACATTATAAAATTCTAACCTATCATCAAATAATATAGCATAAACTTCTTTAAGACATTATCCTTAAAATCTTGTATAGAGATTGCCTTTATAAATTATCCTATATGATGGATTTTTCTATAGATATAAGTTAGAAACTAATACATTTTTTTAATAATCATCAAAAAAAGAATCTTCTACAGCATCAATTAAATGTTTAGTTTTATGAATATATTATACCAAAGGTTGTTCCATTTTTGAAATAAACTATAAATTAAATTTAAAATTTAAATTTTGATTTTATAAGCATTAATTATTAATATAATATTTAATAAATAAAGAAAAAAAAATTAATATTATAATATATAAATAATTATAAAATTTTCTATAAAAAAAATAAGTAATTAAGGTATGATTAAAATAATAAATAACAATATATATAAAAAAATAAAATTAAATTAATTTTTATATTTAAAAAATAAATTAATCTATAGACAATAATTAAAATATATTTATAAAAATATATATATATATTATTATTTATATATAAATATATATATATATATTTATTTTTATATACATATAATTATATATATATATCTATAAACAATAATATTTGTATAATTACATATATATACGAATTTATATTATTGTAATATTATACGCATATAATTAATATTTAATTTTATATATTTATACATATATTTTTTATTCTAAAATAATAATAATAATCATTGTATTATTATAATTTTTACAATTTTCATTTGTATATTTTTATTTTATTGAATTTGTTTTTGATAAATATATAAACTCAAATTATTTAAAAATTTCATCATTATAATTTTTTTCTATTTATTATTAATTTTTATTTTTTATCATAATAATTTTTATATTATTTATATAATTTAAAATATAGTTATATAATTTTAATTTTTTTTTTACTAATTTCTAATTTCTTTTTATATATCTTATTAATAAAAATATATATATTCATTAATAAACATATTTTTTTAATATAATTAAAAATAAAATATAATTTTATATACATTATATATAAAATATATATAAATTAAATATTAAATTATACCTTAATATATTTGACATATATATATATATTTTTTTTCATTATATTATATATTTATTTTCTTTTTTTCTTATATTATTATTACTATTATTTTTAATGTTTCTTTTCATTTATATTTGTTATAAGCTGTTTATAAACAAAAACCACTTAAAATAGAAAAAGGAAATATAAAAATAGACTTGAAAATAGGTATATTCAATAATCCTATAGGAATACTAATATATAATGATTTAGAAAAAGAATTTTTAATTTATTATTTAAAATCTTCAAACAATTTTTACTTTTCTTTTTCGAAATTAATTTATTAATTTTATACTTCTTCTTGAAATTATTATTGCTTTTGGAGATTTTTTCTATATGCAATAACTTTTAATTCTAAATATATATCCTCGTTACTTTAAAATTTTTTTTGCTACATCAAAAATATTATAAAGATAAATTATTTTTTATTTGATTAATATTTTATGTATATAATTAATATTTTTATACTATGTTGATTATTTTAAAATAATAATTATTTTTAACGAAAAAATAAATATTGAATAAATTTTTTTTAAAAATATATTTTTTTATATTTTTGTTTAATTATTAATATAAAAATAATTTAAATAAAATAAAAATGAGTGGAAATCTTAATGTTGCACATTACACCAACTTTTAATCGAAAAAACCTTAAAATGTAAGAGTTAACTAATAACCAGGTAAATAAACTAATATAAAATTTTAAATGTATAACAAAAATCAAAATAAAGGAGGAAACAGTACTATAAGTTTATTATGGAATAATAAATAAGAATAACAAGAAAAACAATATAATAAAAATTAATATAATATTAATAATTATTAATAAAATTTTAATAAATATGAGAAAGAATATTGCGAAGATAACTATTACTAGATGCCAAATAATTATGCTGATAAATACAATAAATTTGATTACAATGAATATAGAAATGGTTAATAAGATAACTATTGTAACTAAGTAGTAAGAGAAAATAATAATTAAAAATATCAAAATTAATAATATCCATTTAATAATAATAAATAATACTTTAACCAAAAATAATAAGAATAAAATAATGTAATATTCAATAAATTATAATATAATTAATAAAAAAAATATTGTTTTTAAATTACAAATTATTTTTATTTTATTATTATATTACTTTTTTAAAAATGGTAGTACTAATTTAACCAACCCAATTAATAAAATATAGCAAGATAACCAAACAACTTAAAAGATGTTAAGTTTGGTTATAGAGTTAATCAACCTCCAGGTAAAATAAACAATTTAAAAATATTTTTTTTAATATTTGAAAAAAAAAAAAAAAAAAAAGGAGGTAAAAGTAGTATTTAATTTGGTTGATTTTATTTTAAAACTTAAATAATTTATTTTTAAATTATAAAGAAATATAAAATATTTTTAATTTTATGTTTTAATTATTAACTATATATAAATATATAATACAAAAATTAAAATTCATTTTTTATTTATTTTTTTAAAACTTAATAATATTTTTTATAAATAATATGTTAATTATAATAAATTTTTTAATTAATAATTAATTTATAGTATTTATTTGGATTTTTTTTTTTTTTTAAATTAAATACAAGTGATTTTTTGAAAATGGGTAATAGGATGTCTTTAGAAACAGAAAATGATATGATAAAATTTGTAATTAAACTAGATTAAAATTTTTCAAAAGAATTATAAGAAAAAATGTAAATATTACCCTCATATTAGTTAAAAAAGCATATAAATAAAGATATTTTCTTTTTCTATGAATGTGAATATAAATAATTTATATAAGTATTAAATATAAAAAAAATGTCAAAACTTAAATAATTAAAAATAAATAAATAAAAAACAAATAAAAAATATAAATAAATATATAAAAAGTCTGATTAAAAATAATTGGTTTAATTAAAAGATCAAATTTACTAAGAGAGTCCTAATAAAGATGAAGAAACTTAAATATATATTTCAAATTATAGGAAGGGAACTAAAACAGACTAAAAAATTATTAATTAATTAATAAATATATTTGAAGGAAATTAAATTATTTTTAAGCCAAAAAGCGTATCAGCAAGTTTAATTAAAGGTTTGAATTGCTTTTTAAATAATCATGAAGTTTTATATAACTTCGACTAAATGATTCCTTTAACTTAATTTGATGATTTTAATTCAAAAGTATGCTTTAATAAAAAATATATTAAAACTCAAGATAAAAGTATGCCGTATATTTTAGTCAAAATTAGAAGTGGAATAAGCTTTTTTTTAGTAAATGGTATTGGAAATTTCAAAAGAATATCAGGATCTATTATGGGGGAAAGTTTTGTAGAATCGTTAATTTTCTAATTAACTAAATATAGAAATATAAATCAAGCTTTTAGTGATGCATTTTTGAAAGGAAATAATAAAAATGTTGATATGACTGTTAAAGATATTTATGGCGAAGGATGTTCCTTTTTAGGATTACCAGGAGATTTAATTGCAAGTAGCTTCGGAAAATGTAGCAAATATGGACCAGTAGAAAAATATTAGTCTCATGATATTGCAAAAAGTTTGCTTATTTCATTTGCTGTTAATACAGGATAATTGATTAATTTATACTGTTCTTTAGAATAATAATATAATGTCATTGTTTCTATGTGGAAAATTAAATCTGATGAATATAACTTTACACTTTAGGTATGCTTAAAGAGGGGGAGGGGGGTGGGGAAAAAAAATTTATTATTTTATAATAATAGTTTTTAAAATTTTAATATTTCTAATAATTTTATAATATTTTTAATTTTATAATTTTTTTTAAATTTTATTTTTAAATATTTTATACTATATTTTTAATTTTTTTAATTATTTATTTTTAAGAGTGTTATAAACTATTATTCAAAAGGAAAATGTAATATTCATTTTGTTGAAGATTCCGATTATTTATCCTGTGTTGGAGATTTTGTTTGAATAAAAATAAAATATTTATTTAATTTTATAAACATTTAATAAATTTAATTTGATGTTTTAATTTACAAAAAATATATATAAATTTTCAATTAATATTATGAAAAATTTGCTTTTTGATTATATATATGTATATTATTGAATATCATAAATATTAAATTAACAAATATATTTTTAAAAATAATTTAAAGTTATTTTAATTAATTATTATAATTTGCTTTTATAAAAAAAATGAATTTTTTATATTTTACACCTGAAAAAAAAGAAAAAGATCAAGTATAAACAATAGCATTGATAATATAAATAGTATGAAACTAGAAAATGGATAATTAAGTTAATAAATAAATAGAAATTATTATGAAAATTTAAAAATTAAGAAATTGAGAAATATTAATAATAATACTAATAAAAATATCCTTTTTTCTAGAAAAAATAACTTAATTTTATAAACACCATAACTTAAAAATGATATTTATTTGAAATTAATTTCTTGTAATACTAATAATATTTTAGCTATTTGTTATGAAGAGAAAGTATATTTCTATAATACTCAAAATCATAAGTATTTTCACATTTTTTCAAAAATAAAAAAAATTATAATTATTTTTAAAATAATTCTACTATATGTTTTTTATAAGTTTTATTGGTTAAAAAAAATAAAATATATATTTTTATAAATTCAAAAAAAATAGTATATAATATATCTTTATTAAATAGATTAGATTCTTAAAATATATGTAACGATATTAATCCTAACCATTACCTAAGTTGTGTAAAGTTCCATGAATAAAATCACAATTAAATTTGCATTTCTGATAGTTTGGGAAATGTAATATTTTTGGATATTTAAAAGCCTTATTCTATAAGAAACATTTAAAAATAAGAAGGAAGAATAAATGATTTATCTTGGCAAAATGAAAATGTATTAACTACTTCTGGAAAAGATAAAACAGTAAAATAAATAAATAAATATTTTACTTTTTTATAGTTTAATAATTAAGATTTATAACTTAGATATAAGAATTAAAAATTGTATTTGCTAAAAATTTGAAAATGGTCATATTTAAGAAACATATAATTTAAGTTGGAACGAAGAAAAAAACTAATTACTTTCAACTGGAAACGATAATAATATTATTTTATGGAATCAATATAATCCTTAAAAATATATATACAAACTATAAGATGTAATATTCATTAAATTTTATTATTTATAAAAAAAAAGAATAATTCAACAGTTAAGGCAATTACTTGGAGTAACTTTAAAAAGAACCATTTTGTTTCAGGTTGTGGAAATTTAGATGGAAAACTAAAATTATGGGATAGCTTTTCTGGAGAAAAATTATTTTCTTTTGATATAAATAACTAAGTTTATAATATTTATAATTCTTTAAAAAACTTTGTCGGGTATTTTGCTACTTGTTAAAGTAATAATAAAATAGTAATTTGGAAGGAAAATGCTAATAATTAACTTCTAAAAATACAAGAATTAAAAGCACACGAATAAATAGTTAATTAAAGTTGTATGAATTAATTAACAGAAGAAATAATTACTTCTTGTAACGATGGATATCTTAAATTTTGGTCTATTTTTTCATAAATTTAAGAAAATTGATATTTTTTTTTAAACAAAAATTACAAATATTAATTTTATAATTATTAATATAATGCACAATTTTTCGTTTACTTATATATATTAAAAAATAAAATAATTAGTACTTAATTAAACTTTTAAATATTGTTATCATATAATATATAAATAATATATATTTTTTTTTTCAATCAGTTTTGTAAATGATATCTTCTTTAAAAATATTCATTTGTTTATTCTTATTAAAAGAATAAATTACTAAAAATATAATTTAAGATATCGAACTTATAAGAAATATTAAATCGAAGACTTTATAATGAATATAAATATTAAGATTTTGAGTTATTTTTTGTAAATTCATTCTTTTTTTTAACAAATAAAAAAAATTAAATAAAATAAAATTAATTTAATTTAAATATACGAAAATTCTTCTGCGAGATTACTTTACATTAAAATTAAAGTTGAAATAAAATAAATGCTTTATAATTCAGCTAAAAAATAAACTATTAAATCTGTTCCTATACTATTTTATTTTAAATAACTCATTAACATATTTAAAATGCTTATTATGTTTAAACAAAATGTCCTTATATTTGTTACCATTAAAAAGCCTTATTTTTTCTATTTATTTTTTATTAAATATTATAATTACCTAAAAATCCAAAAGATAAATAATATATAGCCATATCATAATGCTCATCTACTATATGAATTCCAATAAAAGGTAATATCACTTTAAGAATTCTATTAATTGGGTCAATAGACTTTTTTCTTCCTACAATATAATTGTATGTGCTCTAATTTAAAAAAAATTAATCTATAAACTTTTTTTTTATATTAATAAATTTATTACAATAAATATTTTATATATACAATATATTCCCATAATTATACTCAAAAATCTAAAAAATTTTCCTTTTAAAGATTTAGAATATTAGAATTTTTATATTTCAGTTTACAATTCAACATAATCTTTAGTGAAAAATAATAAGACAATAATATAAAATATAATTACTATTAAAACTTCGTTTTTACTTTCAGTATAGGTTTCTGTTTCTTTGATATTTAACTCTATTTTTTATTAATAATTCAAATTTTCATTTTAGTTTGGATTCCAAAAATTTATCCTTGATTGAAAAAGATGATAAAAATAAATATAGAAAAGTATTATATATATATATTTTTTTTTAAAAAAAAACTTACATTTTAAATAAAAAATTATTGCTTGTTTTTTTTGTTATTCTGGAAGTTAAGTTAACATTTTTTTATTAAGAATTAATAAATTATATTTATTTTAATATATTTTATTTATAATATATTTCAAATTTTCCTCATTTTAAATTTTTGATTATTGTATATCTTATATATTTTAATAAAGTATATTAAATTAATTATAAGGACAATTTACACATCCTATACCTGATACAATAGCAATAAAATAAATACCAATTTAAGCTATATTTTAAAAAATAAAACAGTATAAAAAAAATAATCATAAAAATATACTAATTATTTCAATTTAATAATCTAACTATAAAAATTAATAATAATGCAAATTACGATTATGTTCTTCACCATCTTATGTTTGACCATTTAAAATGATAATATTAATAATAAAATAAATATATAAAAAGACTAGAAATAAGCCAAAAACTATATAAAATAAAAAATCTTATTAATATCTATAAATATAATATTAATTGAATTATTAAATAAAATTATTTATTTAATTATTTATTTCTTATTTTATTTTTACATATTTTAATATAAACTATCTTTGATATTTTTTTTACTATTTTAAATATTATTATAGCAGGTATTATTGTTATGCTTGATTAGCATAATATTAATAATGTGAACATCCAATAAATATATCTTGTTTCATTTTCGCCAATTTTAAAGACTTCAAAAATAAATATAATAAAGCCATTTGATGATAATGCAAACATTAAACTAAATAAAGAGGAAGCTTTTTTATTTCTTATGTCATAATCGTCTATTATAATTCTTTTTAATATATAATCTCCCATTAAAGCTGCTGAAATTGTAAAAATTACATATAATAATAAGCTTTATATATCCATTTTTATCTTTTAATCTAAAAAAGCTTTAATTATAATATAATATATTATAAATATTATAATTTTATCTTTTATATATATTTTTTTTTCTTTACATAAAAATATTTTAACTTATTTTTTATAAAGATTTATTTAAATTTCTATGAAAGATTAAAATTTTAAAATATTTAAAATTAAGAGAATATTTTAAATACAATTCATATAATATTTATAAAATAATTTCAAATTATTATTTGTAATATATATTTTATATTTATAAAATTTAATTTTTAAAATTTCTATTTTTATAAAATATTACATATTTTGAACCTTTTTATGTATTTATTACAAAAAATAGTTAATTTTATAATATATAGTTTATTTTATTAATATATTTTAGTTTTACAAATATAAAAAAAAATACTAATTTAAAAGAAAAATTAATCTTAAGAGATTATGTAAAATTAAATATAAGAAATAATAAATTATGTTTTTTATTTTATTTTTTTAATAAATATTTACAATTAATAATTTATGTAATTTTAAAATGATAATAAATATAAAAAAATTTGATATAAAAAATCTTTAATAAATATATATAAAATTAGTTTAAATTAATAAAAATATAGAAGTTTTTCGAAAAAGATGAAAACTATTTTACAACATATCATATTATTAAAATATTAATTATATTTATTAATAAAAATAAAATAATCTTTATTTAACTTTATAATGATTAAAAAAATTACAAAATTTAAAATTATTATATACAGATTTGCTTAAATATAAGTATAATAACTAAAATACTAAAATACAATAAAATTAAAATAAATAAAAAAAATCAATAATATCTATTTGGTGTGAATGAATAATATAATAAAATTTTATGAATTAATTATTATAAAATAAGGTTAGATGAATATTAATTAATAAGTATTTAAATAAAAAAAAATATAAAAATAATTCTTTTTTATTAAAATAAATAATAATATTATTTTATAAAGATTAAAAATGCTAAATATATATATATATATTTAATTTATCGCACTAAACACATTATTTATTATAAATTTTAAATAAAGTGTTTATATAATTATAAATATAATTTTTGTTAAATAAATTTAATAATGAATGTAATTTAAAAATTTGTTTTTATATAATAATTATTAAAATTGTTTATAATATAATTATATATAAAATTTTTTAATATATTTTGCTTTAACTAATTATTTAATATAATACTATATTAATTTTATATTAATTCATATAATTTTTCAAATTTATTTATGAATATATTTATTTATATTTTTTTCGATCTATATTTTATTTACTAATTTTTAATTTTATTGATAGTTATTTATAATTAAAAAGTCATAAACTTTTTTTTTTTTTTTAGAAAGTAACTAATATTCTACTTTTATTTTATGTAAGAATATTTTCCGAATAATCAATAAGTACAAAATTCTTATGCTTTAAATTTTAAACATTGTTTTCTGAATAAACTTATCTATCTATAGGATATAAAAAAACAAGCATTCCTCCTTAAATAAGCATTTTATCAGCTAATTAAAATAATCCCTCAACTATATTATCAACAGAAGTTGTAATCGTTTATTTCTTTTTTATATTATAAATTATTTTTTTCCCTTCTTTATTTTTCATCTCTTTTTTTTCGAAAATTTAACTTGCATCCTCTTAACTTTACATAGTACTTTAATATCCATCTGCTCCTTCACTAGTATCTTAAATACTATCTTCTTTTTCTTAAAAGCATTTGTCTTAAATATTTCTTATAGTTTATTATTAATTATGTTTTTTATCATTATTATTAGTGTCTTTGTATTTTTTTTCAGATTTTTGATTTTAATTATTTATACATTTATTATTAGAAATAATCATATTTTATGTTTAATCCAAAACATTATTATTTTAATTAGGAAAAATATAATCTTAATTACTAATCTTTTTATCGTGGCTTATAAATTATTATTTTTTCTCTTCTTCTTCTTCTAATAATAGCAATTTCTTATTAACCTAATCTTATTCCTATAATTAGTTATTTAAAATTTCATTTTAATGATTATTATTGTTATCTAAAACAGAATTAATATCGATAAAATTATTTTAATTCTTTAAATCTTAAACTTGCTCGATAACATCATCTTATAAATTCTAGCAATTCTTTTAATCTTTAGTATCATCATTTGGTTAATCTTTTTACTCTTCATCTTCTTCTTCCACATCTTAATTATTATTAATTTTTTTCTTTCCTTTAGTTCTAGTCATAGCCCTTACTCCGTAAGGTGGATCACAAATAATAGCATCGAAAATTTCTTTTTATCTAAAATTATTATTGACACAATCCATTCTAATTATTTCGGGTTAACCAAGATTATATTATTCGAAATTTAATAGAATTTTCGGTCTCATTTGTTCACAATAAGTATTATTTTTTTAATAGAAATTAGACTTCTTATTCAATCTTCCGACACCAAATCCATGTAAGACTCTCGGATCTAAATCTTCTCCTATACAAATAGCATTATAATGTGAAGAAGGAACTAGAAGAGATCCACTACCTACAAAAGGATCAAATATAATATCATTTTGTTTAATTTTTGCTTAATTTGTCATTAAGAATGCTAATAAATTATCTGTTGTGGTAGGTCCTAAATATACTCTGTTTTTCAAATCATATTAATATAGAAAATTGTCTTTTTAGCTTATTCGAAAACTAGATTTTGATTTTGCAATTTCTACACCAAAAAATATCTTATTTTTTTTAAAAAAAAGTAATTAAGTAATTATTAATTAATATATTATGTTTTATTTTTTTACATTTAATAATGTTTAAGTAATAGTATTATCTGTAAACTTAATATACGGATGAACATGCCTTTCCATAATCCAGAATTTTTTTTGGGAATTTTTAATATCTATTTTTCCTTTTATATGAAATGATTCAGTTATAAAATCTATTATTGAAATCATTTAATCTTAACTTAAATGAGAATTATATGGATCTATTTCAAACGAAATTTTATAATTAGGGTCATTGTGTTATTCTAATATTTCTAAATCGGCATTTTAAATGATTTCTTAGTAGCTTTTACCTTCAGATATTACTTATATTATTACGTCTATTAATACTGAACGGTTTATTATCTATTAAGCTATTTCTTCGTTTGGTATATCAATATAAATAAATGGAAATCGCTCAAAATTTTTGTGTTGTATTTATGATGCATTTTCTATTGTTAATCCCGGATTTTTTTATTTATTAATTGCTAGTTCGTAATTAAAAACTTGCCATAAATCTAAATTATACATGATTATTAATGATTTTAGCTCGGGTAAACAAAAGTCTATATAATTTGGTATTGATTTAAATTAAATTAAGTATTTCATTAGTCTTTTTATATAATTTTTTTTTAAAGTTGAAGTTTTCTTATTTTGGGTATATTTTTTATTTTTTTCACAAGGAAGAAAATATTTATATATTTGTTTTGTTCAAAATAATATTAAGTTTTTGCTTATTCTTGTTTTTTTATTATGATCTTTTTTTCAAAAAAATATAATTTATAAATTGTATTTATATTTTATTTTATATATATATGTATATATTTTTAATAAAATTACTAAAAATATGTTATAATAAAAATAAAAATAAAATAGAAATATATATTAGCATTATAAAAATCTTTTTATTTATTTAAATTTATTTTTGTTTTAAATTTAAATATTTAATAAATTAATATATAAAATAAATAATAAATATTTTAATAATATATATATTTAAATAATTATATATATTTTTATTATATATATATATATATATATTTAATTTTATTTTTAATCTTTTCATAATTTATTTTCAATTTATTTTTTTTATATATTATTTTAATTTTTTTTTTTATAATATAAATTTACAGGATTTTAAATCTTTTTAAAAAATATAATTAAGAAATTAAATATTATATTATATAAATATGTATTATTTTATAATAAAAAAAAAATCTAATTTAAAATTTATTTTATTTTTATAAATAAATTAAAGTATTTAATTTATATTTATAATATAAAATATAAATAATTTTTTATAGTTTTTTTATATTATAAAAGCTTTTACATCTAAACAAATCAATCCATTTCTATAATTATATATAAAAAAATTTATAATATTAAAAATTTAAAATAATAATTAAATTACATAAATATACAAAGCTTTTATGCTTCTATATTGTAGCTTTATTATGCGCATTTTCAATAATTTATTCAACAATTACATTAAATAATACTCTAGCATCTTATTATATAAGAATTAAATCAATATCGTAATTTTTTTACCATTATTTAAGTAATTAATCAAACAAAATATCCATCATAAGTTCTTCATTACTAAAATCATAGAAATTAATAAAAAATTTACTAAAATCATGATTTCCAAAGTATTAAATGTCAAAAATGACACTCAAGCTTTTTTCTTTAATAATTTTATCACATTTTTCTTCTTAAATGATCGCTTATTAGATTTTGACGAAATCTTTTTTATTTTTGGAAGCAAAATTAACAATTTACATAATTTTCGCATTCTTTTTTTCAAATATTTCTACTGCTTAATAAAGGGCATTTAAAACTTAATAATTTTCGTTAAATAAAAGTTCTTTATTTTCACATTCTAGGACACAGTTTTCATTTATTTAATCTTATATTATACATTAGAATTCTTTATTTTCACATCTTGACAGGTCATCAACGAATTCTTTTCTTGTGCATATTTTTATGATTTCCGATGCACATTTTGTTGTATAAGATGTACATTTAGTTACATATTAGATACATCCGTCTTTATATTCTAAACATATTGAAGGATCTGAAGGATTGAATTTTTCACATATAGGTATTTCTTCTATACATTCATTTATATATTCATCACATTCTTCGATTTCTTAAGGACAATGGCTTTCTTCTTGCATACAAACTTCTTTTTTTGCAAATTGGAGACATTTTTCTTCTGGAGGGTTAACACATTATTACAATAAAGGACAACTAGAAGCTTTGCACATTTGATTTTTAAAAAAAGCTATTTTATTTTCTAATTAAAGGATTTATTAATGCACTCGATTATTCATATTATATATAGTATTAATCCATTTTTGGGATTAGGATAAGAGTTTTTAGTTTAAAAAAGAAACATGGTCTTATGAAAGAAAGCCTTTCAAAATAAAAGAAGCGTTTTGGATTTCTGGATAAAATTCGGCTTATAAAAATAAATTTAAATTAAATTTGGATTAGAACACTTTCTCTTGTTTTTAGATTTCGAAATATTTGTGGTCTTTATCTGCTTCTTTAATTATTATTTGTATTTATTCGTCTTCCTTGTCAAATATTCTTCCTTTTACTTAAAATAATATTCTTTCTTGGTTATATTAATCTTTTTGTATTATTATGTTGTTCTTGTTCTCTTTTTCATTGTCGTATATTACTACGTTTCCGCCTGCTAATTAACATACTTTGAATACAAAAACTCCAAATAAGTTCTGTTTTGGTATTATATTTATTAATGAATAACCTTATATTCCAAAAAATTAGGATTTTCCTTACAGTGTATATCCTGGAAGATTCTTCTCGTTTTTCTTATAAACATATGATAGCATTGTCTGGCCTAAAAATTCTAAATTTATTATTGTCTTTACTTTTTCTTTATTTAAAAGTATTTTTAGGATATTCTATAATGTTATTTTAGGAACACTAACACTCAGTACTTAATTCTTAAATTCTTAAAGATCTAATTATACTTCTAAATTACCCCAAAAACAATTTATTTTAATTTGATTTTCTATAAATTAAATTTATTACTATTAAGTTTCAAAGCAATTTTCTCCAAACAAAGATAGTGCATAAAATGAATAGGTATTTATTTGATAAGATTTAGGATTTATTTCTGATTTTATTCTTATTTAATTTAATTATAAGTTTTCTAAATCAAATGCGTTTTCATGCCAATCATTTAAACTTTTTCCTATAAAAAGAGTTTTATCTTCCTTTATATATATATATATATATATATTTAATATTTTTTGTTTTTTGTTTTACTTTTTAACTTAAAACTGCATAAAAAAATAATTTTTTCTATTAATTTATTTTAATAGATAAATTAGTTGCAATACTTAAAGCTCCTTATTTAAATTGAGAGAAGAAAGAGTCGATTTTTTAATCAATTAGGAATAAAGGCAAAATAATTTCAGAATTAAAAAATTATGAATTTTCTTCTAATTGAACACTTTTTTTAAGTTCTCCCTTTAAAATACTGCTTTTATCAATATAAAAGTAACCTTTAGCATGCAAATTCTAAACAGAGATTTTATTAAATTCAAGAATTGAACATAAATGATCATTTGAACAATCTTCCCAATCGAAAACATATTAAAGATAAACACCTTCGTTTGACCAGAAAATATTCTCTGGTAACCCGAAATCTTCATCTTTTAAATATGGGAAATGTTCTACATTTAAATTTTATTAAGAATAAAATAAATAAACAGATTTTGGTTTAACATTATTTTTCAAAACTAGATTATAATTAATGAAGAAATTCTCGAGTTTTTCCGAACCATAAATAAAGGACAAAAAGGTGCAATATTTTCCATATAAACGAGTTAATTTAGCTTTAAGATTTCCATTATTTTCGAAATGTTTATTTCCTATTTAAGATGTTAAAGTATATACTAAAACTGGTTCAAAATTTATTTAAATATCAATATTTTTTAAAAAGGTTTCATTGAAATCATATATTGTTTAAATTTTTTATTTATAATCTTATATAGAGTCTTATGATGTTAATTAAGACATTATTTTATCGTTTATTTCTTAGAAAGTGTATTCTTTTTCGTCGTCAAAAGAGATAAAATAGCCGGCGTTTTTTCGGGTTTTTTTAATATGGAAAGTTGTGTATTCGGGAAAGTTTTATATTTTGCAGATTATGTTGTTGGATTCTAAAAGGAATTCATTTTTCTCTTTTTCTTTATTTTTTTTCTTATAATAGACTGTTTTTTCTTCTTCTATTTATATTTGCACATCATCCATTGTTTTTTAGATTTGGACCCATCCGTTACAATTTTAAAGGAAAAGCTCTTTAGTAAGTGCAAAATCAAGAATAGAGTCATAATTGAAAACTATTTAGTAACTATTCTCTTCTAAATTAAGAGAAATCATCATTTATTTAACATTCATATTTTCAATGCTTTACATTCCTCTTGGTAATTGCATATTGTTAATGATTTCTTGAAGGTTTTCTTAGTTAAAAAGTTTAAAAGCTTATCGTTAAAATGTTATTTCTTAATTACTTTGTTCTAAAAGGATATTTATATGAGGATTATTTTATGTATCTTCATCATGCGAGAAATGAATTTATGAAGTATATGAGTTAATACTAAGCTAACCGAAATAAAAAACACTTAACTTTTATTATAAAAACACTACGTTTATAATATTTATACTTGTCTAACTATCTATTTTTCTATAAAATTAACCTGAAATAACCAACTCGAAATTCGAATAAAGTAATTATTCTCCAAAATTTACTTTTATATTAAAATATTCCGCTTAAGCATATTCTGGAATATTGAATATTTTTTCTTTTGTTTAAAGTTCGTAATCTTCTAATTAATGGTTAGTAAAATTACTTAATATTTTACTAATATGAACTTTATTAAATATTTAATCACTTGCAAAGCAAGCATCCTTTTAGGCTGAAAATGAAACAATTATATTTACTTGGCCAAACAAATCTTTAATCTTATGATATATGTCTTTAAATTCTTTTTTATAATTATGAGCTAAAGCTATTTTTTGCCAGTTTTCAGAATTAAGTTAAAATACTTCAGTTGCTTAACATAATTCGCATGTATGTTAAATTGTTTTGGATTACTTTTTTTTTATAATTATTATAAATATTTATATTATATATATTTTCTAACTTTTTTATTCATATCAGTACACATTATACTAATGTTAAATAAATTTGTAGAATATTAAAAATCTTAGAGCATTCTTTCACTTTCTTCTTTATTCTTTTATACTATTTGCATATTTTGTTTTTGTGAATAATTTTCTTTTAGTATTATTGGAGATGTATCTTTATTATTCATATAATAAGGTTATGTTGATAATAAGCTTTTTCCATGGTTAATATGTGGCATTACTAATGGAATTTTCTTTTTTATTTGTGAGAAGTTTATTGTTTATTTTCTTTAGATTCTTCTACTTTCATTTAAAAAATTTATTCTTCTTAAATTTATTCTTATTAATTTAATAAATTATTGTCTATTTTTTTATTTTATTATTCTTATTATTGCTCATTTTCTTTAATTTAAGTTATTTCTCCTTCTTAAGATTTTTTTGTCATGTCTTCTTCCTTTATTTAAACATTTATATTATCATCTTAATTACCATTTTCTGTTTATTTATTTTTATTTTAATTATCAATTTAAACATTATTTTATTCGAAATAAATATTATTTTATTCCAATTAAATATTATTTTATTCGATTTAAACATTATTTTAATCTATTTAAACATTATTTTATTCGATTTAAAAATTATTTTATCTTTCTATGTTTTATGCATTTTAATTTAGTAAAAGATTATTATTATCTAATTAATTATTTTATAAATCAGTAGTTTAATTATTAGATTACTATTCTGTTTAGTTCTATTAAATTTTAATATTCTATTATAAATCAACTTAAACACTACCAATTTATTAAATTTCTATTTATTAATTTGAATTATCTAAGCTTTATAAATTTATATCGTTTTAAATGATATTTTCATAATTATTATTATTTTATGTTTCTTATTAATTTTAATTTTCTTTAATTTAGGTTTAATTCTAAATAGATTAATTTTAAATATCCGTGTTAATAATATCTTTAATCACTAGATTTTAATCAGCGTTTTAATTAATAATTTCAATTGTTTAAGGAATAATTTCAATTGCTTAAGGAATAAAAGTATCATTTATTTATTATTGTTCATTATCTTAAATAGAAATAGTAGATTCCTATTTTTCTTAATCTGGTTAAATTATTTTATTTATGTTTTGCTAAACCTATTATTATTCTATTTAGTTTAATATTTATATGTTTTCTTCTTCATTTATTTTTTATTCATTTAAAACAATATTTTTATTTTAATTTTCTATTTAAGAAGCTATTTATTAATTATTTTACTATACATTGAAATTTTATTAAAATTTATCCTAAATTACATCATTCTATTATAAACCTAATTCATTTTAACTATTTTATTTTTCAATATTTAATGGTTAAATGTTTTATGATTCTTATTTATGTTTCTCTTATTATTAATTAATATCCTATACTTATCTTTGTTCCTAAGGTATTTGTTCTTATTAAACATTTTCTTTTTAATTTATTTCTATTTTTGATTTCATATTATTATTTTAGCTTTACTATTATAACGTTTCTTAAGATAATTAATTATTATTTAATTCTTAGTTTTTCTATAAAGAACTTTCATTTGATAATACTATTTATTGTTATTATTATATTTCTTACTATCCTTAATTAATGTTTTATTAGTTAAACAATACTTCTTATGTATTATTTTATATTTATTCTTAATTTTATTATATAATAAAAGCTTGTTATTATATATTTTAATCTTATTAGACTGTCTATTCTTGTTATTAAATAACTTCAATTTATAATTATTTTAAAGCATTTATTTATTCGGGATTATTTTATTTTTGTTATTATTATTGTTAGATATTTTATTCTTATTTTTATACTATTTATATAGTTTATTAAGACTATTCATTAGGTTATTAATAATATTCTTATTATTTTGGTTATAAATTAATATTTTATTAGAAAGTTATTTTTTAAGTTTATTCAAGATTTTACTATTATTATAAACTTATTTATTCACCATTTAATTCATTATTTTGTTATTCACTTTAGTTTTCCTTTATAAGTAATTAATGTTTATTTTATTAATTATTTTCTAATAATTACAATTAATTGTCATTTTAAATTTCATTAATAATACTAATTAATTTTTTATCAACAGTTTCCAAAATACTGTTTTACTATTGAGATTATTAATTAACTTAATTTTAGTTTTATTACTAGGAAATATTGTCTTCAATATTATTATTTTATTTTTCATTTTCTTAATTTCTAATTATTGCATTAATAATACTTTAGTTAGTATTAATATTACTTTGTATTGCATTAATTTCACTTTAGTTAGTATTAATATTATTAATATTACTTTATTTTGTATTAATGTCACTTTAGTTAGTATTAATATTACTTTGTTTTGTATTAATGTCACTTTAGTTAGAATTAATATTACTTTATTTTGTATTAATATCACTTTAGTTAGTATTAATATTACTTTATTTTATATTAATATCACTTTAGTTAGTATTATTAATATTAATTTAATTATCAACTATAGTATTTTAATTATCATTATCGTTTAAAATATTTTAAGAAAAATGTAAAACATTTTGTTATTAATCTTAATCTTAATCTTATTATTATTCTTATTTTTATTTTTCCTATTCTTATTATTTTTTTTTTAGAAATTCGTTTCTTTTTTCAGTTAATTATTTAATAAATTCTAATTGTTTTCTTTCTTCTTCTTATTTTTGTAATTTTTCTTATAATTATCGTTCTAATTCTTCTTTTTCTTTTTTTCTTTTTCGTCTTTTTCCTCCAACTGTTTTTATAATTTTTCTTCATATTTTTTTTAGAAAAGTTTCATAATTTAATCAGGATCAGATTTAACTACATTTTCTTTTAAATCCTATTATTATTATTTCTATTTTTCGTTTTATTTTTAAATTTAAATTTATTATTATTGTATTTTCTATTATAAATTTTATTCTTATTCTTTAACTTCTTCTACTTACTTTTCCAAGTATTCATCTTCATCAGTTAATTAAACTTTTTAAATATTAATTTAATTTTGATTTATTTAATCATAATCATCATCATTAATATGAAATACTTCTTTTAGTTAATTCATTTTTTAAAGAATAATTTATTCTTATTTTTCTTTTTGTATATTGTTTTCTTCTTATTATTATTAAATTAAATTTTATTAAATTTTTAAATTTTCTTCTTCCTTTATCTTTCTTTGATTTTCTTCTTCTTATTATTTTTTAAAATTATTTCTTCAAATTACTTTTTCTATTCAGTTTCAGTTTCATTTTTTAATTTTAATTTATCTTTCTTCTTCTTTTTTTATATTTTTTTTCTTCTTCTTCTTCTTCTTCTTTTCTTTTTCACCTTCTTCTTCTTTTATTTTTTTGACTTAATATAATTCTTTACTTTTTATTAAATTTTAATCATTATTTTGATTAACTTCTTCAGTTTCATATAAATTATTAATTTCTAATTTATCAAAGATATTGTCTTTTTCTTTATTTTCAAACAAATTATCTGTATTTTTTTTTTTTCAGATATACTTTTAGAGATTTCTTTATTATCAAAAATGTTTTTATTATTTTTTCTTTTATACTAGTTAAAGTATCAACTTCTTCTTAATTTTATTTTAATAATGATTTTTAGAAAAGCTTTTCACCTTTTCTTAATTTATCTAATAAATTTTCTTTTTTTCAGTTTTTTAAAACAATTATTTTTCTTCTTCCTTTTCATTTTCTTAATTAATTTATTTTTTAATTTCAGTTTCTTATTTTAATTTCCCTAAAAAAAATGGTTTTTATTTTTTTCCTCTTAATCTAATTTTTTATTATCTATATTTTCGTCTAAATCTTTATTTAAGTCTTTACCTGAATTGTCACTATCCTCTTGATTTTCCAATAAATTTAATTTAGTATTAGTTAATGTCTTTTTTATATTTAAAAAATCTTAATCCTATTAATTTTATATATTTTATTATTATTTTTAGGCATATTATTCTTTTCTTTAAAGTTCTCTTTCTTATCTTTCTATTTATTAAATAACAAGAATTTATTATTTTTTTTCATCATCTTATTATCTTTATTTTTCTTTTTCTTTAAGTTAATTTTCTTGTAGTTATTTTAAAAGTTATGCTTCATCTGACTAAGAAATAATATTTGCTTTTTTTTTGTAACTATCTTAATTGTTTATTGAAAAACCAATATTTATATTACTATTATTTATTCCAAAAAGAGATTATGGTATTGTTTATTTTTTATTATCTTCTATTTTATTTATTGTCCCATTTTTCACTTATTTTATTTCTGTCTATATGTTCTAATCATTTGTTTCTTTTTCTTTTGATATTTGTTTATCTTATTCTTATGTATAATTAGAAAACCATGATCCAAAGTTTTTATATTTTTATTATAAATTGTTTATATCTTTTATTTCTTATTTTGAAATTGCTATTTTTTTAATGTGTTTATATATAAATATTTTTTTTGAAATATACCTTCTTATTTCGATTATTTTATTAATAATTGTGAAATAACTAATATAAATATTAATGGTTTCATATTTTTATTCATTTTATTATAAATAATATATGTTTGATAGATTTTTTAAAATTCTTCTTATATATTTAATATCGATAATATGTTTTTTATTTTCTCTTTATATTTTATTAACTTTTTTAGTTATAAATAAAAAGGAATATATAAAGAAAAATAAAAAAATCATATAGATTATCAATTAAAAAAAGTAAAAAAAAAAAAATCGTTTTTAAAATTTAAAAATTCGTTTTATTTTTATGATTTTAAACAATAAATAATTTAATTTAATTGATTTTTTGTATTATAATAAATAATTATTAATTATAAAAATTTATAATCTAAGTAAAAATAAAAAAACTTAAGTTTAATCCAATTTATAGCTTTTTTGGTAAATTATTTATTTTATAATTATAAAATCAAATAAAATTTTTTATTTAAATTTAACATTATATTTTATTAATTAAAAAAAAAAATTAATAATATTATTTTATATTTAAAATTTTTATAAATATATTATATTTAATATGATTAAAAAAATAAAAAGTATTAAATATTAGATTATTTATTATTTTTACATATTACCATAAAGTTATAAAATAAGTAAATTTTATTAAAAATCAAAAATTAAATTATTTATAAAACATTTTTAAATATCAATAGAAAAATAAAATATTACATATATTATTATCATTTAAATAGAAATAAATTTTAAAAATTATTACAAAAAAAATATAAAGAAATAACAATATTCATATTATTAATTATTTTATTGTTTTTTGTATGTTTTAAAAGATTTTGTTATTTTTCAAAAAAAAAAAAATAACTCATTAATTGAAAGTTGGGAAATCTTCAGCTTTCATATCATAAGTTTTGCCTTAATAATTCTTATTGTTCTAATAATTTTTTTTGACTTATTAAAATTTTTGTTATTTCTATTATTTACAATATTTCTATTCATTAATTAATTAGATTAAACTTTCTATTAATAATTATTATTATTATTATAAAAATATTATTTTCCTTTATATTAATCCCTTTATTATTGTTATTATATTTGATACATTTATTATTATTACATATATTGTTAAAATTATAATTGAATCATTTGTATATATTATTAATGCATATACTAACGTTCCTAATATTAATTTTAAGATACTCTTTAATTATTAGGATATTGATTGACATATTAAGATTAATAGGTATGACTTTAGTTTTAAGGAATAAATTTTTCTTCTTCAACATAACAATTAACATTTGCATTCTTTATTTATTTTATATATAAAAAAATATTTTAAATAAAATTATAGTTTTACGCCAATTTTTTAACCGA